ACACGGTCTAGTGGAGGTCTGAGGGGGGCGTGGTGGCCCGGATATTGGTGCTGAGACCCAACAGTCGTTATTCGGACCTTTGGACCTTAGGTGCCTAAGCTACAAGTAGTTTAGCAGCGGTTGAAAGCCAGCATGGAGGGAGTTGGGTGTGGGTAATCAGCAGAGGGTCCGTACTCCATATGTACGCAAGTGCATGGAATTATTATTTTTATTATTATTTTTGTCCGGCACCGGCTTCGAGGTAGTCAGGGTACGGGTTAGAAGGAAGAGGGGAGACAGGGTGGACTGCAACATGGGTGCAGGTGGCCCTAGTGGAGGCCGCCTCATGTGCTGCTTTTCCACTCACTAACCTGGACTGCCGGAAGCTTAGGCTAGGTGATTGAGCTTATGGGGCCGACACCAGTCATGTATGTCGGTTGGAGCCCCACTCGGGCGGGTAGGCATTATTGGTTGGCCCGACCCATCCTGCGCCTAATTTTAATATATTTTTTTCCCTGAAAAATCATTTTATTTTTCCCAAAAAATAAAAAATAAAAATAATTATTCAATGGCACGGGGAAGAGAGGGCCGGGCGGGTCCATGTTCCATGGTCCACCTGCAGCCTCTCGGCGACTCAAGACCGGGGGTTCGTGCTAGACTTGTTCATTCCCCCCTCCCCAAAAATCCCTGAGGCGCTTTCTGGCTCCGGCGCTTGCGTCTTCGTCCGACACGGCCGTGTTTCGGGGGTTCCCACGATTATTATTCCTACACGACAATTATTATTTCCGGTTGATCTCGAGGTTGGACTGGTGATTTGTTCGTATGGGTTCTTGGGCTCTGACAGCCCCGCCTGACACGAAGCGTGGTCTGTCAGGTATAATATGTACGATAGGTATATTATATATATTGATATACATCAAGATGTTAGATTATCAGTTATCCTGTTGAAGGCTCTTCACCGGAAGATGATGCTTCTCGTAAGACCATGATGCGAACTTTCAGCGGAAAGGTACCTAATCCTGAGGACAAGATCTGAGAATGCTCAGGGTAAATCAGCCAGCGGAAAAAAGTGACTGTAATGACTCCAGATTTGCCCCACCCCACTAGGCCGTTCCTGGGCGGGCAAGCTGTCTGTCTTCGGCTTGGCGCCGGACCACCGCCATCTCACCTTTTTCCGTGCGTTTCCTGTGGATTTTATTTTATTTTTTAATTTTCTGGCTGACTGCTCGAGAGCTGCACAACCACTAGCGTCTCTTGGCAGAATTCACCCTCTTACACCAGCCCCTCGACCTTTTCCTCTCTCGCTCCTCTTCTTCCCTTCTCTTCCCTTCTCCTTTCTCCTTCTTGGGCGCCGTTTCCTGAGCTCTAGTTTCTCTCCCCGTGGCTTGGCCCTGCTGCCCCTTCTCTCAGATATCCTACCCCAGTGACACAACTCTTCCCAATTCATCAACTTCCTCGTCATTTTCCCTTCACTTTCGCCTCTCCCTACCTGTGCCGCTATCCCTTTCTCGGCTACGTGCCTAGTTCCTGGGGTTGCCGCTTCGCACCTCCCTCACCTTGCCTTCCATCCATCCATTGTGTTGGACGTGCAACCCATCCACCACGACCATCCATTGAACGGGCGATCCTGTGCGATCTCAATTCCACTCTTTCGTTCGTTCTCCGCGCACCCGGCGTTCCCGTCCATCGCCGTCTCAACTTCATCGCGCGCAACACCCGAAGCAAGAAGAGCTTTTCACCTCCGACGGAGCGCCTGAATCAGGACCGGAGGTGACCGCTGTAGAGCTCTTCCCAGCGACCTTCCGTCCGGAGCATCAGTCGCGCAGATTACGGTGCGACTGGCCACCATACCGCCGAATTACATCATCGTGTCGCAAAGTTTGGACGTCGAACTCATAGTCTGATCGAGGCTCGGTTGTGATTCCGGTTGACCTTCTTCCCGGCAAGATGTCTCATGCTCAACCGTCACCCACGGGAGCCGTGACCCCTCACCATGGTCACCTCGCCGCCCACCCGCAGGTCAACGGCCACTTGCCCTTGCAAGCCCAGGGCCAGAAGGGTCCACCCCTCAGCACCGCCCAGAAGATCGCCGCGCTGAATGAGCAGGTGTGGCTTCAGATCGGTATGTATCCTACGCACCGGGTGTCCTTGATTTGGACCTCGCCCTCAATCGACCCGGCTAACATGTAATTTCAGGGAGCTTGACCGAGCTGCTCGGCGATCTTGAGGGCGCCATGAATGCGTATGAACAAGCCTTGCGCCACAACCAGTGGTCCATCCCCGCCATGAATGCCATCTCGTGCATCTTGCGGACCAAGGAACAATTCCCCAAGGCCATCGAGTATCTTCAGAATATTCTGAAACTCGACCCTACAAGCGGTGAAACCTGGGGTAGTTTGGGTATGCTTCTTTTTGCCTTCCGACTCAGATTAGAGATCGACTAACGATGCCCAGGCCACTGCCATCTTATGATGGACAACCTGCAAGAAGCGTATACTTCCTACCAACAGGCGCTCTATCACCTCCGGGATCCCAAGGAACCCAAGCTGTGGTACGGAATTGGTATCCTTTATGATCGCTATGGTTCTCTGGACCACGCAGAGGAGGCTTTCTCCCAGGTCATGCGCATGGCTCCGGATTTCGAGAAGGCGAATGAAATCTATTTCCGATTGGGAATCATATACAAACAGCAACAAAAGTTTAACCAGAGCTTGGAGGTAGGTGATTTTCCGCCACACGTATTAGCTGTGTTTGCGACCGCATACTGATCCCACGAAGTGCTTCAAGTATATTGTCACCGACCCTCCTCGTCCCCTTACGGAGGAAGACATTTGGTTCCAGATCGGTCATGTCCACGAACAGCAGAAGGACTTCGATTCTGCCCAACAGGCATACCGACGTGTTCTGGACCGCGACCCCAACCATGCCAAGGTCTTGCAGCAGCTGGGTTGGTTGTACCACCAGCAGAGCAACAGTTACGCCAGCCAAGAGAAGGCCATTGAATATCTGGAGAAGTCCGTCAGCGCAGGTATGTTGCTACTGTTGTTTGATCGTTATCTCTAGAACGAAGTTATCTAACAAATTCCTTGGTTACAGACAACACCGATGCCCAGAGTTGGTACCTCCTCGGTCGCTGCTATATGTCGCAAGCCAAGTATCCCAAGGCGTATGAAGCCTACCAACAGGCGGTCTATCGCGATGGACGCAACCCAACTTTCTGGTGCTCAATTGGTGTGCTCTACTACCAGATCAACCAGTATCGCGACGCTCTTGATGCCTACTCTCGCGCCATTCGCCTGAACCCATACATCTCGGAGGTTTGGTATGATCTGGGAACTCTGTACGAGTCCTGCAACAACCAGATTGCAGATGCCCTTGATGCGTACGGTCGCGCAGCTGACCTGGACCCCACCAACGTCCACATCAAGGCTCGTCTGCAGCTGCTCCAGAGCCAACTCTCTGGCTCGAACCAGAGCAATGCCCCGGCCCCGCAACCGCAGGATGTCCATCCCCAGGCCTATCAAGCTCCAGGTGTTGGAGGACCTCCGGCTCCCCAATGGGGGGCACCAGCGCCCACCGGCGGACCGCCTCCTCAGGCACCGGCACCCCCCAGACAGATTGCGGATTGGAACCGTGGCATCAACGAGCTCCAGTCTCAGGCCCAGGCTCAAGCTGCGGGCCCGAACGGCTATGACCAGCGTGATCCGGCTCGCCCGGCGGCTCTTCAGCAGCCGAGCCCAAGACAAGAGCCCGGTAGAGCGTTCCCAGAGACCGTCCGTGTCCAGCCAGGTGCTCGGTCTCCGAAGTCTGCTGTCCTGCCCGGACCAGGAGCTTACCCGCCACCCCATGCGCTTCCTCAGATTGCCAACCCTCCTGCGCCGTCTCATGATCGCTCTCACAGCGGTGCTACTGCTTTTAGCTCTGCTACTCGTGGTGCATTGCCCCCCGCTCCAGCTGGACCCCCAGCTGCCCCCGGTGCGCCCAATGGGGCTCCGGCTTCTGGTGGTCCTCTCCCTGCCTTCCACCGTCCGTTCACTCCTCCCACCGAAATTCGGCCGATCCGTGAGGAGCGACCCTCGTCGCCTGGTTCCACCTATCCGCACCAGCAATTCCACCATGGCCCTAGCGTGCCTCCTGTGCAGGGCGCTGGCTCCACTGGTATTGCTGGTGGTGCACCTGCTCCAGCGTCTGCCATCACCGCTGCCGAAGCCGCTGCTCGCGAGCGGGAGGATCGGCCTGGCTCCGCTATGAAGCGTGGCCGCGAGTGGGAAGCGGAGCCTGGCCCAGCGAAGAAGATTGCCAATGAGGAGAGCCGCGCGCGTCTTGACGAGCAGATGCCCCGTCGGGTGACTCCCCCCAACCGTATGCCGTCTCCCGGGGAGATGCAGCGCCGTAACTCGTCCGAGGCTCGGCGCGATGATCAACGCCGTGATGAACCTTATCACCCATCTGAGGCCGCTCACCATCCTCCGACTCTCCCGTCCATCCAGAGTATGCCCCCGCATGCCTCTGGCTCCAGCCTTCCCCCGATGGCGGAGAGCCCAGTTGCGCCTGCCAACGGACCCCAGGCCGGCCCTCCGGCCGCCCAGGTGCCCGTTAAAGATGAACCCATCCGCACTGGTGAGCAGACCCCCGCACACGAGCCGGCTGCTCGTAAGATGGATGTGGATGAGAATTATGACGACGATGGCGACGACGAGAAGAAGGCCACCGCCGCTGCAAAAGGCAGCCCTTCGGCTAGTGGCTCGGCGAATGCCAGCAATGGTGGTTTGAATGGAAATAGTCAGACGCCGCAGAAGCAGGAGTCTTCCGCGTAGGATGCTCCTGTGGTTGGCATAGACATTGTAAACAAAATGACCCGGGGAGTCAGATGCTCCGATGGGATTCTTATGGCGAGACGTTTAAAGTCCTTCATTTATTTCCTCACTTCATTTTTCTTTGATGTTCCATTTCTACCCCGTTTCTTCTATTCTTTTTTGATCTCGTTTTATACACCTGTGTTTTCCCCTCTGTGATCGTGGACGATGGGCGGTTGCATTGCAACTGAATATGTATTGTACGATTTCGGTCGACAAACTGGGGTGGCTTTGATTATTTTTTTGTGTATCTATTTCACCTTGTTCACTATATTGACTTGTGGTGTGGTTTAGCCCTACGATAACCCCTCTGTTGTCCATGTTTATGTGATTCCGTTTTCGAGTACTGTCAATAATCGAATAGCAATGATCATATCAAATTGTTAGACCCTTTTTGTTATGGAATCAACTCTCAGTGTTGGAGAGAATGTAATGTAGTAGGTTTGTGAGCAGTGCCTCCTACTGCGGACCGCCGTAAAAGAGAGCCGCTGTGGCCTGAGGCCGTAGGGTTGTGGGTGGCGGCACGTGACCCAGATAGTGCTGCCTCAGGCGCCAAGAGTGGAGATCGCTTAACCCGAAACGGCAATTCGCTAAGGGCAGCCCACACTCGTTAAGCGTGCAAAATACAACCTCCGGCAAATCCTGGAGATAGACACTCTCACTCACCACCTCGACGACTAACGACAACAGGGTCAAGATGTAAGCCCCCAATGCTGCGCCAGAGCTATCAAGTTCTTCACGAGACAAATTGCTAATTCTTTTTGCTTTTCAGGAGTCACCGGAAGTACGAAGCGCCTCGGCACGGTTCGTCAACCTTTTTCCTCGAATTCGACAGATGGGATTGTGTGGGCATGGCATACTGACATGGACTTCTACAGGCTCTCTTGCCTACCTGCCGCGCAAGCGCGCCGCCAGACACCGTGGAAAGGTCAAGAGGTTAGTCCGGAAAAAAAAATCGATATGGAAATGATGTGAAGAATGGGTGTACTGAGACTTTGCGACAGCTTCCCCAAGGATGACCCCAAGAAGCCCGTCCACCTTACTGCCTCCATGGGCTACAAGGCCGGTATGACCACTGTTGTCCGTGACCTCGACAGACCCGGTGCCAAGATGCACAAGAAGGAGATCGTTGAGGCCGTCACCATCGTTGAGACTCCTCCTGTAGGTTCCCTTGGCGAGGAAAATTTTTTTTTCTTTTCCTTTCGAATTTCTCACTAACACAACTTAGCTTGTTGCCGTCGGTGTCGTCGGTTACATCGAGACTCCCCGTGGTCTCCGCTCTCTCACCACCGTCTGGGCTGAGCACCTGAGCGACGAGGTCAAGCGCCGCTTCTACAAGAACTGGTACAAGAGCAAGAAGAAGGCCTTCACTAAGTACGCCAAGAAGCACGCCGACGAGAACGGCTCTGCCATCACCCGCGAGCTTGAGCGCATCAAGAAGTACTGCACTGTCGTCCGTGTGCTCGCCCACACCCAGGTCCGCAAGACCCCTCTCAAGCAGAAGAAGGCCCACCTTATGGAGATCCAAGTCAACGGTGGCTCCGTTGCCGACAAGGTTGACTTCGCCCGCAACCTGTTCGAGAAGCCCATCGAGATCGACTCCATCTTCGAGAAGGACGAGATGATCGATGTCATCGCCGTCACCAAGGGTCACGGTTTCCAGGGTGTCACCAGCCGTTGGGGCACCAAGAAGCTCCCTCGTAAGACCCACAAGGGTCTGCGTAAGGTTGCCTGTATCGGTGCCTGGCATCCTAACCACGTCCAGTGGACTGTTGCCCGTGCCGGTCAGATGGGTTACCACCACCGTACCTCGTGCAACCACAAGGTGTTCCGCATCGGCAAGGGCTCCGACGAGGGCAACGCCTCCACCGACTTCGATGTCTCCAAGAAGCAGATCACTCCGTAAGTCCCATGCATGTTCCCTGATTTCTGACAACACTAACGGCATCGTCTAGTATGGGTGGCTTCGTCCACTACGGTGAGGTGAAGAACGACTATGTCATGCTCAAGGGCTCCATCCCCGGTGTCAAGAAGCGTGTCATGACCCTGCGCAAGACCCTCTACCCTCAGACCAACCGCCGTGCCACCGAGAAGGTCGAGCTCAAGTGGATCGACACCTCGTCCAAGTTCGGACACGGTGCTTTCCAGACCCCCGAGGAGAAGCGTGCTTTCATGGGTACCCTCAAGAAGGACCTCGTTACTTCTGCTTAAGGTGTTTACGAACTTGGTTTGGTGTAGTGCAAATTATTATCTTTTTCAATAAAAAAGCGAATACCTTCAAGACTGTCGGGATAAGACACTGTCGGATGGTATAGTTACGTAGTTTATGGAATTGATGATTTGAATCAATTGTGGTAGTCTTGGCAGAAAATCCTGCAGTCGCTCGCCTGACACTTTTACCGACCTACATATCTACTAAGTGCCTACATTTTGCCCTTAACAGTCGAATATAAGTATTCTGCAGCACTTTGCTTCCTACATCTACACACCTGGAATTGGTGGCACACCCTTGTACTCATGTGGCCAACCCGCCGCCGCATGCATTGCGTCATTGGTCGCATCTCAGCTTCAACGCCATCGCCAACCTCCAAGCTTCTCTTGCCCACAGCCCTCCGCTCACGCTCTACACATCACCAGTCGCAGAATCAGTCCTCTCACCACTTCCTCTATCGCCCATTCCCTCAACACACAACACGCACCAATCCGCACCCACCCAGAATCTCACCGTCCACCCTATCCCACCAGACCATCCGCGCCATGTCCGACGACGCCTACATGTCCTTCCTGGACAAAGCCAACGCAGACCTGAACAGCGCGCGCGCCGAAAAGGCCCGTCGTGCGTCGGTCGCCCGCACCGAAACCGTGCACATGAACGTGCGTGTGCCCACGCCCCTCACCTCCGTGGACGTGTACTACGTCTCCGAGACGGACGAACCGTTCGAGCCGGTCACGCTGCGGTGGGAAGGGGCGACGAAGGGGGTATGGCCGGACGCTGGTACGTTTTCTTTTCCTTTCCTTTCTACACTGGGTCTACTACGTATCTCGCATTGTATCTGGTCTAGGACGAGAAAAGCTGCTAACGGATGACACGGAATGAACAGATCATTTCTCGAACCTGATCTCGCCCAACGCCGACCTCTCCAGCGCCATCGAGACTATCTCGCCATCTTCGTTTGACCCGAAGAACCAGTACGCGGCGGCGCTGCGGGCTGTGCGCGCTGCGGCGTCGCAGGCGTCTGGCGGGGAGGAGGCGGGCGTCGAGGTGAAGGTGTACCGCGTGCAGGTGGGAAGCAGTCGGGTGGAATATTATGTTTTGGCGTTGGATGTGGATGAGGGGTTGGTGGTTGGGTTGCGGGCGAAGGCGATTGAGAGTTAGGTGTTGCTGTCGCTTGCTGATACTGTCTTTGGTGGTTGTTAATATGCTCCGTTGACAATGATGATATGATTGATGCGCTTTACTGGTGTCTGATGTCTCTGGGACAGATGCAAGGGGTTGTAGGATTGGATTGTGGCATGGAACAGGGTGCTCTTCTACGGAGATGGCCCAATATGGCGTGCCGAGTAGTAGCTAACTATATACGCTTAGGTAACTCGAAACGTTGTTAATGGCAGACTAGGTATCGTTCATATTGGAACATATTCTCCAGAAACAGGAAGAACCTTTCTCGCATCCCACTGCTGTACTGCTTACGTCCAAGGCCGCGGAATGAAGGACGACGGAATGATCACCGCTTGGCAACGGGAATCGATCGACGTCGATCTTCCATGGAATCCTCCCATTCCTCTCCTCTCAGCAACCAGATTCCTCACTACATGCCGGATCTGACACACACCACTCACAGCGTTTCCTGCGGTCGAGATGAATGCTATCCCTGAGTGCTGTCACGCTGGTCGACCCTGGCTATACCCAGCTCGAGACAGGCCGACGGCGTGTCTGTCCAATGCATTGGGATGCTTCGTATAACCTCAAGGAATCAATGGAATACAGAATAAATGCAACGTGCATCGCTTTGTCTCAGCTGAAGAAGGATGATAAACTTCTGCTGACGACTGCGACTATGTTAAACCAAATACTTCAACCGCAGTAAACAGGGACGCGATTGACAGGGCCCTCCCCCTTCCTTCACACATTCATGCTCCGTCTTTGTCTCCATCCATGTCCCGCACGTTTGTTTTGATCGGCTCCCCTGTGCTCACGTCAACCGGCTCGTTGTCCCATTCAATCCGGCTCTCTCCCACTTCTCACTGTCTTGCTCGACATATACGACATTCGACTACACCTCCGGTCTCTCGACGCTGCCATCGGGCTGATTGTCCCGTCCACTCGTTATTCCTTTACCCTGTGACTACCTGGTGCCAGCGCAAACACGCGGCGTAATCCTAAACACCTCTGGCACCCATTCTGGGAGATCTCCATGGCATCCACCTGAGTCTGCTGCGTCGGTTCAACCTGTCCCAACCTGTCCCTCCATCAGGTCAACTCGACATCAAGCGTGCAATCCGCGATTGAGTGCCTCACTGCAGAGTAACGCAACCAAGCACACAACCCAACATGGCCGACGAATCATCCAATCCCACCCCGCCGCCGGAGGCGCGCGAACTACCCCAGAGGCCCCAGATCCAGATCACCATGCGGGAGCAGGATCCCTTCCGGGACACCGCGTCCGACCACCACCTGCAAGTGCCGCTCCGACACAGCACGATCGGCCGCGCCCTAACCCCCAGCATGATCCGCCACTCGCGGTCCGCCGGCAGCCTGCACGCCGTGTACGCCTCCGCGCAGCCGCAGGAGTCGACTGAGTTCTTGATCCCGCCGCAACCGCACCGGCCGCCGCGGGAAGAATATGCCCAGGGCGGGCCGTTCCTGATATCGCGGCAGACGAGCTGGAGCTCGGAGGCCGCCAGTTACGACACCCGCGGATACGGGTATACGCATTTCGAGGACTCGCAGGCGCCGTCGTGTATCGATAGCGAGGACAACGACGTGAACACGCAGACGGTGACGGAGAAATTCAACATCATGCCGACGGAGGGGTTGTTGTTGTTTCCGGAGGATGTCGAAAAAGATGACTACCTGCATAATCCGGATGCCAGTGACCGCGACAAGCCGTGCGATATTTGGAATCGGAGGGGGTTGATTAATGTTGGGGGATTGATCTTGTTGACGCTGGGCTTTTTGACGTTGTTTATTGGATACCCTGTTATGTACGGATTCCGTTTCATGTGTTTCTGCGGAGGCTGACGTTGACAGAACGGCTGTGGAAAATACCCTAGCAAAACAAGGGCCCAAATGCGAGCCCGGTGACACCTTGTGTCTCGACGTCGGTGACCGGCCCTTGCTGGCGAATATTCGGAGTGGCTTGATTGATCCCGACACGCCGAAAGATGCATTGAAGAAGACGTCCGCGGATGGGAAGGAGTGGACTCTGGTGGTGAGTGACGAGCGCCTCATACTCACACTCACGTACGAACATCTAATAACTGACTCGTTGGTAGTTTTCCGACGAATTCACCACCCCTGGCCGCACATTCTACGACGGTGACGACCCATTCTACCAAGGGGTTGATCTCTGGTACGGCGTGACACAAGATCTGGAGGTCAGTAACCCGAATTGCCCATCGTGCCCAACTGACCCCCGTAGTGGTATGATCCCGACGCCATTACAACGCGAGATGGAGTGTTAGAGATTCGCTTCGACGCCTTCAAAAACCATGACTTGCAATACCGCTCGGGCATGCTGCAAAGCTGGAACAAGCTCTGCTTCACCGGCGGACGGTTAGAAGCGAGTATTTCCCTCCCGGGCGCCGGCGACGTGTCAGGGTTCTGGCCTGGTTTCTGGGCCATGGGCAACCTGGCACGGCCGGGCTACGCTGCGACGACCGAAGGCATGTGGCCGTACAGTTATGAGGACCGATGCGATGCAGGGATCACCCCGAACCAGAGTTCGACAGACGGGATCAGCATGCTCCCGGGGATGCGTTTGCCCGCGTGCAGCTGTGCCGGCGAGGATCACCCTTCTCCTGGAAAGTCGCGAAGCGCGCCAGAGCTCGACGTGATCGAAGCGAGCGTCATTTCACTGAATAACAACCCCAATTCGGCTGTGGGCTCTGTGTCGCAGAGTTTGCAGATGGCCCCGTTCGATATCTGGTATATGCCAGACTATGGTGAGTCCTACCCCCTGCGCACGGTTCTTGCAGTACTGACAATGCTGCAGATTTCGCCGCTGTGTACGACCCTCGCATCACCGAGATCAACTCGTATCGCGGCAGCCCCTACCAACAGGCCATGTCTGGGCTGACCAACCTGAACAACGACTGGTACAACGGGTCTGCGTACCAAGTATACGCGTTCGAGTACACACCGGGCGCCACGGGCGACGTGACCTGGTTCGTCGGACAAGACAAGACCTGGACGCTGGACGGCCGTGCGCTTGGTCCGAACGGCAACGTCGGCCAGCGGATGATCCCCTTGGAGCCGATGTCCATCGTGATGAACCTGGGTATGGCGTACAGTTTCGCGGCCATCGACGACTCGATTCGCGAGTACATGCCCGGGTTCATGCGGTTTGATTACATTCGCATCTATCAAGACCCCGACCACCAGAGCGTCACCTGCGACCCGCCGGGATACGAAACCACCGACTACATCGCGAATCACCCGAAAGCATACAACGACTTTAACAAGACTACATGGTGAGTACTAACGCTGTCTGGGAGGTCTGGGCTGCGCTGACATATCCTAGGGCTGATGCCGGCTACGACTGGCCTAAAAATAGCTTCATGCATGGGTGCAGAATGGCTTAGCCTACTAATTGCGAGCTTATCCTATCTGATCAGTTACACCCCATGGCGCTCTACGGTGTATTCCATTCTTGCTGAGGTGCTCTGTCGTCTCGGCAGTTTAGCGGCATTCTGCTTCGGCGTTAGGCGTGGCATGCGTGTGATGGGAGGAGACATCTTTCTTCGTTGTATGCTAGATTTGCAGCCTTTTTTTCTGCTTGTTCTATATTACTTTCTTCGTTATACATGGCTGTGGTGTGAGCAATCTTGATCCATACATGATCATCATACTCTGTAGAAACCTTATGGATCTCTGTACACATGACTAAGCCATTGCGTCCAGCACTGCATGTCACATCCATCATCCTCCACGTCCTCCAACATACCTACATCCTTACATATACCTCCCTGCTGGACAGGGCCCCCCATTCCATCCTCTATCCACCCTCCCTCCAGACCGATCAATCACAATGTCCACCCACAACATCCCTCGCCGCAGCCAACCCACCCCTCAGAACCCAATCGTAATCACCTCCGACGACGAAGCCGAAGCTTCAGACGACTCCATGGAGATCGACTTCGCCAGCGCACACTCCCGCCAGCAGCAGATCGGATTCCGTATGCCCTTACCCTCGCACGCTCTCAGCACCCACCTACCTACCGCGTAGCTAGCTCGCTAACGAACCAAGTCGAAGGCTACAACCACAACCACGCGCACCGACCACAACACCAGCAACCACAACCCCGCCAAGCTCCTCTCTACACCTCCACCCTCGAGCAGGAAAAAAAGGTCCGCAGCCGCCTGCGCGAAGAGCGCCACGCCGCGCTGTGCGTGCTGATGGACCGCGAACTGCTCACGATCCAGGCTCTTGCCGCGCAAGAGGTAACTCCCCTCCGGCCGTCTACACCGTTCTACCTTCAACGGGGGGTATGGCTGGAGCGCTACTAACAGATTTAAAATGGTAGACCCTCCCGCAAGCGCGCCGCCGCTTCCTGGCCAAGCTCATGGCCCCCGATGACCCCGAAATGGCTGCGTCCATCCGCGCCGACCGCTTCACCATCCAGCACCCGTCCACCACCACCGCCGCCTCCTCCGCCTCCGCCTCCGCCTCGTCAACGTCAACGACCGTGCAGCGGAAGATCGTCGATGTGCATGAATCCGATGATACCGGGTGGCGGCGCCCGACGGATCCGTCCTCTGTGTCTGCGGCTGCTGTAGCCGGCGTGGCGTCTCCTGGGGGTTCGTCAGCGATGACGACGACGCCCGTGTCCCGCGGGTATGCGCGGAGGATGGCGTCCATGACGCCCGAGCGGACGAGGCATAGTCCCGCTGGGAGACCACGGGCGTCGGCGTCGCGGAGCCAGCAGACGCGAGAGCGGGAGCGGCGACGGCGGTGGAGTGGTGCGGAGCGGGAGGATGCCGGAATTCCGTTTGGGGGGTTCTCTCCTTGAGGTTTGAGATGTGGGATGTTATGGACTGATTGTATGTGTTACGAGAAACGATTCGCTTGTATACGTTCCTAGCGGTTACGAGAATGATTCCTTGTATACATTCCTAGGCCGTGTCATACCGTAGCTATCCTATCCAATCCAATCCGTAATCTACTATACAGCAAAGCAAATAAAAATAAACAAGAAAGCAATGGTCCGGGCTCTACCCTCCAAGAACAAAACCAATTCCCCCACACTATCCTGAATCAGTTCAATGGGTATCATATAGACCAAATCATGAGGCGATCAATCGATCGAGTACAGAAAGGTCAGGTACGCTCAGGATTCCCGAGAAAAAAACAAGTGCCATCGACTTGCTTCTTCTCCGACAGCAAAACGCTTTTGGTTTTGTCCACCAAAAATAAAAAGGGGAAACAAGAGTATCGATGGTACTACTCGATCCCGTCGGACCAAATCATCCGCAGCGGTCCGTGGCACGGGCGAGGTGCCAAATAACGGCCGTTACGGCCTTTCAGCATTGAGTCGGCTTTCTGCGTCGCCGACTTGCTTACGTTCAGAAACTTCCCGGTGTTGCATGCGCGCGCGCGCAGCTTGAATGTTCATCGGCGTCAATCCTCGAGACGGTGGTGGATCCGGTTCCGAATAGAATGGGTGAAGTCGGTGGGAAGTTGAGAACCGGACGCGCCCATCCCTCATGACTGGTAATTGTCATTGCAGAGGTTCCGAGCTCGAGGAAAGACGGTTCAGATGGAGGTAAACATCGGTGCCATATCTGGGGAGACATCGTCAGCGGTTACTCCCGCAATTGCTGGTTTTGTGTAACGGAAAATCACTTACCCCTCCATACTGATTAATTTCAAGTCCCCACCGAAGTATCGAGCGTACAAGCGACTGATAGGCAATCCGTAGCCAAAGCCAGCCATGGGCGCCTTGAAGTCGCTTTTGTCAAAGTCCGGGTCCAGATTGGGCGTTTGCTCCACCGTGGTGTACATGTACGTCCAGACCAGGGGGATAGCCGAACGAGGGATTCCTCCACCTTCGTCCGAGACTTTGATCGTGATGTCTTCTTTGCCTTCGGCAATTATAACCTTGGTGACGGGGAAGGCATCCTTGTCGGCGCCGTGCGTCTCAACCACCGCACGCAGCGAGTTCTTCAAGGTTTCGAACAGCATGTGAGACAGGTGGCCCGGAACGTACATGAAGTTCAGATCTTCCTTGCAGACGAGCTGGACCTTGGGGGCTTCGAAGAGACCGTAGTAATCCTCACACACGAAACGCGCGTTCTCGATGGCCTCCAGGGCCACCTCCCGAACATTCGTTTTGGTACAGATGATTCCGACATAGTTGGGGTGACGGACATGGGTTTGTTCCGTTAACGCGATGTGTTGTCCAATTAACATTCGTATACCAATCCGAGACATGTAGAACCGATCAAGAAACGACTGCACAGTGGAGTCGATCTGCAACCGTTGCCGTTTCCGTTTCCATTCGAGAATACCCTGCGCCACGGTAGTCACAACGCTATCGTGTCTTCGTTTGATATGTCCGAGGGTTTTTGCGAAGCGTTCGTTGTAATCGTTCAATTCCGGAGGCCAGTCACCATGATCATCTGACGGGACGAAGTATCTCCGCGCAGCCGCAGCCGCGGCTTTCCCGTTCCCATTGTGGTGAGACGTCGAGTTGGGCGAAGACCGATACTGACCTTCCTTGATACTGGGGTTTTGGGTGGTTTCCGAGAGAATTTTGGATGCCCCACCGTTGGCCCTCCCTGGGCGCAACAAGCGGGCTTTCACTTCTTGGGTGAGAGTTGGTCGAGGCAGAGTGATGATTTCCTGTGGTCATCGTTAGAAACGAGGCAGGAAGAAAATTAGGGCTACGCCAGGATGATGAGTCATACCTCGAATGATTGCGCGTACCAGTCCTGGACCTTTTTGATAGAGGGCATCTCACTGAGCCCGTCGGGAAGCTCACCGAGGTCCTGAACGCGATGCGCCAAGCGGATGGGGAGTTCCTCAGAGAGGAACTGTGAAGCACGAAAGAGAGTTCCTGAATCGGGAAAGAGATCATGAGATCAGCGGCTGAACTGTTTTCTTGAAACGCACGGATAGAAGCAGGACACTGCTTGAAAAGACAAACAGCAGTGTACATACCGGTTGAAGGTCTGTCTCCGAATTGAACCATCTGTCGGAGGGAGACGCCGGTGGCGGGGGAAGCTGGCATAATGTCTGATGGTGTCCATCAGCCGCTCCGACGGCTTCCACATGGTGTTGTGGTGTTACAGGCCCAGCGGCCTGTGAATTAAGGGCGATAGATCAGATCAATGTGGTCAATAAGTTGACACGAGGTCGTCCGGTGAGAGGAATAGGGCAGACACAGGGTTCTGCGCTGGTGCACGACGCAGCAGGCCCAAGGTGTGACAACCGAGGTTTGGTTCCGCTCTCCAGCGATCTCGGAGCTCCGGACAGCCAATGCAGAAGCTCCGGATACGGCGATGAAGAGGAGAAGGGAGGAAGGGGGGAGGGCGTAGAGGAAGAAGGGAAAGGAGGAGCAAGAAGTCAAGCAGTCATGGAGAGATCAGATTGAAGCAGGAGAAGAATGGAAGTAAGGAAGAAGATGGAGGTGAAGGACCGGGAAAGAGCGCGAGCGATGACTCTTTGCGGAGACTCGAAATTCCCGGGGAGTCACGTGTGGGGGGTTGATCCCGTGCTTGACCGAGGAACCTTTTGTATCTAGACTCTCCGTATACACTCCACCATCATCCGATCCCTCACAAAGTAGCAAAATGAGACGACCAAACCAGAGACCCTCAATGGTCTGATTCTTTCCCTCGTCCATGGCCACTCCGTCTTCACCGCGGATGGTCTGTCCCGCGGCACCGATTCCATCGTCGGACTCCCCCACTCTGCAGGGAGAAGTGCCGATGCGGGAGAATGTGAATCAGGCTCCGACTTTCCCCTTCGTCCGAAAATCGTCACCTCCCACTTCCCACCTCCCGACGGTTCAAGTGGTGTTAGGTCGCGGTAAAATTATTGTTGTTGATTTCGGCGATATCTTCTCCATGAATACTCCAGATTCTCGTACCCGTTGGGAGTATCATGACTGGGGAGGTTGTGTAGCTGAGGGGACGCTGGGCTACATTCATGAAAGAATATATATACAGTCCCAATGTCGAGATATATGCCGTTTTCTCTCAACCATTCATCGTATTCAAGCGTATAAGTATAAATAAAAGCACAGACCTCTATACTACAAAGATAATATTAATGTCAACTGCAGAGATGGTCGACAGCTAGATGGTCAGACCATAACAGACCGATCATAAGAACCATGTCCAGGGGATTCACATGATCCATTCCTTCAAGCTCATTCAGGCGGCCGGATAATTGGCTTTCTTCGAGGTGGATTCTAGAAGTCAAAGAGAGCTAGCCTCGGGACAAATCCGCCAGTCAAGGGGGTCTCATTGAGAACTGCTTTTAACATATGCCAAGCATGCTTTAATTCCCCATTATTGAACACGTTCACCAAATAGTCACTACGGGGAATAAAATTGGAAAAAGATCCCGCGAATTCCAATTCCTACATAATCAGGTAGCAATATTCAGCTTCAAATTGATTTAGCTATCTATTTTAAGAAGAGATCTTCTCGTTTCTGTCTATTTAAAGACATGTCCAGCTGAATGGGCCTCAGATATGCAAAATAGGGATTCACTGAGGATCCATTCAGCAAAAGTACCGGCGGAACTTCGGAGACTCGTGGCACGCGGCAAGAGATCTTTGTACAGAGTATGCCGGATGATAGCCCTATCTTGGACATGGGCTGAGGTTCTTCGTTAGGTATCCCCCTGTCTCTTCAACAATAACACCACTTACCACCTACCGAGTACGGAGTAGTAGACACGATAGTAATCAGAATCATCAGATGGCATCAGTGGAGACGCGTTTCAGCGTCTGACAGCTGTCCGGCCCACTAGAAATCGGGTGGATGATTTGTCTGGACCCTCTTTGCTTTTTCCATGCATTACTCGTGCTGTCAGGATGATGTGCAAGCTGAACCACAGTTACACAGAACGGGCGGGTTGGCAAGCTCCTTAGCAAGGTAGAAGTATACCGAAGCCACCAGATTGGTGGTGGATGGTGGGCTCCAGATCATACAGCTCGACAGCGATGATTCTAGATTCCTTGTTGCGAAGCCATCTGCAGAGATACATCAGAGACACCAGAGTGACATCAACCATGATGTAACTGGGGCATTGTTTCTTTTTTTCCACAGTCATGTTCTTGTATCTTTTGGACTTCTCGGGTATATAGATTTGTAAATGGATTTGTAGATATATTGTATATATTCTGTCCAAGTTGTCCGACTTGTCCTATCCCTAGTCATAGTGATCAGCTTGATAATAATTATCCGGCCCATAAACCCTAGAAAAAGCAGCAAGGATCCGCAGATTACCTTTTTCGCCCTCCTGCACTTAATGCCAAATCTCTGACCCTCACCTGCTCCAACGTCCCCTCTACGGGCCCCCTCTCGGCCTCTGATTGATTTATGGGGGGTTTTTTCTGAATGGAAAATTTTTCTTCCAGCCATTGTGCGAATCGGTGGGCGTGGTTGGAAGTGTGTGTGTGCGTGTGTGGCGGAAAAGGACCTGAAGCCTTTTTTAGTACAACCGTCAACAATCGGCAAAAAAATTGACGCGATTCGCGAACAACCAAGGGCCACCGAGACACAAGAGCATCCAGAGGGAGATGTTTCGAGAATAGAAGACAAGGTGAATTAAAACCCATCATCGAAGATTGCTCGGACCAAGAACATCTGGAAGCTCTCTCCACTCTCCAATCGCAGAGAAAACAAAATTCCCAATTGGGCAAAACAAGAGAAGCCGCACGACTTCCACTACGGCCACTTCATCCCATCGTATCCCAGTGCTTCCTCGCCCCTTTCGCTCCATCTAGACAGACTTCTCCTCCAGCCCTAGCTGGTACCTCTCTCGGTTGCTCCCAACACCCACTCCTCTCGGCCTCTTCAACTAGGTGAATCTCCTTGACACCTACTCTGCGTGTTTCCCGACTTTCTCTCATCCTCTTCCCCCTCATCCGCTTCGGCCCCTGGGATTGTGAACTCCGGGGTCTACTTATCTTCGTCCTTTTTTATCTTCAACGGTCTATCTGCCACGCACTCCTTTTCTCTCTGCATCGGTCATTCGGGTACTCTCCAATCTTGTCTTCTGGAAGCTCGTCCCAGACAGATGTATCTTTCCTAGCGGTTTGGTGTGACGGTCCTCCTTTCATCTCCGTGTAAAAAATATAACCATGTCTCGGCGTCGTGCCTCTCACAGTGAATCAATTGCTCAATCGTCCACGACGAACGAGGCCTTTGCATATCCTTATTCCGGAATGCAGCAGAATTTCCAAGCCCCGCGGCGCGGTCCGATCGAGGGCCCCAACGGCCGTCGCTTGATCCGCCGGGTCACCTGGCGTTCGTCCACCTACAAGTTGATGGCCTCCTTGTGGGTGTTTGGCGTCTTCTACATCGTGTGGTTGATCCGGGACATCTTCTATCTCCCCTTTTCGTCCTCGTCGAGTCCCGCCACCACCAATGGGGCTCCGAGGTGAGTCGCTTGTCACCATCCCGCACCGCAGTCCGCGTACTGATTAATTGGATCCGTCCCGTAGTCTGCTAGACCACTACGTGGGGCTGCACCAATGTGGCATCTCGTCGGCGTCCCTCTACACGCCCCCTCAGGCGAGTCACCAGTATTGTCAGACCCGCGATGCCTTGCTCAGCGCCATGAGTAACGGCGGCCGTCATGGCTTTGGTGCCGCCTATACGTCTCAAGGTAGGTGGTGTCTCTTCGCGGGGTCAGCCGCCCAGTCCCGTCCAGTTCCCCCGCTGACGAGCCTATCATGCAACCAAAAGGCTGTTTCTACCGGTGGTACACTCCGTCCGAGGTCTGCGACATCCTGCAGAAGTTCGATGGTGTGGTCTTTGTTGGAGACGAGTCTCTGGCTGATATCTACGCCGGGTTCAACATCATCCTGCGACAGGATCTCCAGACCGGCTCTCTGCGAGACTGGGACATGAGCCCACCGCAGCTGGAGAAGTGCAATTGCGACGCCCAATTCACCAGTGCCTCGTGTCTCCCACTGCGAATCACATCGAGCGATGAGGTGGACCGACAGAAGACCCTTCGGAGTCCGTATGCTTGTTCTGCGCGTGAGTTTTGCCCCCCGTGCCACGTCAATTACTCCCACACTCCGGAGGCGCTAATGCCCTCCGTGTTACAGAAGTATCTCACGATTTCATTACCGTGACAAACTCGCCTGCCCCGAAAGGCACCCAGGAGAAGTTCCGCCAGCTCCTCTCCCAGACCGAGACCCCGCAGAAACCAGTCGCCGTGATCCAGAGTCTGTCGTTGTCCACTTCCTATTCCTTGACGACAGCAAAGAACAGCATGGACGAATGGCTAGGGCTGGCTCAGAGCAGCAGTCGGATCACCCCGTTCCTCTGGGTTGGCCCAACCGCCCCGGGCCACCAGAAACCCTCTGGGGACAATGTCCATGCGAGCAGCTGGCAATACACGCTGGACGTTGCGGCGGCCGCACAGGTAAGAGGTATTGAAACGCTAGGCATGTATAACGCGACACTGCAGGCAGATAGTTGGGACGGCATGCACTATGGCGAGAAGGTGGCTTTGATGCAGGCTATGATGGTACGATTTCCAACGTTACACAGCATATTCGCATCAGACTAACCAGGGTTTTCGCCTCCCCACCACAGATTATCAATTGGCTGTCTGCGCTCTAGAGAGCAAAAACACCGACCTATTTCCACCATGGGCCGCATCGAACGTGCGACACTGATGGTTGCGCAGGGACGACATGTCCCCTACCTAGACGGAATCTTTGGCTAAGCAATGTTTCACATATGGCAGGGATAGGTATGTGTGATGGTTTATTACTACTTCCCCTGCCACCCAACATCAGTCTTGCAGCGTCTCGTACTTGCCTGTTCCTAACCGAATCTACAATCCAGACCAAATTGCACATCTATATGATCGCATCTTACGCTTCTTGCATTGTTTTCTAGCGACCATCTTCCATTCTCTGCTTGTCTTTAACACCGGCATTTCCGTACGAACAGAAAAACGAAAAAAAAAAAAAAAAAAATACCAATGAAAAGGACCTGCATCTGCATGCATGCATATTTTCTATACATACGCACACATCTACATGTCTAATGTTTAACCCGGAGATGTACATATGAGACTGTTCCTTGCATCGCACTACCGTGACACCACCTAATCCCTCCCTCTGCAACCAGACTGGACACAGCGATGGCGGTGGGGTTTCATATACGACCGGACATAGCATACCTGATATATTAGAACGAGGGGATGAAATCCAGGATGAAATTCGATGGTCGTCGACACCCAACAATTGTAGGGTTGTACGTTGTGGAACACTCGCCTGAGTCCATCGATTACCAACAAACAGATCAGAACTCGCTGTAGAATTGAACAGACTACCCCTGTACTCCTCTATATATTTTCACATTAATCTGACATCTGGCTACGTGATATTCGTTCATAACTCTGTACCGTAAAGAATGGAAGAAAACACCCCATCATCCGATCAATCTCGTATCACTTGACCAGCACCCGTGGAGATTAGACGCTGAGGGCAGAAGTCTCGGCGTTGGCGAGGTAACTCTCGTACGGCTGCAGGGCCTTCTTGACCTCGGTGGAGGTGAACTTCTCGACCTGCTGGGGGGCACGGCCGACGAAGGTGCTGGGGTCGAGGAGGGCGTCGAGCTCGTCGAGGATGGGGGCGAAGAAGGGGGTGCGGCGGACGCGGTCGAGCAGGTCGTTGTCCTTGCCCTGCTTCTTGACGTTGTCGGAGGCCTGGTGGGAGAGAACACGGATCTCCTCGTGGGCGTCCTGACGGGAGAGACCCTTCTTGACGCAGGCCATGATGATGTTCTCGGTGGCCATGAACGGCAGCTCGTCGTTGACGCGCCGCTTGATGACCTCGGGGTAGACGACGAAGCCGGAGGTGACGTTGTTGAGGAGGATCAGGCAGGCATCGGCCGAGAGGTAGAGCTCGGGGATACTGATGCGGCGGATGGCGCTGTCGTCAAGCGACCGCTCGAACCACTGGGCCGAGTAGGTGTCCAAGGCGTCCTTGGGGAGGTTCTGGAGGTGTCTTCCGAGCGAGCACAGACGCTCCGAGCGCATGGGGTTGCGCTTGTACGCCATGGCGCTGCTGCCGATCTGGTCCTTCTCGAACGGCTCCTCGACCTCCTTCAGCATGGCCAGGTGACGGATGTCGATGCCGATGCGCTCGCAGGTCGATCCGAAGGAGCCGAGCGCGTTGCCGACGTCGACGTCGATCTTGCGCGAGTAGGTCTGACTGGAAATGATGAAAGCGGAGTTGAAGCCGGCCTTCTTCGTCACGAGCTCATCCAGCTGTTCCACCTTGTCGTGGTTTCCGTCGAAGATCTGCAGGAAGGAAGCCTGCGTACCGGTGGTACCCTTGACACCGCGGAAACGCAGGTCGTCCCGGGCGCGTTCCAGGTTGCGCAGGTCCATCAGGAGATCCTGAATCCACAGACACGCGCGCTTTCCGACAGTCACGAGCTGAGCGGGCTGGCCGTGGGTGAAGCCGAGGCAGGGGAGGTCCTTGTACTGCTGGGCAAAGGCGGAGAGCTTGTCAATGACGACGGCGAGCTTGGGGATGAGGATGTCGAGACCATCGCGGAGGAAGATGAGATCCGCGTTGTCGGTGCAGTAGCAGGAGGTGGCACCCCAGTGGATGATACCCGCGGCGGCGGGGGCGACCTGACCGTAGGCATGAACGTGAGCCATGACATCGTGTCTCCGGCGCTTCTCCTCCTCGGCCGCAACCTTGAATTCGTCGTCCTGGATGGTGGTATGGGCTTTCATCTGCTCAATGGCATCGTCCGAGATGGGCAGGCCCAGCTCTATGCTCATTAGTTGGGGAGACCGAGACAGCAGGAGTGAACACGGTCAGGTACCTTTCTGCGACTCGGCAAGCCACAGCCACAGCTGTCTCCAGGTCGAGAAGCGGTTGCGGGGGGAGAAGAGGTACTTCATCTCATTGCCTATGATGGTCACATCTGATCAGCCGCCGTGGCCTAGTAGATCCACGATAAATCGGCGAATTGGGGCACTCACTCGCATAGCGCGAGTTGAGAGGAGTCTGGTAGACATCATTGCTGGAAGACATGCTGCCGGAGAGGAATTGAGATGATTCTGTCGAGAAATTGAGCGACAGGAGAGAAAGAGCAGCGTCGGGGGGGAGCGACTGTGTGCGTCGATCCCAAGAAATTTTGCGCGGGCTTAGCGGGGTCTCCGCTTATCAGCACAGTCACGGGATCCGGAGGGGCTATCATCACGTGCAGGCACTCCCGGATACGGAAGCGTCGGGCCGTTGTTCGGCCGGAGTATGTCGTCATTGCCCTCACCCGTGCTGTGTGTCCCATGAAATGATCGTCGCGATCTAGCCCCCCGCTAGTTTTCGTCCTTAAAAAGCCCCGGATGCTCGCCTCGTCGTCTCGTCGTCTACGCGGTACCCATCGCAACATGGGTGCGGCGAAGGCATTGTCGCTTCGTTGGACGCTTCCTCCGGCGGCCCTGCTGGCATTGAGCAGCGGGGTGCTTCACAAGAGTGGAGACCGTGCTCACCCTGATCGACAGACCAACTTCTCGACTTCGGCGAGACTCTCTGCGGACAGTGGGAAATCGTCATCAGACAAACCAGGCAAAACCAACACCCTCTTCGGCTCCGACGATGGCTCTCCCAATGGTGACCAGGCCTCAATATGGATGAACATCCTTCAGAAGTTCGATGGTGTGAAACAATCCGTCGGCACACCGGATTGGATCGAGATCGACGCCATTAAGAATTACATCATACCAGACTGGGCTCGCTTGCTCCCTGCCACCGTTCAAAAGCTCCAACGGGAGCTCTCTATGGCCCCTGGTTCTCTCGCCGATGACATCTGGAGAGAGGCCCATGATCCCTACATTCATCCCGAGATCGCACGGGAGGCACGAGTCCGTGTGGGGGACACTCTGTGTGATGAGGAGGTGGATTTCCGGCAGAAAAGGCAAAGACACGCGGTCCGAGCCCTCGCATCCTACCTAGGCATCCCCGAAGAGGACATCCACCCAGAGGATGTTCCAATTATCGCCATGTGCGGTTCTGGAGGCGGTCTGCGTGCCCTTGTGGCTGGAACGGGCTCGTATCTGGCCGCCCAGGAAGCTGGTCTATGGGATTGTACTACGTATACTGCTGGGGTGAGTGGCAGCTGCTGGCTTCAGACGCTGTACCATTCCTCAATTACTGGACGCGACTTCAATCGAATGGTCGATCATCTGAAGAGCAGACTGGGCGTCCACATGGCATTCCCCCCGAAGGCGTTGAAATTGCTTACAACCGCCCCAACGAATAAGTACCTCCTGGCTGGATTGGTTGAGAAACTCAAAGGCGACCCGGGAGCAGATTTTGGGCTGGTGGATATCTATGGCATGCTTCTCGCTGCCCGGCTACTTGTGCCAAAAGGAGAGCTCGGCGTGTCGGATATGGACCTGAAGTTGTCTCATCAAACGCATAATCTCTTAAACGGAGCGCACCCCCTTCCGATTTATACAGCCGTCCGCCATGAGATCCCTATGGTGCATAATGACGAAGAAGGCAAGCCAGTTCCTGAAAAACGGATGAGGCAATCCCAGCGCGAGGCGTGGTTTCAATGGTTCGAATTTACGCCCTACGAGTTCTTTTGCGAGGAGCTCGGCGCAGGCATACCGACGTGGGCTCTAGGGAGACATTTCTATGGAGGCAGGAACACCATTTTGCCGGACCATTCCCCGATTCCTGAGTTGCGCGTTCCCGGCCTGATGGGCATCTGGGGCAGCGCTTTCTGTGCAACACTCTCCCACTATTACAAGGAAATCCGTCCATTGGTCAAGGGAATCGCAGGCTTTGGCGGTATAGACTCTTTGATCCAAGGCAAGACAAAAGACCTGATCCGAGTACACCCCATCGATCCCGCAGCGATCCCGAATTATGTGCGTGGAATGGAAGATGTGTTGCCGCCCTCTTGCCCCGAGTCCATCTTCCAAGACGACCACCTGCGTCTCATGGATGCCGGCATGAGCAACAATCTTCCGATCTACCCTCTTCTGCGACCCGGAAGAGACGTGGACATTATCGTTTCCTTTGACGCATCAGCCGATATCAAACAGGAGAACTGGCTTTCCGTTGTCGACGGATACGCGCGGCAACGCGGCATTAAAGGCTGGCCTGTTGGAGCAGGCTGGCCGAAGGAGGATGACCACCTCAAGGTGACAGAGGAAACTCTGCGGGAGCCGCAAAACATCAGCGAAACTGCGATAAACCAGAAGGTGAAAGAAGCCCAGGAGATGAACAAGAAGTCAGACGGTGCTGTGGCCGGCCAAGAGGGAAAGGAGCGACCTGCAAACAACACAGACTTGGACTACTGCAATGTCTGGGTCGGCACAACGGAAGAAATGGTCTCGGGCAAGGAACCGCCGCCATCCAAGCGTCTCTTCCATCCCGCAGGCGACCAGTCTGAATCCGAGTTCCATCTGATGCGTCCCGAAGCCGGGATCGCCGTCGTCTACTTCCCTCTTCTACCGAACCCATCCGCTCCAGAACTGCCCCCAACCTCCGCCATGTCCAAGTCTCGCGCACCCTCCCGACACTCGGAAATCACCTCGTCCACTAACGCCTCTGAATCCGCCGCGGACCTGGCCCCTCACCCGGGCTCCATCAACCCTGACGTGGATGACTTCCTCTCGACCTGGAACTTCATCTATACCCCCGAACAAATCGACGCTGTGGTCGGCCTGGCCAAAGCAAATTTCGCACAAGGCGAGGAACAGGTGAAGCGCGTGGTGAGGGCTGTCTACGAGCGCAAGAAGAATGACCGTCTGCGACGAGAGGCGGAAGCGGCCCGACAACGCATGGAGGGGTTTGTGCCGTTGTGAGGTGATGTGTTGCAGTAGGTCGTTCCTTATGCATGGTAGAACATGCTTTGTATAATTTCTTTTGTTTTTGTTGGCTTGGAGTCTGACGAGAAGTCGGGAGAGGGATGAGTCTGGTTTTCTTACTTTTATACTGGTTAGGCCTCGCTGCATATACCGGCAAGTTTAATTATACCAATAGAAAGATTACAATGTCGACGTGGGAGGTAGTTGTAGGCAACTACAATGATAAAAATGTCCCTCCTGCATGCCATTCTGAAAGACCATATCCCATCAATGAACTTGGGCACATCGGGCATCGAGTGTTTCGAGTGGTATCTATATATTCTTTTCCATCTGATGGAAACCAGAGGACTCAAATTCAGTTATATCCAAGCCCGCTGGAGAAAATCCCAAGAGTCTAAAGTACAGGACATAGATGCACAGTATATACCGGTTTAGATGGTGTCAATCGAGCCCTCAGTTCTTGTCGCGAGATGATGGCCCGTCTTTTCTGCCTGAGGGCTCTTTCACCTCTTCTTCATCCCCAAAGTACGGACGGACTCCCTCAAAATCATCATTATCGTCTTGCTTCGTTTGTCCCTCTTCCGCGATCTTGCCGCCATGACGCCTTCGTCCCAACACAGGAGAATTGTCATCACTCTCTGCCAGACTGACGTCCTGACTCTCGTCAGTTTGCTTCCGAAGACCTAGCTCTTTGCCGAGGCCTTGCGCAGAATGGACAACTGCAGATGCGGCACCAGCTGCTGCGGTGCTGATACTAGTGAGGAGAGGGTGGTCCGTCTCGGAGGACAGGCCTTTCTGCTGATCATTCCCTCCCTCTGGGATTTGGATCGGTATGTTCTCCTGGTCTCGTCCGAGGCTCTCCTGGATGTCTCCTACATCCCGACCCCGCCAGTCAGCCGCGTGGCTTTCCGGGATCGTCTCTCCTGGTTTAGGCTCCGAGATGCGCTTGCCTGGCACGGGAGCGGCCTCCTCTTTGGCCGAAACCTGGATGCCTAGTTGAGATGGGTGTGGATACCGCCAGACCACCTTCACACGGTCGAGTGCCCGGATGCCTTTCTTCGTGGTTCCCTTGATCCCATCCAAGGCGTCCCATTCGGCTTCGAAGACCCCGGAATCATGTTTGTCACCGCCCTCAAAATACGCGTTGAACCAGACATGCGCGATAGACGTCACCATCGCCCACCCGGTGTACGCAGCTTTGCTTCGGCGCTCGAAGTCGATGTTTACATCTGACGTGGGAAGGATGACGGGTTTCTTCGGGCGAAAGAGGGCCCCAGTCGTGTGTCCTGCAGAAGAGCCTGTGTCACCAGACGACGTTGCACTAGCGGCGGCAGAGCTGATGGTCGTCGCGCTGGAATTTGTCACAGCCGATACAGGTTCTTTAGTAGGGCTGTCGGTGGTAGTCGTTTTATCGCGGCCATCACCCTCGACGACAGTGCGTTCGCTGCGGTGGAACAGATGGAAGCACTTGATCTTCTTGCCTTCGTCAACAAACCCTTCGACAGCGACCTTGACACCATCCCTCAAGCCCCACACATGTAACTCGAGAATCTCCACCGGACGCTCGACATACATCTTGTTCATGCCGTTCGTCCAGCGATCCACGTATCCAACCCAGCGCAGCTGGCTGGGGATGCTGACGCCGGCGCCGAACCCGGCGCGCATCCGCCGTTCCGTGAACCGCTGCAACGCGTCCTCCATCTTCCACCCCTCCTGGCTGATCAGGTAGCTACAGGCGACGGTGCCACTGCGGCCCTTTCCGGCTTTGCAATGCACAACGGCGACCCTCTTCCCTGCGTCGTCGGAATGCGAACCGTCCAGCCGGTGCAGCCAGTTCTTCATGCTTCCCATCATGGCGGGGATGAGCGCAAACGGCGGCGGGTGGTGGTCTGGGAAGGGGTAGTGATGGATGCGGCCGTAGACTTGGTCGTCCGGGTATCCGGTGCCCTCGGCACGGAATTCCCAAATGCACCAATTCTCGCCATGTTTGGCGTCGAGGAAACGCACGAGGCCGTCGAGCGGGTTGCGGTATGCGCGTTGTGGATAGTTCGCCGAAGGACCGGACGTGGCGATGACTGGAGAATGACGGCAGTCAGCAGGCATCTAGACGGGGGAGAGCCCTGCGGATGGTAGGGACGGGTATGCTCACTGTTATCTGTGACGTAGCAGAGATCGAGGCCGGCCTCGGGGTGCTGCAATCTCGGGCCTGCGACAATCTGTCGGAGGATTGACGCCTGGGCAAGAAGCCAAGCACCGCACGTCAGTCTCGGCAGGCAGGGCCTGGGGAGATGTCATACCATGAAATCTATGAATGCGGGGGCAGCTGGTGCTGGAGATACATCAGTCACCGGCTGGGAGAGCTCTAGAAGATTAGTTTCTGGGTGCAAACAGGAGCTCCTTACCATTGGTATTGAATGACCCACCCGGTTGTGATGTGGCGTACCGCGCTCCGGTGGCGGGGGTATAGATTGGATTGAGAATTGAAGTCGCAGCTTCAGAGAGAAACGCGAGAAAAAGCAGAAGCAAAAGGAGATGTGTTGGTGAGATAAACGAGGTGAAGTTGCAAGAGGGTGAGAAGAAGGCGATGCTGGTGGGGATGATGTCACTCCTTCCGCATCAGCAGAAACATCCACAACACCAAGTACTAGTACTAGTACTCTACAAATAATAGCTACGCAATTAAGAAAGGAAACATGATGGTATATATTTGTCCATATCAATGGGCACGCATCCCAAGAGACGACATTAGAGCTTTTGAAAATATTCATAATCCCCATGGCCGAACAAACAATAAATGATGATACAAGAGGTACCGAGCCCCTTTCCACATCACAATTCATAACTGTCCATTATTTAGACAACGTCGAAGTTCGCGGGTTATGATCAACACAACCATCCCTTCCATCCCACCGGCACTGGCGCCGAACGGCGGACAGCCTTTACGCGACACCATACACCTCGGTCACCGGGATGGTAAAGTTCTTGATCGACGAAGTGACATTGGTTTGGCCGAGAGCAAAGAACTCAGCCTCTCCCTGGTTCGTAAACCAGGAATGCTGGGCCTTCACATTCCAGACGGGGTAGGGCTTTGCGACGACCTGTGCCTTGACGTGCTTGTCATCGCACAGCGCATAGTCGTCTCCGTCGGACGTGGTGGTGGTTCCGTTGCAGTGGGTATTGAATCCCGGAGTGTTTTGGCTGGCGACGCCGAAGATGTTGAAGGTGTACACGCAACCGCCGGGCGAGCAGCCGGTGTCGAAGTTGGAGACGTGCCAGGTGAGAGACGGGCTGTCTGCACGAGCGCCGGGGGTGACGGGGACTGCGGCGGCGAGGGTCGACAGAGCGACCGCGAGGAGAGAGGTGAGTTGCATGGTGATGGATGGAATTAGACAATAGAATAATATACGTTCTGGTATATGTATGAAGGAGAGAATTATGTAGGAAGGACTCGAGCGAAGAAAGGAGGAGGAATCCGGACGGAGGAGGTTGGGAGACAACAAAGGCCTCGATATAATGCAAGACAAGGGACGGTTCCAGAGGTGGCAAGCGATGATATAACAGAGGAGACGAGGAACAGTGGTCTCCTTTTTTTCTCCCCCGACGGTTATCGCAAACTGTGCTGGTGGATTCGCACGGCGACTAAATCCTGACGATCGCAGGGACGATGGGGCTGCATGTTTCGCTGCTGCTCCTGGCTGGTATCGTCATTGGTGTAACTGAATGTCCATCCGGGTCCATGGTTGAACAGAGTGGGACAGCATCATGTTGTTCCAATGGATCAGGTAGTATCACCACAGAGAACCTGGTACACTGAGTACATTGTACTATACAAGACATATGATTGTGTGTTGAGAATCATCATCCCCTGATCAGATTCCTGTCGGGACGATCCCAATCTCTCACCACCAGGATGACATTTCCATTTATAGAACGTCCACCGAACAGGATGGAGAACCCCATACTATGAGGTACATTGATCAGCGGTTCGAACCGGTGGAGGCACTATCGCACCGGGGCTTCTTGGCGGTTTGAGAGTGAGCCTGTTGGTATGAGATGGTCTCATCCCCAAGATCCAACCGGTGTTTCACAGCGACATCGGCACGTATCAAGAGTCTCTTCCGAGGTATACAGGATTCTATGTACAGTCAGGACACAGGTCTTTGCACCCCTTCAGCTCAGCTGGTCCTCAGGAATCAGTCCCCCAGGCTCATAGTCTTCCCATCCTTCCTCCTCCCGCGTCCTTTGAATGGCCAATCTTCGTCGCTTCTCCTTCCGTCGCTCCTTGCTGGCCGCGCGCCGTTCCTCCTTGGTTAGTCGCCGACGTTCAGAATGTCCCGGGCTGAACGGCGGTCCGGACGTGTGTTGGGGATCCCCACGACCTGCCTCTTCTCTCACTTCAGGATGACGCCTCAATCGTACGGCGTATTCGTCATCCAGTCCGGCACATAGCGCCCGGATTTGCACCCGGGCGTCTTCACTGGGATGGCAGCCTCGCGCCAGCATATCCTGAAGGTAGAAATACGCGGATTGCGAATTATCCGCCCCAAGGCACATCAAGATGAGATGCTCAAAGGTCGCGGCATCCGGTACGACGCCCAACGTTGCCATTTCCGTCACCACAAACATCCCCGCATCCGTATTCTTCGCCCGTCGGCACATCCCAATGAGCGAGTTGTAGACTGAGACATCGGCTTTCTCCGGACACAGAGCATAGAGCTGTTTGTAAAACTCGACCCCGTCGTCGACGATGGCGGGATTGCCGAGAGCTTCGTGCTCATACAACGCGATCACCACCTGGGCGCAACGCAGAGGGATCTCGTATCGCGCCGCCTTCAATTCCTTGAGGTAGGTCCAGGCCGTCTGCGGGCTGATTTTGGAATAGATCATGTGTTTGAGAAGCGCTGCGGTCGAGCTCTTCTCTAACGCGATGCCGGCCTTGTGCATTTTGCAGAGCACTTCAAACCCAGAGTACACATCCCCCGCCGCGACGTGGGTTTCGGCCAGTATCTCGTAGTCCTCCAATCCGAGTGATATATCATTCTCGACGAGGAACCGGATAACTGAGGTACCCAGCGTAGTATCTCCGGTGGCAGCAGCCACGCGCAGAACGTTCCTGCAGACCTCACAAGACGGATGGAGATATCCCAACTCCACCATCTGCCGCCACACGTAATGCGTAGCCTCATGATGGACAGAGGCGCTAGCAACATCCAGTACGTATGACCACAGACTCAATGACATGTCATGGCCTTGGGCGACCCGCGCACGCATCAGTCGCACCACCTCGTCGAGCTCTCCGAAATCACACAGATAGTATATGAGAAGGCTGTAGAGCCAGTTTTCAACCACAATATCTTTTCTTTCCATCTGCGCAATATGATCGATGGCTAACTCGAACTGATGCTCCCGGAGAAGACCGGCCACCACGTAATGCCAGCCAGCCGGGCTCAAGGGAAGCCACCGGTCTCGAAGTGTGTGCACGATGTCCTGGCGGAGGAGATAGTCTGGATGCACAGCGAGGGCCTGTGTATATCGAAAGCCAATAATCAGTATATAGCTTCATCACCGGAGCGCAAAACCACAGGCGCGCATTTCCTACCTGCAAGGCGGCGTGCAATGTCCCAGAGTCCGCCGGTATCCCATTCTCCTCCATCTCCGCAAGCAAATGGCGCACCGCGTCGGGCGATCCTCTCTCTGGATCCGAGTTCGCAAGGATCAATGCTCTGTAGTGTCGCACTTCCGGCCGCACATGACGGTCTCTGATGAGGATGCGGAGGATCTGCGTTGCGCTTAGAATTCGCGGTTCGTTGGCGCTCAGCTCCTGGAGCTTCGTTTCCAGGACTGAAGTTGGCTTTCCTTCGAGACTTTTCGGTACGCCCGGCGGGGGCCTGGGTAGATGCTCCGGGAACATGTCATCGCTGTCTGCCGGCGCGTCGACATCTTTCGGGAGACCCCGAAGTTCGTTTGGTTCGAGGGGTATCCGGTGGTTGGACAATGATTCGGCAGGCTTAGTCGCACTTCTATCAGACTGGCTTTCCGGGGTGTGTCGATGGAGCGTCCTGGAACGGGTGCCGCTCAAACATCTGCGCGACGTCCATACCGATGGCGCCTGGACCAGTCTGTGGGCGCGTCTTCCATTCGCAATGGAAATTGACGGGCTGTGGAGCAGTTTGAAATTGAAAGATGGACAGAGGCATAACCAGAGTCCATCAAAAACAAACGCCTTCTGTCGCATGTCGAGTCTTGGGGAACCCGGAGCTTGCAGTGATCTCGGCGCGAAAATCACCTATACATCACGTGATGCCTTACAACCGACAGCAAAAGCCACGACTGGCGAATTCCTTACGTATCTAGAGGATGTAAAGGGGAAATAGCGCTGCCAGAAAATAGGCAGAAACAGGAAAGAAAAGCCCATTTGGTACAATCCCATTTGAAAGAAATACATAGCCAGATACGCCAAGATCATGCTCGACCTAACCGCCAACGAATCGTCTGCACGCCACACCTATCATTCACCCCGGGGTATCTATCTTAAGCTTCTCATGCCATCGTTGTATGCGTCCAGCTCTAGTTCCCGCCTCGGCCGCGGCCCCGTCCGCGACCACGCCCACCACGACCACCCCGGTCACCTCTGTCGCCGCGGTGGCCGCCGCGACTGCGGCCGGATGGTTGGTTCTGCTGCTGCTCTCTGACCATTTCGACGATTTCTTCGGGGATCCGCAGATATTTGATCTGGTGGGGGTGTGTTAGCTGGGAATATAGGAGGTGGCTCAAAGCGCTCCGCCGGGGTCGGTCGTACGTACGTTGTTTCCTCTGATGTAGACCTCGGGCAGCTTGAAGAACCGGTCACCCTCAGGGCTAGTTTGGACGACTTCCTTGAGTATGAGGTTCATCCAGTTGTCGCAATTGGCGAGGTGGCCGTTCAATGTCTCGCCGTTCTTCAGTTCCACGAGCATCGGGTGGCCTTGGGCGGCCGTGAGGAGCCCGAGAGGCAGCTTTTCATTCCGTTAGAACGATTTCTTTGGATATTTTCGCTTGACTATTGCATTGGAGGACGCGACGCACCATTCTCACTTGATCTTGGAGGCAGATGAGAAACCGGAGGTGATGAGTGTAGGGCGCAAGGCGATAGAAATTGGGGGTAAAAAGGCTCAAAATCTGCTGCAGCGCATAGATAAACTGGGTAGGACTGGGAAGATCGTTGCTCCCTGGGGCGTTCAATATGTCAATGTTAACCAGCTTCGGACAGCTTCCAGCGGACGGTGATGCAGCATGGAGTGCGCCCGGGAAAATAGTAGTTCCGGGAAAGCGGCTGTCATGTGTGACCATGTCCCTCAGTAGTATCTTCGGCCGGTTCAGGAAGATCACCTTACCTATCCTCCTTTGAAATTATGCATCGATTGGATTAGTCGCGTCCCATGCTTTCTGCCTTTGATAATTTCCCTAAAGGTGGAAATTAAGTCATTTCTAGAGCCATACAACAAAAGCTCCAATCATAGTCGAGGTTCTAAGGTACAACTGCAATATCATATGGCCTGCAGGTGGAATAAATGGAATAAATGTCATGATGTTAAAATTACACTAAGCGCAACCAATTCGAGGATCACCAGGAAACCAAACTTGTGCCTACACCTTTGGCCTCTTGGCGGCGGCAGTATCGTCTGTGTTCTCATCCTCATCTTCATCGTCCCTGACAGTGAACTTCCGCTTTGCTCGCTGGTCTCGACCAGTTGCGTCAGCCTCGGCTTCACTAAGCTTAGCCTTGAGAGCTTCTTCACGCTTAACGAAGGCCTTGAGGAGAACCTCGTAACCCTCTTCCACATTGCCCACTGTTTCTTCGAGCTTCTGGATGCGGTCGCTCATCTCGAGCTGGATCAGCATGTCGCGAGAACGTTTGTAGAGTCGCTGTTTGACGAGCATGCGCCACCAGTAGTAACGCCGTTCATTGGGATCTTCCGATTTATGCTTCTTGATCAGCAGTCGCGTCAGAGGAGCTCCACCAGCATGGCGGTTCTTGAATGGAATCCGTCCCAGTAAAAACATTTCCAGGATGTGGGCGAATTGTGTGGGGGCAATCTTGTAGGATGTACGGATATCATGCAGCAGCTTAGTGGGAATGAGCGCTGCCGTCGGAACGCGGCGCGGCCGCTGCTTTATGGACTGTGCATCGTATGGATCAGGGTTAATGTTCACGTCGTGCTTGAGGAGCTCGGGCGTCAGGATGTGGTAGTCGGCCGTGTCACGGAGGGCATCGAAAGCTTCATTCGGATCTTCCACAGTCAACTCGACGATTGTGGGGTCCTTGAAGCATGCGGTATGGATGGTTGTGTACAAATGAACACCATGTCCGGAACCTTGGTGAGGTGGAAGAATCAGGAACTGAGCAATACGCAGCCGAGACGGAAGCTGCGCCGGTCTGATTTCGGGCGCAGGGAACGCGTCGTTTGTGACAGCAGGCTCCTTGGAGGTCTCTCTCTGGTAGAGCCACCAGCGGTAGGTGGTAGCGTATCCGACGAAGGAATATTGCGATGCAGTGGGAGTCGGAGGCGTCACCTTCTCGTACCTAATTGAAATATCTGGTCAGCGTCGGTCCTGGTCGAGTCTGCTGCACATAGACTGCATGAAGCAACATACACAAAATAGACCGTCCATCTTTCGAGCGTCCACTCAGGATCATCTGTCGCAAGAGGTGTTCCAGCCTCGATGAAGAAGGAGACGAAGACCTGCATGCGGTCCAAAAGGTGTCGCACCGCAGGGTCGGCGAGAGAGCCAGCCCAGATCTCATACTTCCTACCGGCTGTGTCATAACTGTGTACAAGTTTGCCCGGTGGGACGAAGTTCTTTGCATCCTCCTCTTGCAGCGCTCTCTCGTATTCAGGTAGGGTGATGAATGCTTCTGCATAAGGCGCATTGAGAGTTAGATGAAGATGCCCAAAGAGAAGAAGGAGACAGGGTGGCCCACCTTCTGGAATCCATGGCTTCAGAGTCTTCAAAAGATCAACCGGCGCAGTGTCGCCTATGGTCTTAAATTTCTCGTCGTAGGAGATGTGGATATGCGGGCGAAGGTCATGGGCCGCAAAGCGCAAACGGATGATCAATCCCTTGTATCCGAAGACCTGTTCTTCATCGCCAAAAATTGGGTATGTGAATTGCGGGTGGAAACTAGAAATCGTCTTGGGCTTCTGGTCGCTGGGCTGGACAACGGTGATTTGGACGGCGTCATTGGCGTCGCAAGTCCCTGAAGATTAAACCATCTATTAGCTGTCGAGACGTACAGTTGGGGAGAAGAGAGACGAGTAATTACAATCACCTGAGCTCTCCATCGTTGAAAATTGCGGTGTGTGTGTGTCAAAACCGAATTGGTGAGACGAGAGTGATGGAAGATGTGTGATCTCACTTTTAGCCATCCAAGGCGCGTCCAGTCGGATCCCGATCGCGTTGCGCGGAGCTCTTCTGGGTATAACCCTTTTCGGTTTAGCGCATTTACTTTGCAATCGCCATCCTAACAATCTGGTAAACACCCTTTTATTCCTGAAATTCAATATGTTCGACTATTATGGACCCCGACCGATCATTCCTCATCGATCCTTACAATAATGGAACGCTACCGTCTCAAGCGAAGAGAATATCTTGTGGACAACACTAAGAGGTCACATGATCACAAAATCTATGAAGTTGACTACACTCCTAACATCAGTCCGCTGCATTAAATTATCCCACAGTGCAAACAACGCGAGTTCGGCGTAGCCTGACAGAGGCAGAAGTCATGGCGACTACGGCAGAACAGGGGATAGAAGAAGAGGCTTTTATCCGAGTCAACACCCTCGATCTGGTTCCAGTAAAGCGGAGACTCCGTCTCGACCTTGCTAGTTCTTGTTGGAGTAGATTGTGCAAAAGCGATAACTGACTGGCCCTCGAATATTTTCAGTGAACCAGACAAGGTGTTCAGGTTTACTAGAGGTGGCTTAGCCCTGATGTTAGCGGCCAGGTCATTATAATCGGCAGGTTGGAAAAGATGGTGAATGAAGTGACAGAGCCGCCCAAATTTTGCAGATCAGCGTCCTTATTGAAGTCATTTATCTACAGTAGTGGCTAGCGGCTAAATAAATAAGAAAAGAAAAAAAGAGGGCGGTGAGCCAATGAGTATAATTAACTTACAACTCGTTTTCAAGAGTCGCTGACTACGACAAAGGCCTGGCCAGATGGAGTTCCCCTCACCCCACGTCAACCCTCCGCAGGGTTCTCACACACATACGGTTATTCTGCTCCATGGCCGTGGTAGTAATGGCCCCGAGTTCGCCGAAGAGCTTTTCTCATCTACAACCTCCCAAGGCCAAAGCCTAGCTGCCCGTCTGCCTACCTACCGTTGGGTTTTCCCAACCTCCCGCCACCGATGGAGCACTACGTTTCAAGAAGAGATGTGCGCTTGGTTCGATATCTACTCCATAACCGATACCCACGCAAGGCAAGAGCTGCAGACGGACGGATTACGAGAGTCTGTGTTGCACGTTCTTGATATCCTGGAGGACGAAGCTCGGCTGCTAGATGGGCAGTTTTCCCGCATCTATCTTGGAGGTATGAGCCAAGGGATGGCGACCGCCTTATGGGCCTTCTTTGGTGCAATTGGGACCGGTCGAGTTCAAGGGCCCTTGGGCGGCTTGCTGGGTTTTTGCGGCTGGTTGCCATTCGCCCAGCAGCTAGACGATTTGTTTTCTGAACAACAGAATTTGGGTACCCCACAGATACTGCGCCTCGTATCTGGGTTCTTCTTTGATACTATTGCTGGACCTACGGTGCCACAGGCCCAGACACCTGCGGATCCATCCATCCTATCTACCCCGGTATTTCTCAGTCATGGAACAGACGATGCGTGGGTCTCGGTACAACTCGGACGGCAGGCAACTCGGATTTTCCGGCAGATCATGACGCGTATCGAATGGAAAGAGTTCACCGGGGCAGAAGGGGACGGCCACTGGATCAAGGAGCCTGACAGCTTTGACCAGATCGTTCGGTTTCTGGAGACCCCAGTCCGCCAAAGCTCGGAGGCTGCTGGCTAGTACTCAATGACCATATGTTATGGGACTAGGAGCCTGCTTTTTGGGAATTTAACAGCATCAGGTCCATAGAAATAACTGGCACGAAGAGGGATTCGACGAAGCATCCACCGCGATACTAACCGAGACCATTTCAAGTAATTAGAGTATGAAGTATAGTAACATTTAGGCGTAAATTCTCCCACTTGCTTCACACCTAGTAAACCTTTGTTAGAATCACACATCACCGCTGTCACGCTGATGATTTGCTTTCTAATGTTTTCTGGATATCTACCACAACAGTAAATTACTGGTAATTATATAAAGCTCGCACATTGACCCGGCGTCCTGGGGAGCTCAAGTTGTAGCCTGATGTTCTGACATGGGGACTATCTGGCGGATTGCCTCGGCTGTATGAGGACAACCACCACCAACGGTGGGGAACATCGTACGAGCTACTTGATGGAATAAAGTACAACATCGACTACAGTACTACCATTAATCTTAGTGCATCAACCAGGTTATTTCCATACCCGACTGAAGCCACCTACATAGGACAGAAATACCTCTACGTCACCATCACTAAGACATATCCACAATCATGTCAGTATCTGGCCCGCAACGAATTACTTTGATTGGACTGGGGACTATCGGGATGTCGATGGCTGGTCTGCACCTCTCACGGGTAAACACCATAGTCGACGTCTTCGATACAAGACCAAACTTTGAAGATTACCTCTTTAAAACCCTACCGAACTTCCTGCCAAAAAGTTCACCATCCTCCGAAGATGCCAGCTTCGAATCGACGCAATCAACGTCTGTACCTTCTCTGATCTCTTCCGGGCGCTTGCACATTCACAAGTCCCTGGAAACCGCCTGCGCATCCGCAACCATTGTCCAGGAGCAAGGCCCGGAGAACCTGGCCTTCAAGCAGGAGATTTGGGCGCAGGTCGAATCTTTCGCACCACCTACGGCGCATTTCTGGACCAGTACGTCCGGAATCGCGGCGTCCGCTCAGCAAAGCACCATGCAAGACAAGACTCGTCTACTGGTAGTGCATCCGTTCAACCCCCCACACATCATGCCTCTTCTGGAGATCGTTCCCTCCCCCACTACGGCACCCGAGCGCGTGGATTTTGCGCGGGGGTACTTTTCTCAGCCCGGGTCCAGACACCGCCCCGTGGTCATCCGGAAGGAGATCCCCGGGTTTGTGGGGAATAGACTCGCCTTTGCACTGCTCCGTGAGGCATGCTACTTGGTTCAAGAAGATGTGGTGACTGCGAAAGACCTCGATACCATTCTGATGGCTAGCCTAGGCCCCCGGTGGGCGGGAAATGGAGTGTTTGAGAGCTACCAGCAAGGCGGCGGAGAGGGTGGCATTGAAGCCTTTCTGCACAAGTTGGGAGGGACGATGCAGGAGGTCTGGGATGGGTTGGGGCAGGTGAATGTCCTGGGTGAGGAGGGTACGGCATGGAAGAGCAAGGTGATTGCTCAGACAAATGAGGCTTACGGGGAGTTTTCTCCGGGTCAGATGCGCGAGAAGGAGGAGAGGCTCAGGGACTTCGTCCATGTACAGACCAAGAAATACGGACATGGCGAACCGGAAGTATAGCTTGATCTATGTGGGGTAGTACACATGCATGGATCTGGGGACGGCAATTGCAAAAGGCAATTAGACTTGAGTGTTCGGGACTTCAACGGAATATTGAATGACATTTATAGTGGAAATAGACTTGAAGTCTCGGGATCAGCGTACGTAATTTGCTCCAGTGTGCTTTCTGCAGATGAAAGACTGGTCATCATGATAGTGCTTTGTTGTTTATGCATTCGGATCTCGGATGTGGATACGGCTGGCCGGCTGTACGGAGTACAGAAAAACTGTTTATCCATTATCAAAGCGAACACCACGACGCTCCGCTGTCATGTATTTAGCCTTGGCTTGTAACTTGTCAATAAGAACTGGCAATACTCTCAAATGTACTGAATGCGGAGAATGTCTCTTGGGCATGTAAGTGGCCCGTCCGAACAACACTTACCCTCGCCAGCACATACCATACACAAGTGATAGCTCAACCCATCATGTCAGAATACCTCACCTCTCTCATCTCTCTCGAGGGAAAATGCGCCATTGTAATAGGCGCCACTGGAGGCCTAGGTCTGGAAATGACGCTTTCGCTTGCCAAATCAGGCGCCGAGATAGTCGCCATTACGCTGCCGAATGACCCCCATCTTGACACCTTCCGAGACAGAATCAAGAATGCCGGCCAGAAGCTGAGCGTATTCGAGGCCGACGTGGCAGATACTACCAGCCTGCGGCTCACTTTCAAGCAGATGTGGGAAACCGTGATTATGCCGGACATTTTGTTAAACTGCGCGGGCATCAATCGAGGGGGTAATGCGGAGGATCTGACTGACGACGACATTGATGCAGTATCTCCCCCGATTTGACACAACCCGCGGGAAAGGCGTACCAGATCAGGGCGAGCTGATTGGTAACAGGTTTTTTGACAAACCTTAAGGGAAGCTTTATTGCAGCTCAAGAGGTCGGTCGACGAATGCTGGAATTAAACCGGCCGGGGAAGATCATCAATGTAGCCAGCATCATCTCCTTTATCGGGGGCGCCCAAATCAGCACCTATGCTGCTACCAAGGGCGGCATATTGCAGATGACCAAGGCCTTGAGTAATGAGTGGGCAGGCAAAGGCATTCAGGTCAACTGTATCTGTCCGGGGTACGTGGAGAACTCAACAGATCTTTTGATAGAGGGTACTAACGAAACATCATCTAGATATTGTGCCACTCCGTTGACAGTGGAATATACCAGCGACAAAGTGAAGAACGAATATGTTATTCAGGGAACTCCTGCAGGGAGATGGGGTCTTCCTGAGGATTTCCGCGGCGTGGTCGTGTTTTTGGCCAGTTCGGCCAGCAATTTTGTCACTGGGACTAGCATCGTGGTGGATGGAGGACTCATTGCCAAGTAAATCACCGGATCAGATGCTCTCGGACACATTGTATATGAACGAGGGCGTTTCTCTCTGCCTTTCCGGAGGAAATCTGGGAGGTTTTCATCATGATGACCGTTTTCCGCAACCATGTTGATCTGCAGGATGAATGCGGTGAGGGTTTCAACTCCTGGCGCGGAGAAAATTTCTGGTCTCTTTGCAATTAATCTCCCATATCCCAATCCTTTCCAAGTAGCTTCCAGAACAGCCACTGCCGCTACTCAGGGTCAATATATGCAACAATTGGATTATGACGATTGATCGGTGACAGAGAAATCCCATTACTCCGTATTGTTCCTGCGACAATTCCCTGGGCCTGGTGTGGGTCTACCCGCCGCCTCCTCAGCGTTTCCTTTCCAACTGCGGCGGATCGCAATCTGTCCAACCCACGCCACGTCCGTGGTCCCTGGCCCGCTAGATTACCTATTATTACGCCGTTTCTCTTTTCTTACGTTGCTCATTTTCTCCGATTGCTCGTCTCTCACCTATTTTGCTCGGTCGACTCCCTCGGCTGACGACCCGCGTACACCCTGAACTATTCTCAGTGGGTGCGTGCGCAAATTGCCCAAGTACCTTGCGGAATCGGCGCCATGATCCAAAGCCTTTAGAATTGGAGACAAGAGTCTAGGGACGAGAGGCCGACCATGGAGGGACTATTCACTCTGCTCGCTCTGAGCATTGTGATGGCAATTACGTGAGTACTGTCGACGCATGCAACTATCTGCAGGCTCATCCACTTCACTACAACGTTTTGAAGCGGATCAACTAACCACTTCCTTTCGGTGTAGATCCTTTGTCGTCGGCTCATTACCACTTGCCTTTACGCTCTCCCCTTCTCAGTTACGACTGATATCCTCCGTTGGCATGGGAGTTCTGGTCGGAACGTCCTTGATCGTGATTATCCCAGAAGGAGTGGAGACCTTGTACAGCTCGACTTCGACCGTCTCTCAGAGAGACTTCAGTGCCCGCTCAACGAACGTCGTTCATTGGCAACACCAAGAAGTTCCCGCCGTCGCTGCTACTGGAATAGATACAGCTGCAGATGAATCGGATTTCATAGGAGCCGGCCTCACACACCGATCTGTTCCGCGGTCACCTCCGGAGGGCGTCGAAAACACCGTATATGTCACGCGGAGCGAACAGTCGAACGTCCGCAAACGTGGAGGGGAAGACTCCAGTGAGAAGAAAGAAGAGCATGAGCACGAGGAGGGAAGTTCGCCTCATGCTTGGATCGGTATTGCTCTTGTCAGCGGCTTTATCCTCATGTATCTCATCGATAAATTGCCCGAGTTTGTGTCGCCCACCAAACCGCAACGAGCGCCTTACCACATTTCTCTGGATAATCTGAGTTCCGGCTTACGGCGGGATTCCTCCCCTTCGCGTGAAGGGGGACTTCTGGATGCCGGCCATAGCCCTCGAAGCAGTCACAGTTTCGCGACCACCACCGGACTGGTCATTCACGCCGCCGCGGACGGCATTGCGCTTGGCGCATCCAGCTCTGACACCGGGCTGAGTTTCATCATCTTCCTCGCTATCATGGTGCACAAGGCACCGGCGTCTTTTGGTCTGACTTCGGTCTTGCTCAAGCAGGGCTTGTCCAGTCGTGCTGCAAGGGCTCATTTGCTGATCTTTAGCCTGGCCGCACCAGTTGGGGCACTTTTCACTTGGCTTTTTGTTCAGATTCAGATCAGGGGAGCTAACTCCCCTGATAATGAGTTAGCCACCGGATGGCGTACCGGAGTACTTTTGTTGTTTTCTGCGGGTACTTTCCTGTAAGTTTCTCCCTGCTGTTTGTGACAGAGAATGACAACTGACAACCCCACAGGTATGTTGCCATGCACACCATGCAAGAGAATAGCCCGAACTCCAGCTCTCGTGAGTTACCGATCAACGGATATGGTGACCCTCGAGAGGTCCCGATCAAGTCTGATAAGTCCATGCGGGACTTGGTTGCTTCCGTGATTGGCATGATCCTGCCGTTGTTTCTGCAGATTGGTCATGCTCATTAGTCTTCACTTTTAGATCGTGTGGTTTTTTTTTTTTTTTTTTTTTTTTTTTTTTTTCTTCTTTTTGTATCTTTTTTTTGGTTCGCGTTCTGTTTTGTGGTCTTTGTATGTGGCGTATGCTCTGATGTATACCCCCATTCTAGCTAGACAGCCTGCGCCCAGTTTCATACCCAGGAAATGTTTCCCGAGATGCTGAGTGTCATTTGATGAGTGATTGCTCGGGTACGTGATGTATGATTAGATCTAGGTACCCAGGTACCATGGCCATGGCCATGGTTTGAGGTCGTTCACGGGGATTACGAGGACTTATTATATTCTGGAGAGCCGCAGCTTCATCGTATCTAGATGTCATATACGTCAGCCGCCTACAGGCGAGAGGATCTCAGCTTGGTGTCAAAGGATCTTCTCCCCCCGAAACCATGGCCGAGCCGCCCGGACAAATCTCCCTGCTTACGCTTAATCTGACTAACTGTATAAACATTGTGCACCTGACAGACGACGGATGGAAAATTCTGGAAACCTAGACGAGTCCACTGTTATTCGAGTCGTCATATGTGATCACTGTGACACTTGTTTATCCCGTTCTCCGTACTGGTGAGCAGTCAGTTTCAACGCTCCACTGCAGGGGGATCTCGTGCTCCCGGACATACTACTCCACAGTCCCGGTGAGATAGATTGCACATCCCGACTCCACGGGTGTCTATGGGTGCCCAGGGAGGGATTCAAATAGGGGTAAGAATGAGAGACATCGATGGCTGACTACTCCGTACAGGACGGTCTAAAAGGCCATCTGATGGTGTCTCAACATGCCTCCACATACAGTCGGGATTCACCCGAGGGAATCAGCAGCAGCACCCCAACCACGAGGCCATTGCAGCCCTTGCGTCCCAAGCACCTAACACTCCTAGTAAAGTGGAGCCATCGTTGGGCTGCTCACGAATCACGGCACCTCACCTGACGTCCCAGGGTGGAGCGGGATGGCATTAATCATCAGCTCGCCATTCCTTTCATTGCCTACCTCGTACGGGTGCCTCCTGGTAGTCACTCTCATTGCATGATCCAGACTCTGGCCTCCCCTCTTCCATCGTCGACCTTGATGTACTACCCTTTGACTTCATCATTATCACTTCTTTCTCTGTTCTGCAAACACTCCCCATTCCGCCGTCTGCCTTTTCTTCCCCTACGGACGTTTATATAACCTCCTTTCTCTTCAACTCTCTCCACTCTCTCCCTCCCTCCCTCTCTATCTCTCCCATTCCTTTCTTCTCCGCCCCTATTCCCCCCGGCTACCGTCCGGCCCTCCCGCTGCCTCTCGCCCCCCAAACCCGCCGCTGGGCGGAGATCGTCTTCTTATCTCTCGCTTTTCTTTTTTTTCCCCTTCCGCCCATCTTCCTTTACTAATACTTTTCTTTTCTCCGTCTGTCTTTACCTATAAACTTAAGATACACGTCCTCCTTCTTTCTCATATAATAAACGGTTTGATGAATGCGGTAGGGCTTCAGGGTACGCTGTCGAGGACTCGTCCAAGGTCATTTTCCTGAGGCTGGGTGGAGAAACCGTGCATGACACCATCGCCCTTCATCCCGGCCGGCTTCGCATGAACCCTCACTTAGTCTCTTCACCACCCGTCCGTCAATCTCGGAATGACGCCCCGGTCGACTTCAGATAGGATAGGGACTGCCCAGTCCCGATCAACTACAGTTCCGGCTGCCGTGACTTCACTGTCTAGTGCTCATTCGAGATCGTTGTCGTCTACCAAACCCGTTCCCTCCATACCGCCCAACCTCTTACCATCGGCCCCAGCCTCGCCTCCTACGCCTGCTCCAAGCCCTACACCTCATCAGAGACCTCCAACATGGCAGTCAGCCGATGAGGATGAGGACACCTTCCTGTTGAATGCTCGAATACACTTCAGTTCTCTCACGAATGTCAAACGCCAGCGATTCTTGGAAGGAATCTTGGGTCTATGCGACAGCCAGCAGCTCAGCTTCGTCTCCAGTTATGTTGCGCCTCTCCTGAGAAAGGACCCGTTTCAGGTGTTTCCAAATGAGTTATGTCTAAGGGTAAGCAGGGCTCTTCCTCCCGGTCACCACCCCGATCTCTGTGGCGCCGCTGACGTCTGTACTCTTAGGTCCTTTCGTTCATCGATGACCCGAAAACACTAGCAAGAGCATCTCAGGTATCTCGGCGGTGGCGTGAACTGTTGAGCGACGATATTACATGGAAAAATCTTTGCGAGAAGCATGCCTATGCTCAGAGGAGACCTTCATGGGATGACCGGGATTTTGTCGACCCGTTCCACACCCAGTCTTACCAGCACTCAACTTCCCTTAGCCTGAGTGCTGCCCGAAGGACCTCGTTCACCGCCGCCCTGCAGGCCCGTGATGGGTCCACAGGCTTGCCACGATCTTTCTCGGGTGATTGGCTTTCATCGACAAGTGCATTCTCGAAAAAGCGGCGAGCACGCCCCCGGTCCTATCGGTCTCATTTCAAACAAAAATACATGGTGGAATCCGCGTGGAACAAAGGCGGGCGGTGCACCCAACGACATATCACCCCTGACCAAGGTGTGGTCACCAGTCTGCATTTAACTCCGAAGTACATTGTCGTTGCGCTGGATAATGCCAAGATCCATGTGTACGATACGAATGGAGATAACCAACGGACGTTACAAGGTCATGTGATGGGGGTCTGGGCCATGGTTCCGTGGGATGATATCCTTGTTAGTGGTGGTTGCGATCGCGAGGTGCGGGTATGGAACATGGCTACAGGGTAGGATGATCGCTGATCTACAAACTTTGTAGACCGATGGCTAACGATGTTTCTTGATCATCAGGGCCGGAATCCATCTTCTTCGTGGGCATACGTCGACTGTGCGTTGCCTGAAAATGTCCGATAAGAATACCGCTATCTCCGGGTCTAGAGATACTACCCTCCGTATCTGGGACTTGACGACCGGTACCTGTAGAAATGTCCTGGCAGGTCATCAGGCGAGCGTCCGGTGTCTGGCTATACATGGGGATTTGGTGGTTTCGGGAAGCTATGACACCACCGCGCGGATTTGGAGTATTTCCGAAGGACGATGCTTGCGAACTCTGTCCGGCCATTTTAGCCAGATTTATGCCATCGCGTTTGACGGGAAGCGCATTGCCACAGGCAGTCTAGACACAAGTGTTCGCATCTGGGACCCGAAGTCTGGCCAATGCCACGCAATTCTTCAGGGTCATACCTCTCTGGTCGGACAACTGCAGATGCGCGGGGATACGCTGGTGACTGGCGGTTCCGATGGTTCGGTGCGCGTCTGGTCCCTCACCAAGATGGCTCCAATCCATCGGCTAGCAGCCCACGATAACAGCGTAACCAGTCTCCAATTCGACAGTTCGCGTATCGTTAGTGGCGGTAGTGATGGCCGTGTCAAGGTATGGAGCCTACAGACCGGTCAGCTACTCCGTGAGCTATCCACGCCTGCAGAAGCCGTCTGGAGGGTTGCATTTGAAGAAGAAAAAGCTGTCATCATGGCTAGCCGATCGGGTCGCACAGTCATGGAGGTGAGTGACTCTGGTTCCTATGCAGCTCAGTGGTTCAAGATGATGCTAACTGATTCTTCCCAGGTCTGGACTTTCTCACCGCCCCCGGAAGAAAGTATGGATGATAGCATACTCGAGAGCAGCACGATGGCCTCTGAGGACTATGCCACGCAGAGTGAAAATCGGCATCGAGCTCTTTACTCTGATCCTCCTCCGTCTCTACCATCGAACAACGACGATGACCACGCCATGGCGGATGCCTAGCGCTGTCCCCTCACCTTATGATACGACACTTAGACATGATGATCACGATGTTTCCTTAATCTGTCATCTGCCTTGTTTTTCACAGCGACGGTACCCTGCGTTAGCCTGTTGACCCTATTCCCGCCTTCTCGTGCCTGACGACTTTCCTACTGGGATTTTTCATGGGAGTGCTGAATTTTGTTTCTGCGGTTGGACGATGACCGACTGGTATGTGATGTATTCGACTTTTTGAAGATATCTCTATACGCCATAGTATGATTATTATCTGGCTAGAAGTGTCTATAGGAATTGACTAGTCCATAAAAACCAAAGAGAATGAATAACAAGCTGAATATATATTCCATCCTGGACGGAAGAAGGAGTGCAGAATAGATTCATGGCCATGATCAAACTCGCCTGGGCATCGGTTGGGAGATCATCCGGCGGTGTATGCGAAAGCCGGGGTCGGCCGACTAGTTTGTATTGGGTAAGTCCTTCGGGCGATGACTAATCCCCCCAACATCCGTTTCTCCGCTTCCCATCAAGTACCGTTGCAGCCGAAGTGCAACAGTTCCTACATACGACTGTCCTTTCCTGCTAAGATCGGACTGCTAGTACCCGGCTTGTATGCAGCCAGCAGACAATCCTTTCTGATACCGCGCCGCTTACCTTCCGCGACCAGTCCCACGGTTCAACCACGCGGAGGGGAGTTCAGAAAGCACGAGGAACGGCTACTATATCCACGGTGCACGATGACCGCTCGCCAGGCAGGCGGATTCTTTGCAGAAACCTTGCAAGTCTGACAACCTTCCATTACCAGACCGTGGTTGAAACGAACTTCTGGAAAGAAAAAGAAAAAGAAGGTTATTTATCTTGTGTAACGCGACAACTGTTTGTATCTGCATCTGCGCCCCGCAACGTTCAATAGGATGGTGTATGGCGGAAGACCGAGCACAGGCTGCTACCTCTGTCGCAAACGGAAGATCAAGGTAGGATTATCCCCAACTCTTTCTCTCTTTTCCGGTCCTATCTTTTTTTTACGGATTTCCTGGGCCCAGTTTGCGTTCCGTTGTGTCAAGGCTAAGTGTATAATATCAAGTGCGACGAAGCGCTCCCCAACTGCCGGAATTGTTTGATATACGGTCAGCCGTGTCCGGGATACCGACAGAACACCATATTTCGCAATGAAAATCAAAAAGTGGAACAACTGATGAAGCGGTGCAATAGTACCTCCTCGACAGGTAACAAACAGCCCAGTCGCCAGGGTACCTCCGAGCGGTCAGGCCATCACAAGCTACCTCTCGCACGGTATCCGGTTGCTGATTCTACATGGGAGGAACGTGCGATTTGCTACTTCTTTGATCAGTACACGACCGTCGACCGGCCCGACGAATGTGTGAGCCACCTGGGCTTCCTGCCCTCTCTGTATGCTATCTGTCGGGACGGGAAGCAGGATGGCTCCGCGGCGTCGTGTCTCCTCCTTGCGGTGGACGCCACGGCGCTCATCACGCTGGGAAATCAGGTAAAGGCACCATCGCTGATTCTCAAAGGCCGGAGGTATTATGGGATGGCGCTCCGCGGCCTTCGGCGAGCGTTGACGTCGCTAGAACAAGCCGTCAAAGACGAGACGTTTACTACGATGGTCCTCTTGTCCCTATTTGAGGATATCAACGGAGAGAGGAACGGGCTTGTCAGTTCTCATACCGCGGGGTTCGAGTTTTTGATGAAATTAAGAGGTGAAAGCCAATTGGGGAACGCGCAAGGCAGGGATTTGTTCAGCTTTGCCTATGCCCAGACGGTGCGTCTTGTCGCCTTTCTTTTTCCATTTCCTACCACTGTTCCTATTGGACTCCGTCAAAAAGCTGACCGCGTCTCCAGCACATTGAAATCCTCGCCTTGAGGGAAAAGCCGCGGCACGACACGGATTGGATCGCCGGGGGGCTGGACAGTTCCGATCCCGTAGCGCGTTTGATTCTGATGTCGTCCAAGATCAGTCAGATCATTGTCGAGACCTCATCGTTCCAGGGGCCCCTCAACGCAGAGGGGATCGCCAGGCTCTCTGCGTGGCTCGAGACCAGTCAGATCGTGGACCTTGAATTCTCTTCATGGGACCAGCGCCTCCCCGACAATTGGCTCCCTGAAGTTGTCCCCACACTAAAGGGCGAATCCCTCCTGACCTATCAACAGATGGGCATTGCGGCCATCTGGACCTACTATCGGGCAGTCCGCATTATTCTCCAACAGCTGATCCTCCAGCTCCGGGGGACGATCAAAACCCTCGTCGGAGACGACGGGATAAATAACGAGGTTACGCAAGATGACATCGAAGTTAGGGTGATCCGCAAGATGATCACAGACGCCTGCCGCAGTATCCCATTCTGCTTTGGAGACATCGACGCACGGGGGAACTCGATTCCGTCGTCCTCAGAGGGGAAGCCTCGTGTTCGCGCAGTCTATGGGCACTCTATGCTGTGGCCTCTGTGGTATATGTTATCATGCGGACCGGCGACGCCGGAACAGTCGGCTCAGCTTCGGGGGGCTCTGGCCCGGGTAGGGTCTGCGCTTGGCATCAAGCTGGCGCTCATTCTGGTAGGGGACGGCACCCCTCGCTCGGCGTCTTCGGGCCTGACTTCTCACCTGATGCAGCCCGGGTTCGGGCAATTCGTTTAGAAGGATAGGCGCTCTATGGGCTTGTTTTGGATGGCGAATATCGTGACTTAGTGGGACTGGTTTGGACGGGTTGTATGCTTCAGTTGTGTATATATATTCGATCTCACTCCTGTACATGTGCACTCAATGTGACAATCATTGGCAATGACGAGTTCTCCTTGTTTGGAGATGCAACAGCTGAACGGCAGTGGGCGGATGCGGTGACGTCATCTATTCCGCTGCGAACAACGAATTCTCCATCATTGAGTTGTGCACGGCTAGGACGGACCACATGCATAATGCATAAGATAAGGCAAGTCTGCTCCAGTCTGTTTCCTAAAATAATATAGGTAGCGGGGTGGATATCGTCACTGGTGCGCATGGAACAGCTGGACATCCATGCCGAATTAGCCGTTCCTGGCTATCAGACTGGGTCTGATATCAACTGGAGTCCTAGGTACGTCGATTAGGTTCGCTGACGCCATACTGAACGGGCTGCCGGGATTTATATTAATACTAATACTGCCTTGCGTTCTTTGGTCGCATGCCGCATTCTCCTGCCAACCTCCTACCTGCATACCCCCGTACGCTCACTAGTACTTGTTGGCTTTTGAAGCACGATCACATATCGCATCATTGGGTTATTATCGACATTTTCTAGACTTACCCTGCTTAGAATCATGGCGTCCCAGGAGCGCAAGCTTCCGTTTGGGAAGATCGAGCCCAATTCGGCCAAGTATTTTGCGAGCTGCACCTTGGGAGGAATTGTCGGTGGGTGCAGACTATCAACCAGGAAGATCTATCGCTAACGTTCTTTCTCCGTTAAATAACAGCCTGTGGTAGGCCCCGGTAATGCCCACTGCTTATCCAACAAGCTCACACCATCCAGGACCGACGCATACGTCAGTGACGCCGCTAGACCTGGTCAAATGTCGCCGACAAGTCGACCCGAAGATCTACACCTCCAACCTGTCCGCGTGGCGCACCATCTTCTCCAAAGAAGGCCTGCGCGGCGTGTTCTTCGGATGGTCGCCCACGTTCGTGGGCTACTCACTGCAGGGCGCGGGCAAATACGGCTTCTACGAGTACTTCAAGTACCTGTACGGGGAGCAGCTGTTCCCGGGGACGAACCGCACAGTGGTGTACCTGGGCGCCAGCGCGTCGGCTGAGTTCTTCGCGGACATGGCGCTGTGCCCGTTCGAGGCGATCAAGGTGCGCATGCAGACGACGCTGCCGCCATTCGCGCACACGCTCCGCGAGGGCTGGAGTAAGATCGTCGCGCAGGAGGGCGTCGCCGGCCTCTACAAGGGACTGTATCCGCTGTGGGCGCGCCAGATCCCCTACACCATGACCAAATTCGCAACTTTTGAAGAGACCGTCAGCATCATCTACCGCACGCTCGGCAAGCCCAAGGAGAGCTATAACTCGCTGCAGCAGACGGCGGTTAGCTTCTCCGGTGGGTACATCGCGGGTATCTTTTGCGCCGTTGTGAGCCATCCGGCCGATGTGATGGTGAGCAAGCTGAATGCGGATCGGAAGGGTGAGTTCTTGTCCTGTCCTGTGGTTGGGGTGGGTTGAGCTGACGGGCGGTGGTAGCTGGTGAGGGGGCCATGCAGGCCGTGTCACGGATTTATAGGAACATCGGGTTTTCCGGGCTATGGAATGGTTTGCCAGTTCGTATCGTCATGTTGGGAACATTGACTGGTTTCCAGTGGTTGATGTGAGTTCATCATTGCGCTGCCATTGCTAGGGTCGGGCGTTACTGACAAGATATATAGTTACGATTCGTTCAAGGTGTTCCTCGGTCTTCCGACTACCGGTGGTCATTAGAGTTGTTTCTATAGACGTTAGACCATTATTGATGATGTCGTATCTTTATGAATCCATACCAGTATACTATATCACTACTCGTAGTAATCAAGCACAATCGCATCATCCTGGAGCCAGCTGCTGACCGCCTCCGACTCAAGCGGCAGAATGATAGCCGCGATACAAATGAACCTTCCTCCGACTTCTCCAGCCCATCCTCCACTCCAGCCATTGTCTTGCAATTCTCGCCTTTCTCTTGGGGATTCCTCCCGATCCAGTCCGGTTCATTCTCTGCACGGACTTGTTGCCGCTCTCCCTCGACCCCTCGCCACAGCCGTCCATTACCGCAGGGATCAACCGCTAGATTGCGTTCGCACCACGGACATCGACCTTTGTCCAGTCCTCCAGCTCCCTTACCTCTCCACTCCTCGACTCCTCCAAACATAACCGATAAACCAACCGTCTCCAATACCACACGCACTCTCTTCAAAACATCGCCCCCAACCCATAACCACCCACACAGAGCAGTCAATCGCAAATGGAACCTTCCAAACACACCACCTCAATGCCATCCACCAACCCTCCCAGCGTGGAGATCGCCTACAAGCGCAAATGCATCGCACTGAAGAAGCGCCTCAACGAGGTGGAGGCCGAGAACGAGCTCATGCGCGTCCGTAACCACCGCGGCCGCCAATACATCCAGAAAATGCGCCTCGAGTCGTGCATCCTGCTCGAGCGCCTGGCCAGCGTCACCGGCATGGCCGAGGAGGCCCAGGCCGGCGTGCATCCTGAGCTGCATGCCCGCGCCGCCGCCATGGTGTCCAACGTCAAGGCCCTGAATGAGATCGCCGGCGAGAAGCGCCACGCCGCCGCCGCCTACTACGAGGACGAGACGGAGGGGAGCTCCGAGGAGCAGCCGCCGACGGTAAGTTTGCATTGGCCTTTGGTTTCGATTGGATTTGGATTTGAATGAAGTCAGGCACTAACAGAGTGTTGTGAGGAAAAGCCCCAGGAACGCCCTCTCCGTGCCAAACGCTCCCGCAAATCCAACATCAACCCCGATGTCGCCGGCGATGATGACCTCGCCGCGTCCGCTAGCAACGCCCCCGGCACCCCCGGCGGTGCGGCAGCCCCGGGCTCTCTGCCCCGGTTAGCCCCCGCTCCGTCGCAGGATGAGATGACCTCGTCCTTCCGCATCCAGGGCGACCACCCACCCGCGAACGGGTCGAATGCCAGCGAACGTGGTAGTCAGAATCCGGAATCTGGCCCGGGGGAACGCGCGGCAGATGCGTCTGCGGAGCCGACTACGCCGATGGATATGGATGCCAAAGAACCAAAAGAGGAGAGCCAGGGGTGATCCTGTCGCGGGCTGGTGTTGTTTTTCCACGGTTTCTGTCATTGGGTTTATGCTTTTCGGTATAATTTGGGGTATCTTTAAGACGGGAGTTTGTTGCATGGTTATCTATTTTATGTGCTTATCGAGGAGACGCGTACTGCTCCTTTTTTACCGTGACTTCTGGAAAATGGCAAGACGTGTTGCATCCATCTTTAGCTTTATTGGCCGTGAGAAGAGCCGAATATTCTTATGACTTAGACTTGCAATGTTAATCGCTGGCTGTGGTGCTTAATATGCCTTCGTTGAAAGTAGACCGTATCTGGTTGCGTGGATACTTCTCGCATGGCTGTACAGCATGCTCAGCTATTATAGTACATGCAGATTTCACTGTCAAATTTGATCGAAATGCATTTCCCCAAACTCCATGCCCGGTAATCTCCGATAGCATTGGCTCAAATCAATGATGCAAGTATGAACTCGGTGTGCAGAGGATATCGACATGTAATGTCACAGATGTAGGTAGATCTATGCTTCATATACTAATCAACTCCGGCATACAGATCGACCACAATGTTGATGGCGGCGACGAGAATCTCAGCGGCGATAAGAACAATCACTAATATAGGTCAGACCTGCCTGATTGAGATTCACGGAGAACAACTTACCAATCCATTCCAGGTACTCGCCGTGGCGATGAGTCAGTTGGTCTTTCAGAACGGCCAGAAGATCGGCGATGACGTCCAACCGTTCGGTAAGAAGGCTCACCCGTTGATCCATTTCAAGGTAACTCCGAACCGCCTGGTAGACCGGTTCTAGCTGTGGCTCAGCCCACATCAGTTCTGGACTGTCGAGGACTGAGCCCTGCAGGTGAATATTGATCCGCAGGATAAATAGCTCGCCGATTTGCATATTGATTTGGCGACGCGTGAGGTTGACACTACCAGTTTGAGCGATTTGCGCAGGCAGAGGGGCGGTATTTGTGATTGTTTCCGAGACAAGATCTTCGAACAGTGACGTTTTTACAGACTGGGCTAAGGCATGGGAGATAGCCAGCTTGATCATGTGGTTTCGGGGATCGCGAAGCGAGATGAAGTCGTTGTATATGCGTGCCTGGTACTCACGGGCATAGTAGAAGTTGAAATTCTCGACCTGGGTATCCTCCGGACTTAAGATGGAGGCTGCGAACTTGGAGATGTCGGACAAAAAGCGCGACTCTTGCGCTGGTGACATTCCCCATATGACGACCGTCCCATAGTCAAACAGGAACACCTCGGGCGTGTGGATTGTAGTGTCAAAATCGGGGGTTTGCGACTCGGAAGTTGAAATGGCACTTTCAGGCCGGTGGGAAAAATTCGAAGACTGTTCACTCGATACGTGGAGATCGATGAGGTCTTCTCTGCGGGACTTAGTATTGTCCTCGATTTCCACCACGCTGTCAGAAAACCTGCGCTCTGGAGAGATCCGTTCAGACGGATTGCTGTTCCCTGTACTCATGTGATTTTCAGAGACGCTTCTCCCATTCTGTTTGTCCTCATATTGATAATCGTACGGCGAGTAGACACATTCATCATACAGTTTCGGGTTAGCCCCCCGCGTCTTGGAACGAGCCTTAAGGAAGCGAATCACCCCGTCGAGTCGGTAGGAATTGGCTGTGCAGTAAGCCGTCACTCTTGGTAGCCGGTCTCGGTCCGCTTTCCCCAACCGTGCAGCATGACTTCGAGCTGTCGGTTCCTTGATTCGAGTGATTTGCGAGTATACATCCGATGGAAAGTCGCCCTCGAGAGCTTCCTCAGCTGTGACAGGATCCGGAAGCAGTTTCAGCTTCTGTGCAGTTTTTGTAGTTCGTTGCGGTCCAATTTTCGGTGTGGTAGTCGTAGAAGCGATTGCCGTGCTGTAAGGAGCTCCATGACTGTTGCGACGGCGTAGTTTGCTGTTCAATGCGGACAGTCCGCTTGGGCGTTGCTGCCCGCCCTGGCCAGCAGGAAATGAAGAGGCGGTGGATTGCGTTGAACGTGACGATCCGAACGTCGGATCAGCGGACGTGGGATCATGGTACGTGCTGACAGTCGCTAGAGGGTTGAAGGTCACTGTCCGCGGAGGACGGGTCGCTCGCGGTGACGTATTGGAGGATTGCGACCGTTGTTGGTGCTGGGGGAGTAGCGGGGTGGTCTCTGCTGTCGAAGTCATCTTGGGCGGAGAGATGTGGATGTCGGAGTAAAGTCAATTCCCCCATTAAAGGACGGGATTGGGATTTTGAATGGGAAACCTGCGGACGCAGGAATGAGTGAAAGGCGAAAAGGAAGTGGATGCAAACTGAAAGCTCCAAGCTTCTTTCTCCAGCACGTGCGCCCGCCTGCCAAATCCGGTTATTCCAGAACATCCGATCATGACAATATCAACAACCATTCTATAGAAGTTCAACTGGCTTAAGTTCTATCTCAGTATACCCTAGGGAGATAGATTATTGCTATTATCATTACCAATGTTTTCAGAACGAATTGAAGACATATGGAATCACCCAAGAACTAGCTTTTGCTGTCCATTCTATATACAAGTAACGAGACCATCAAGATTTCGGGCTGTTTTCTATCCACCAAAAACAAATGCTCGTATTATAGACAATCCCTTTTGTGCGACCCTGCCATCACATAAGATTCTATCGGCGTACAAATCCGGATGGACCACCGGTGGTCCTCCGTAAACCATTCACATGTCCAGTGCTGCGAGCGCGGTTTAACCAACCCTGTTTGCTGTTCAATCCAGCTTTCGACGACTTGGGTGGCAGTGTTGTCTTCGACGTCTTGCGTGGAACATTGTCATCCAAAACTCGAATGGTGACATCACCCATGTGCACATCCTTAGGGCGCTTCTCCTTTTTGTCGAGGAACTTCAGCTTATTGGGCTTCTTCTGTAGAATATCCATTCCATCTGCCGGGGGTGTAGGGGGTCTAGCCACAGGAGCGGCATTCAGGATATCGTCCGGAAGGAGCGCTGGAAGAGCAGCTCGTCGAGCATCCTGGGTGATGGAACCCTGAAGAGTCGCCGTGCTCTCGGATAGGTCATCAGCGAGGATCTCCTTCTTTTTGTTCGCTGCTTTCGCTTGTGCTTTGCGCAGGTCATCAAGCTTTTTTCGCTTTTCTCTCTTCAACTGTTCTTCTCTGTAGAAGAGTTAGCAAGCATGATCTAGAGAATGCAAGCCGGTGTCCCGGAGAGCCAACCTTTGCTTGATTTCCTCTTGCTTCTTTGCTTCTTGTCTGAGCCTGGACATCTCGGCGGAGTTGTCCACTGCTTCGGGCGCTTCATCATCGTCACTGCTGTCCTCCTCCGCAGGCTCCGGCTGCTTCTCTGGCCCTTCCATAGGAATTTCTACAGGCAGCTCCGGCTCTTCGCTGTCAAACCGAAAATGCTTCTTCGCAGGGGGCGCGGCCTTCTCTTCAGTTTCGGCGTTCGCCTCTTGTTGTGGCTGGGGCTCCTCGATTTGCGAGGCGTCTTCCTCAGGCGTTATCTCGGGGCTAGTCTTCCTCTTCTTTATGACCTGGACCTCAACAGCCGTGTTGACGGCACCAGATTTCCGCTTGCCATTCTTCTTCTCAGCACCATTGTCGTTTGTCTCCGCAGCGGGACGGACAGGAGAAAAGGTCCGTCGTCGAGTAGCTGTGACCATTTTCGAGTTGTCGGCGGGTGCACTCAGCGCTGAGGAATTTATCGGGGAGCTGTCGGGCTGCGTGGAGGGGGGTTCGTTTGACGATTGACGAGCGAATAAACCCTTTGCTGCTGTGACAATGTGAGAAAACATAGAGGATCAAAAAAAACCCCGATATGAATCCACTGCAACAACAAAATCGCATGGAGAAATATTGTTGCGCCCAGATTCGGCGCAAGATTTGGGAAAATCTAAGTGGGTCCATCAAACCCACTCGGTACTACGTTAATCCGAGAGCCGTTTCCATTTACCTGGTCTAGTAATATGCGATCATGCCAATAGCTAAGGTAGGTATATCCAGCTTGTGAAATCGAAAATAGATTGGTATCGTACAGTCAAACCCACTTATATGCATGCCCGCTCATGTTCTGTGAAACAAAACGCCTGCCGTGCCAAACCTGGTGTATGTAAATTCGTAGACCGTAGAACGCCGCCTTCCAAGAGCACCTCGAACCAACTAAACGGTCGGCACAGTTCATAGTATCTGCGCGAGAACTTGTGGAGACAAAGAGTCAGCTCATGCAGCGGAAGCCATTTGTTGACGTTCCATGAGCTCTTCATTGGCAGCCAGAAAGTCATCCTCCCCGATATCGCTGGCCTCATCCCAGAACCTTCCATGCTCATCACCATCATCACCACGGACAGTCCACATGCTCTCTCGCAGCCGTTTGTTCCGCTCCCGATCTTCCTCGATGCGCTGTTCGATCTGCCTCTTGTCCACGCGCATCCCGTTCGCCCGCGAGCCTCGCTGTGCTGCACTTTTTGAGTTCGCACTGTCCTCCGGCGCTTCTTCTCCCTCTAGGTCGAGATGTGCCGCGTGCGATTCACGATCTTTCAGCCCAGCATTGATCTCCGCCACCGTCTCCGCCGAGAGAATCGACTTGCTCCGCAGACCGTTGATCACCCGTCGCACATGCTTCACGTTGGCAGCTCCTGACCCATCCGCGGGCGCGACAGCATCGACTACTCGTAAGATATCCCGCTGGATCATGCGGACGTATGGTGGGTGGTCTTCTTTTGTTGCCATCTCGCAGAATTGTTCGATAAAATACATGATGTTGGCGCGGTTGTTCATGTTGTTCTGAGTGAGACTTGACATTAGAAACCAGTTCGGTAGATGTAATAGAACATACGTACTCTTTCCAGTTGCTCCAATATACAGGAATGGAGGTCCTCATCCATGTCGCGGTACTTGAGCGCATAGTGCGCGGCTTTCTGAGACGAAGTCACCGAGGCGTTGAGGTGCTGCAGTTGTGCGGTAAAGCGCATCCGCACCTCAAATGGATCTGCCATCATATTGCTTGGTATTAGGCCCTACTTTATGGTATGATAAGGCCCGAGACGGTTACCAAATATGGAGGGTTTGGCGGCAAAGACGACTGATCTGGTGCTGGAGAAGGCGGTGAGTATTTAATCTGGCAGAAAAAGGGGATATCTTCCGCCTTTGGAGCGACGTTGATAAGATCATGACTACGCCAGGAACCATGAGCTTAGAGTGTGCTTTCACTTTCTGGCTCATGCGTGCCACAAGCTATGTCGTGATGGAATGAGTTGATTAAGAAGAAGGATAGATTTATTCCTTAAAGTCATTGCGAAATCGTCGATTCCCCATGTATGAGCCCTGCAACTATGCTAAGGCTATCATGTCCAGAACTCGTCCGCACTCATCTAGAGGCGATGCTCTAAGTCATCAAGGACACATGAGTCCCATTCTTAGAGGACAAAGCCAACGTTAGGTCTTCCACCCACGGATAAGGGTCTCGACTCTCCAGAGTCCGATACCTTTGTGCCAACCGTACCGTGACATATCCAGCTTCGGTCAGCGCATATTGCTGACCGAGGCAGATCCGCGGCCCCCCATTAAATGGAAGATACTCCCAACGTGGTCTTAGGTGCTCCCACCGCTCCGGTCGAAACTCGTCAGCGTCAGGACCGTAAAGATCCTGCCGATGATGCATGTTGTATACATCATATACGATCATTGATCCCCGTGGCACGAACGCAGGGGCTTGACCATCTGGACCACCTCCAACAGGGAGAACAGTGTCTTTGGTGGCGAATCGAGCGTTGACAGGAATAACAGGATGAACCCGGAGAGCTGAAAGTGTTAGTGTTAGTGATCTTCGTCAATATTCTTGTGATCACAGATAAAGGGAGCATCGTACATTCGTTTAGGCAGTACTTGAGGTACTTGAAGGACCGCAGCTGGTCATATGTTGGTGTTTGCCCATCAAGGTTGGCAACTTCTGTGCGGAGCTTCTGCCAGATATGCGGGTGTCTTGCCAGCATAAAGAACAGGTTACTCAGTAAGGAAGCAGTTGTATCCCGTCCGGCCAGTAGGATGTTCAGCAGCTCATCCCGAATCCTTCGTCTGTCGTTCGTCTGGGCAAGTAACTCTTCTAAGAATATATATCGCTTTTTCTTGCCTGACGCACCATCGGCCTGAGCCTGCAAAGCTTTGTCTATACATTCCTCGGCAAGCTGATGGCAGATCTTGTTACACTCCATCGCTTTGCGGTCATGGTAAAGCGCCTTCAAGGGACCAAGACGGTGTCTTATTCTGGCCGAGCCTTGCGCATAGTTGAAGGCAGTCGCAAATTGGATTTCCGTGTCGTCTCCTGCGCTGCCGAGACGGAGCTTTCTCAAAGAATGGACGCCGTGTCCAAAAAGGAAGTGGGTAGCAGAGTCAACTGTGTAACAAAAGAAGAGCTTCTGAAGGTCAACGGTATCACCGTTATCCGGGATCAATTTGAACATCTCCTGCATTAGACTCTCGAACATTTCAAGATTCACAAGTTGGGGTTTATCGAAATTTGGACGAAGAATGGCACGAGATTTCATCCATTCGGCTCCATCTGTGGTGAAGATACCTTTCCCTAGGAGGGGACCAAATGAGCTCAATCGTTTGAGCTCGTAGTCCTTGAACCGCAGCGATAGAATCGTCTTTATGTTCGAGGGTTCGCACGTCGTGATAACCGTAGTTGCGAGCCGTTTGGTGCTAAAAGTATTGCCATATCTCCGAAAGCGAGTCCGTTGAAGGTCGAGAAATTGATGTTTTTTGGCATGGGTGAGAGTCTCCCAAAGCATGTCCAGACCGACATAGAAGGGCCTGCCCCGAGTGCGAACTGCATGTCCAGCTGAAGCTCTGAGTGCTAATTTTTGTTTGATGGCAAGGATAGCGAAATACAGAGCAACAAACCCGAAAAGGGCTTTTAGAAAAGTGGTGGGTCCAACAGATACCAGGGCGCTTATCACCATTTTCGAGGTTGAAGGTTTAGATGCAAGATGCATTGAAGGGCTGAGGGTAATAACAACTTTTATATGCACATAGAAATTTCTTCGCCATCACAAAAATCTTCTTGAGATATGCACGCCGGAAACCCAACTAGCTTTTCGTCATATTCTGTGTCAGATCTTCGATGCAACGACTTTTGTACTTAGATATCAGATCTTCAAACGTCAAGACAGGCTAGATATACTGAAATTCTACTTTCGCCCTTTGCATGCTTTAATAAACGCATGGCTTGATGCTTTAGTCCATGCTCAATGCGATATACCCCGGGAATATCCGATCATACTAGCCTTTGCTACCTCCCTCCTTACTGTCATATTTGGGCATTATGATGGAATATCGCATGTACAACGCACCTAGCGAAGTTAAGAGCAATGGACCCATGGACGTGGAATCGGCCAAGCCATAAACCCAAATATATTGTAGGCCAGCCCGTACTCTGACGGTCAACATACGGAGTAACCGACAGATGCATATTACCCACCGCTGAAACCCCCTTGCATTAGCATCAGTAGTACATACCTATCTAGCTTTTTGTTTCAGCCCCGAGCTCACTACATAAGTCCTCTAGATGGCCGATGTATTCGCAATGTTGATATTTATATCAGTACAGCTAACAGGCTCAGCCCTAGTCCACTACATGTACCTCGTAAGCGTCGTCCATGTCGGATGTGATCCTATTGCATAGCCTTTAGGTTTTGCATTACAATATGCATCTCATCGTGCGTATTCTTTGAGTATGAACTGGCCAGGGATACGTGAGGGATCAGACTTGCCACGCATATCCCGGTCCAAAGCCGTACAAGTTCTCCATCAGATCGCTTTTGCGTTGAGACTTGTAGATAAATTTTTGGAGGTAAGGGTTGTCAAGCGGTGTGAACAGTGGGGTTATCTTCTTTTATTTTCCGGACACGTCAAAAGGCATATAGTAATTCATAATGGGGGAGCTTCAAGAAGCCCGAACTAAATCCGGGTGGAGAGAGTCTTCACTATTCAAAATCCAGTCAAACAATATACGTTGGATAATAAACCCACAAAAACAGCTCGTTCAATACCACCCAAAATGCATGCCTTATATATTGCGATTAAGATACATTATCATCTAAGGTGCAAAAGTAATGCTTCAATATATGGAAATTGCAAAAACTGTCAAGCCAAAACGCCTCATCGAGTACACCACCAAGGTATCCAGTCATATCCGAGCATGTCTATGTAACACAAATAAAAACTCACTATCGCACAGAATAATCAACAAAAGTCTGTTCCAATCAACCTACACCATGTGCAGTGATGTAACTTCCGCAGTAAGATTGAGCCCTGCAGCGCCAGATCAAAACGATGTCCGTCTCTCCATGGAGCTCGCAAGGCTTGTCCGGGTATCACTATCAAGCAAGCCAACCTCTTCAGCCGTATGTGCATGACGGAATACATGTTCTCCAGAAGGCTCATCCTTACGGAGCTCATATCCATTAACAATAGACCAAACATCCTTCTTCGTGAGGAGCCCTTTAAGGACCCCCTTGTCAGCGAATATAACGTACCGCAGGCCCAGCCTGCGAAACATGCGTAGTACAATAAGAAAACTCGTGCCGCTATTCAGGGTGATCGGGGTCTGGTCCATCCAAGGTCGTAGATCGAGGGTTTCCGTGGGGTCTGCGAACGGCTGATGGGCGAAAAACACCTGCGTCTCACCAGACAGCTCGCGATCAGCAGGCGAAGATGAATATTTCAGAGCAAATGAGAGTTCGTTGCGTGAAATGTAGCCCAATAAGATGGGATTTGACGTGTCAGTTACCACGGGAAAACCACGATAGGATGTTGTTAGGAGAAGATTCCGGAGACTATCAATTGTATGGCCCACAGCGACGATAACTGTAAGGTCATCAACAGAAGTCATCACCTTGTTGGCTGGCACGTCGGGAGGTGCTAAGTCGTCGCGGTCGTCAAGGAATGGATACTCGTTCAGCCGAATCCACGACTCATAGATACCACGCTTGCCAAAAATATCCCCACACCACTTGGACAGCATCACGGCAACCATGATAGGAATGACGTAGGTAAGCGCACCAGTGAGCTCGAACATAATGACGACAATTGAGACAGTCATCCTAGTAGCACCACCAAGAGCTGAAGCAGCGCCTATGATGGCATATATGCCTGGAGTGACACAGGGCACATCAGGCTCACAGTTGCTGAACAGGAAAAATTTTGGGTAAGCTGCTTGCCAAATCTTGAATGCTGTACCCAAAGCACGCCCGTACAAAGCCCCAATGGCGACAGAAGGCAGGATGATACCAGCAGGAACATCCAGGCCAAAGGTTGCTGAGGCAAGGAAGAAAGCTAGTACGGCCGCCACCAGCAAAAGGGCTATTGTACCACCCGAGGCAGCTCCAGGTTTGCACAGGCCAAAAGGATCCTCTGTACCATCCCCACATTCCGCAAAGAGGGAATGGACAAGTTCTGAGTTTTGAGAGCGCATGAAAATGTTTGGGAAATTAATCAGAGCGCTGACAAGAGCGACAATGACAACCTCCAAGATCGGTTGAGACCAAACTCGGGTTCGTCGCCATCTAGCAACTTTGAGATTCATGCGTATGAGAAACGCACCATACAACCCCCCCATAATCCCAAGGATAAAAAACGGAATCAACTCAAAGCGATGCCAACCTCGAGTATAAGTAACTTGGTATAACACAATATTCCCCGTACGGAACGGGTTCAATGTATGAAGCGTCACTGCGGCAACCATGGCACAGACAAAGCTCTGCCACATGGTTTTATCGGGGAAATAATATGAGAGTTGCTGTATGAGTTAGCATACGTCACAAATGGTTACTAGGTAGAATCCTCTAAATAGCATACCTCTAAACTGAACAAGACACCCCCAATAGGCGCCCCAAAGGCAACGGAAATACCAGCGGCAGCTGCAGCAGATAATACTTCACGTTTTCGGGCTTGAAAAGATGTCAGGGTTATTCTTGTATAATGCTATACGGTCGTTCCCCATACCTTCATTATGATTCAAGCTCTCGAACGGCTTCATCATTAAGTTGGCGCAGCAACAAGCAACATGGACTAATGGTCCCTCTTTGCCAAGCCATAGACCCGATGCCACGGATAAGCACTTTGCGTAGGTGAGCAGATGCACACAAGGGGCGATTTAATGCACTCACAAGGCCCAAAGATTTAATGACAAGAGTCCAAGGTCCCATGAAGTGCCTTATCACGAAGCCTCCAAGCACCGTCTTGATCTCCGGAATTCCGCTGTGCCTGGCAAATATCGCATATTTCCTAACCAGAACACTTGCACAAACAGCAAAAAGGACCTAGTCAGTGCATTAGTCAAGCTCGAACGAATAGAGCGCGAGGCATGTACAGAATAGAGGATGTAGAATATGTACTCAACCGCGAACCCGCCACCAGATGAAGTCACCCCGAAAGCCTTCCTCCAGGGTGTCCAGTCCAGGCACTGCGAGGGGTCTTATTGGGACGAAGAGGCCATGTTAGTATGCGAATGCGAGCTCATCAAATGATAGGAAACTCACCTTCGTGGCCCCAACAGCAAAAGCTTCGGTTCAAGTAGAACTTGCCTCCACCGGGCCCATTCTTGCAATAGCCAGTCTTAAGGTCGCCTAGCCAATTACTTGTGATATCGATGCAAGCCGCGATTATCCCGACCAGCACGCCAGTCGTAATCAAGACCAACCATACATTGCCAGCATCGAGAAGTCTACGGGCATGCCCAACTAGACCCTGACCACTCGAGTAGAGTAGACGTTTCCGTTGGCGCTCTTTGGTGTACTCGAAGATCCAGTCGATCGCCGTCAGATCGTCGTATCCGACTCGTCGCCCGGGACCTTCCACATACCAATCCAGGAAACCACTTTCTTTCTGCACGTTGAGATTTCCACCATTTGCCGTCCCTCCTAGTAAAGAAGCATCTTCTGGCACGTGGTCGTTCCGGGGGTTGGTGTGGCCGAACCGAGAGTGTCCGATATCTGATTCGGCGGTATTCGAGAATAGATTGGACAGACTGAACTTCGACGGTTGTTTCTGTTTGCGCTTGAAGGATATTCTGGGTAATCGACACTGTTATCACCTTGCAGTCAAGTTATCATGGATCGCTTCAGATACTCACGGTTCTCGCAACCCTCCTGTCAAGGCGTCCCCTAGATCCGGAGAGTCCCCAGCGATCCCATCTTCGTACCCTTCACTCAGCGTCCGATAATGCTCGCTCGAGGACTCGGGCGGATGGGAAGAAGGCCCGTTAGCGGACCCTGAATGCATCGTCGACATGGTGGATCCTATGCATGAGAGCAATGTCGAACATCGCAGGCAATCGGGGCCTTTGTCCTTGAATCGACCAATCTGGATGGCCGCTGACAGCTGTAATTAATCGCGGAGCTGTGGCGCAATCTCCGTGCTTAGGTAAGGGCGGTGAGTTGATCAGAGTGGGGCTGCGCCACATCAAGCGGCAGAAATTGGGGCTAAGAAAAAAAAAAGTGCCGCGACGGAGATGTCGATGTTATCTTACTCGCTACAACTCTTTTACACAGAGTTCCTCTGGAGGTAGGGATCAGGATGGAGAACAGACCTACCTATGAGAGGGCTCTTAATGAGTCCCATCTTCTGGAACAGCTTCCGAATGAGCTTGCGGAACTCATTCGCACTGCTTCCGGGACTCAGTACCTCAATGCGCTTGCGGTTGGCGCATTGCGGCCGACATGTACAGAGAGCTTTTTTTGCTTATACGAACCGATTTTCGTCGATTTAGCCGCGAGATGGCTTGTGTCAGATTTACATAATGACAAGATTGGCATCCTTTCCGCATTTTCACGAATCCTCCCCTTCGCGCCATATCTGCGATCATTTGCAAGCCAATATGCCGCCTCCCGGGCTGGACCTCTCTCGGCTTTGGCTACCTCCGATGAGCCATCGTCCCTCCAACTGGACGATTCTACCCTCCGGAATTTGCTCCTCGCTATCTTCAGGCTTCTTTCCTACGACCTAGACGCGTTCTCCAGCACCGTATCCCCCATCCGACTCCAGACCCTCTTTCAGCACCGGACCCGATCCGTCCGATATCTGGCTGTACGATGTTTCGCCTTGTACATGCGTGCAGCGGATGCCGCCACAGAAGGCATGATTCAACAAACGCTTGGTGATGATCTCATCGAGGGTGAATGGGAAGGCATTGTCATCGACTACCGCTGTCTTGGTCTGTGGGAGGAGCGCCGCTGGAATAATCTGGTGGATACTATTCGACTTGCAAGGTCAAATCGTCCAGATTTGGAAAGCATGTCCCAGGTTGAGAAACTAAGGGACTATTTTACCACTCGAACAGCCGAAATATGCGGTGTCCTTGTTCCCCGGCTGAATGATCCATCTTCGTTAAGTTCACCAATCGTGAAAACGCCTACCGCCGTGGGAAACATGCGGAAAATTGCAACTTCCCTGAAAGTTTCGAAGCCCCTTTTACTTGTCGGCTTGCCGAACTCAGGAAAGACCACATTGGTGAACGATGTTGCTGCAACAATGGGCCAGTTGGAGTCCATGGTCACTTTGCATCTAAATGAACAAACTGACGCGAAGAGCCTTCTGGGAATGTATTCTACCTCTCCCACCACAGGATCCTTTGCATGGCAACCTGGTGTATTGACCAAGGCAGCAAGAGAGGGCCGCTGGATACTTATTGAAGACTTGGATCGTGCTCCGTCCGAAGTCATTGGCCTCATACTTCCCATCATCGAGCGAGGGGAACTGACTATTGCCAGCCGGAAAGAGCGGATCAAGTGTGCGGATGGATTCCGGATCATTGCAACAATGAAGTCTTCCTATAACATTGCAGGCGAAGAAGTCGCTCCGAACACGACTGTTTTGGGGAGTAGATTATGGCAACGAGTGCAAATAGACTCTCTTTCGATTGATGAGATCCGAGAGGTCATTGCGCACAAGTTTCCTCTCCTGGAGTCACGGGTTCAGATCATCATGAGTGTTTATCAGCGACTGTGCTCTTCTTTCCATGGGAGCCTTGCCATCAAGAGCTCTCAAGGCCGTACCCCAGGACTTCGTGACCTGATAAAGCTATGCAGTCGCATGCACCGACGACTGCAACGCTTGGGGGCAAAGACCGGCTACGAAGCTACTCCGGAAGGCGCCGATGACGAAATATTCCTGGATTTCGTCGACATCTTTTTGAGTTACATCCCCGAGAAATCCCTCTCGGACTCTCTTGCTCTTGTGGTCGCAGAGGCATTGCAGATATCGCCGCAGCGTGCTCGATTCTGTCTCCATGAACGGACACCAGCATATTCGGACCAAGGAAACAATGTGATACTGGGCAGAGAGACATGCCGGAAGGTCAAAGTGCCTAGTGGTTCGATTTCGAAGCTTGCGTCCGATTCGTCACGGTTTGCTTCTACTCGAGCCGCTCTGAAACTTATGGAAGAAGTCGCGGCTGCAGTGCAGATGGCGGAACCTGTTCTACTTGTTGGAGAAACGGGTATTGGAAAGACAACCGTGATCCAGCAGCTTGCTACATTGATGAGACAGAGGCTTACCGTCGTCAACCTGTCACAACAAAGTGAGAGCACCGATCTACTAGGTGGATTTAAGCCGGTGAATATTCGTACGATGGCAGTGCCTATGCTCGACGAATTTAATGCCGTGTTTGAACTCACGTTTTCCGCAAAGAAAAACCAAAAGTTCCTGTCCTCTGTCGCGAAGAGCGTATCTATTGGCAACTGGGTTCGGTTGGTAACGCTTTGGCATGAAGCCGTTCGACTCGCAGATGGCGTGTTCAAATCGGGAAATGGGTCTTCCCAGGGCGGAGGAGGCGACGAACAACCCGCGAAAAAGAGGAAGCTAGACTCACCAAAATACCAATATCTCCGACAGAGATGGGAAAGGTTTGCCTCCCAGCTGAACGACTTTGAAGCGCAGGTGTCTCAAGGAGATGCCAAATTTGCGTTCGCTTTTGTCCAAGGCAAAATTGTACGAGCACTTCGGAACGGTGAATGGGTTCTTCTGGACGAGGTCAACCTGGCTTCTCCAGATACGCTAGAAAACATTGCAAGTCTTCTTCATCACGGCACTGAGGGCTCTCCCTCTGTCCTGCTCTCGGAAGCAGGTGACGTGGAACGGGTGTTCGGACACCCCGACTTCCGTATCTTTGGAGCCATGAACCCAGCAACAGACGCAGGAAAGAAGGATCTGCCACCGGGCCTCCGTTCACGTTTCACTGAGCTTTACGTTCAGTCCCCAGATAATGACCTGGATGATCTTCTAGCATTGATCCAAAAGTATCTTGGCGATCTGACGCTAGGAGATTCCCGGATTGTGTCGGACCTCGCACACTTATACATGGAGACCAAAAGGCTCAGCAACGGGAATCAACTCACAGACGGAGCAGGACAGCGTCCTCATTTCAGTATCAGAACGTTAGTGCGAGCCCTTGTTTACGTGAACGATCACGCTCACATATATGGTTTGCGTCGTGCTATTTTCGAGGGATTCTCTATGAGTTTCTTGACGGTTCTAAGCCAGGAATCGGAGCAGCTCCTGATGCCACTCCTTGAGAAGCATATATTCACCAACGCAAAGAATGCGAGGGCTCTGCTGGGACAAACTCCTCGACCACCGAATGATGGTCAAGACTATGTCCAGTTCAAGCACTATTGGATGCGAAGAGGCCACCTAGTCCCTGAGGAACAACCGCATTACATCATAACGCCGTTCATTGAGAAGAACCTGAAGAACCTGGTGCGAGCAAGCTCAACACGCAGATTTCCTGTCCTGTTGCAAGGCCCGACATCTGCAGGCAAAACTAGCATGATTGAATACCTTGCGAAGGTTTCCGGGAACAAATTCGTTCGTATCAATAATCACGAACATACGGACCTGCAGGAGTATTTGGGGTCTTATGTGTCGGGAGACGATGGTACTCTTCGATACCAGGAAGGTGTTTTGGTAGAAGCCTTGAGAAACGGATATTGGATTGTTCTGGATGAGCTTAACCTGGCACCTTCCGATGTCCTTGAGGCACTGAATCGCCTCCTGGATGATAACAGAGAGCTGTTCATACCAGAGACGCAAGAAGTGGTCCGCCCACATCCAAACTTCATGTTGTTTGCAACGCAGAATCCAGCTGGGCTTTACGGTGGTCGAAAAGTCCTATCCCGCGCTTTTCGCAATCGGTTCCTCGAGTTACATTTCGACGACATCCCGGAGAGTGAATTAGAATTCATTCTGAAAGAGCGCTCTCAAATAGCCCCTTCGTTCTGCACCAGGATTGTTGCGGTTTACCGAAAGCTTTCGTTGCTTCGTCAGGCAAATAGGCTTTTCGAGCAGAAGAACAGTTTTGCCACCCTACGAGACTTGTTTCGATGGGCGCTCCGTCGAGCTGATGATCGTGATCAGCTAGCGATCAATGGTTTCATGCTTCTTGCAGAGCGAGTGAGAAATCCACAGGAGAGAATGGCAGTCAAGAACGTGATTGAGGAGGTTATGAAAGTCCGCATTGACGAAGATCTCATATACAGCTCCGCGGAACTAGAGAAACGTGCACCTCTTTTGCAAGAGCTTACACCTGGAATTGTCTGGACGAAGGCGATGAGAAGGCTTTTCATCCTGGTATCTGTTGCCCTGGAAAACAACGAACCCGTACTTCTTGTCGGAGAGACGGGTTGTGGCAAGACCCAACTCTGTCAAGCAGTTGCAGAGGCCTATCGAAAGCAATTGTTGATTGTGAATGCTCATGTGAACCTGGAAACGGGCGACCTCATCGGAGCTCAGAGACCCGTGAGGAATAGGGCAGCCATCGAAGCCCAGTTGACGGACGATCTTCGGTTCGCTTTACACGAAGAAAACACAGACTCCAAGTCGCTTGAGGAGTTGAAGAGCTCATTTGGAGCACTGAGCGCCGAACAAGCACAGAATCTGGATCTCGACCTGGTTCAGAGAATTGAGAAGAACCTTGGACGCTTAAACGCATTGTTCGAATGGTCAGATGGTAGTCTGATCACTGCCATGAAAACTGGCCAATTTTTCCTTCTCGACGAAATCTCTCTTGCCGATGATTCTGTCCTGGAAAGACTAAACAGCGTGCTGGAGCCGCATAGGTCTATCCTTCTTGCAGAGAAGGGGCCTATCAATTCCATGGTCGTTGCCGATAAGGGTTTCCAGTTCCTTTCAACTATGAACCCAGGCGGTGATTATGGCAAACGCGAGCTTTCTGCTGCTCTGCGGAACCGAATGACCGAAATTTGGGCTCCTCAGCTCTCCGAGGATGACGACATTCTGCCTATTCTTCAGAGGAAGATCACACTGAGTTCTGAGGAAATCTCGAGAGGGATGCTACAGTTCGCAAAGTGGTTCAAATGGACATTCCAGAGCACATCATCTACGTCTCTCTCCATCCGTGATCTTCTCGCTTGGGTCGACTTTGTAAACAAATGCGAAACCACTGATCCATTGTTTGCGATAGTACAAGGTGCTGCCATGGTCTTCATAGACACCCTGGGGGCTAATCCAGCAGCGATGCTTGCCTCGTCACTTCACAACCTTGAAAGTAATCGAAGGTTGTGCCTTGAGAAACTGCATGAAATCTTTGGAGTTGACGCAGCAAGTATCTATTTCCAGAAAGCCGCCATTGGAGTTGAGGGTGGCTCTCTGCATGTGGGACCCTTTGCACTTTCCATGAATGTCGATTCAAACCCGGATCCTGAGTTCATCATGGACGCTCCTACCACAATTGCCAACTCTGTCCGGATTGCTCGTGGCCTGCAGTTACCGAAGCCTATCCTTCTGGAGGGTAGCCCCGGTGTTGGTAAAACGACTTTGGTGACTGCACTTGCTAGAGCCCTTGGGAAGCCACTTACGCGTATCAATCTTTCTGAACAAACCGACCTCACAGACTTGTTTGGCTCGGATGTTCCTGTGGAAGGTGGTGATGTTGGTCAATTTACGTGGCGTGATGCACCTTTCCTGCAAGCCATGCAACGTGGAGACTGGGTGCTCTTAGATGAGATGAACTTGGCGTCTCAATCTGTTCTTGAGGGTCTGAATGCTTGCTTGGATCACCGCCAAATGGTTTACGTTGCAGAGCTTGACCAGACATTCAAGCGCCATCCGGATTTCGTCCTGTTTGCTGCGCAAAACCCTCATCATCAGGGTGGTGGCAGAAAAGGCCTTCCGGCCTCTTTTGTCAATCGATTCACGGTGGTGTATGCCGATAGTTTCACCAACATGGATCTGAAGAAGATATGTGCAAAACTGTTCCCAGGGAGTCCATCTCTCCAGACCGAAAGACTTGTGGACTTTGTGTCACGGTTAAATACAGCTATCGTACAGGAGCGTCGCCTGGGAGCTGTTGGTGGGCCGTGGGAAGTTAACTTACGTGATATTCAAAGATGGCTTCAACTGGCAGATCGAGGAACTTTGCAGGTCCCTGCGCATAATTTCCTGGACGTTGTCATCTCTCAGCGGTTCAGAAGCCAAGAAGATCGTGACATGGTTACCTACCTCTATAAGCAGATCTTCAGCGACGTTCCAGATTTCAACAAAAGTTACTATCATAATCTCACGCCAGATTTCGTCCAAGTTGGTCTGGGTATCATGGGAAGAGATTTGTTAGTGCAACAGACTGCGGAACCGGCAATGAGGATACTCCCACAAGATCTTCCTGTCCTTGAGTCCCTCATGCTCTGTATAGAGCAGTCGTGGCCAAGCATCTTGGTAGGAGCTTCTGGTTGTGGCAAGACTACGTTGATCAGGAAACTAGCTGCCTTGAATGGTGCCAATCTGGTGGAACTAGCACTCAGCGCTGACACGGATACGATGGACTTGATCGGCGGTTTCGAGCAAATGGACCACAAGCGCGATGTGTCTTCTCTGATGCAGGAGATCTCTCTATTCCTTCGGCGTTACATCATTTCCACACAGAAAGTTACGGACGGAGATGTTTGTGTTATCCAGCTGTTCGAAAAGCTGCAAAGCACAGACGCATCATTGGATGATGTATACACGGCACTCTCAGAGCTGTACCGCTCCGACCCTCACGAGTCTCTTGAAAAGCTCGTTGCACGGGCGCGGCAGCTCCTCGATATTACGAAACACTCGGAACACATGAAGGTCGGGTTTGAGTGGACTGAGGGCGTCTTGACTCAAGCGGTACAACACGGACAATGGGTTGTCCTCGACAATGCAAACCTCTGCAACCCGTCTGTTCTTGACCGACTGAACTCCCTGACTGAGCCGAACGGAGCTCTGATACTGAATGAGCAACGGACTGAAGATGGTTCCGCTCGTATCGTCAGGCCGCACCCGAATTTCAGATTGTTTTTGACTATGGATTCCAGACATGGTGAACTATCGCGCGCTATGCGTAACCGTTGCATTGAAATATGCTTCCTTCCCCAAGGAACGGCTACAGTGGAGAGCGTACCTGCACCTGCATACACATCTGAGTCCTTCCTATACCGTCTACGGCCCGTTTTCTCCTTGGACTCGGTGTCCCATTCTGAAGTTGTTTCAAGTAGCCTGTATGAAGTCGGTTTGGATCACCTCTCGATCCGGGATCTGGCTTATCTACAGCGATCTCAGAAGCTTTTGCTGCCATACTTGTCCACGCCGGTGGAAGGATCTTTGTCGTCGGTACTGGATCGACATGTATCAGTTGTTCACGATGTGTCATCTCTCAAGCCTTTCGAGTGCACCAAGAAGTCAGTGAAATTCGGTGCTGCTACGCTTTCGGTTCACGGGGCTTTCCAACCTCTCCATCCGCTCGTGAATGAGGCTCTCATCTCGATACTAGAGAATGACGTATCAGTCGCCACGCTCACAATTCTCGCGCACATCCAGGAGAGTGATCTTGACCTCCATCGCTTGAAGCAGGGATTGTTGCGAGCCGATGAATCTGGCAAGCTCTTGAAACCTAGCCAGATGTCGCGTTTAGAGCGGTCGTTAGCGTCGACGCGGATACCTGCTTTGATGAAAGATTCAACGCAACCTGTGGCTTCTTTCCTATCCGACTGTGGACAAGCTGTATATGATTGCATCATGCAGGTGGACAGCAGTGCCCTCCAAGCTCCTCAATTCGTATATGTGATTCGAGCCGTTCTCAATTTTTGTGCAGATATTTTCCGACTCACTTCGTCGGCTGGAGTGGATGAGGGAGAGTTTCAGGTATACTTGCAGATTGGCCGGGAGCTATGCGCATCTTTAACGGATTTGTGGAGCCCATTGCAACCATTGGCTATGGCATTGTCTCAAGCCCTTGGCCGTTTCCAGGAAAGTTGGGCCTTGAAAACGGGACTTAGTATGCAAAAAATTTGGGAATCCTGGAGACCTGCAACTCCTGCGACGCAGGAACAATTAAAGTCCATTCTGGCCCTGGAAGGTGTAGCGGCTGAATTTACACGCATCGCCACCAAGACTCACCTTGATTTGGCCCAGTTGAGCCAGGTCCGGGACTCCTTGATCAATGCGCAGCAAATAATTCTGCTGGGAGGTGCCGATGAAGGGCAGCTAGTACAGGCATGTTTACCCGTGTATCGCTTTCATATCGCCATTAGAAGCTAACTCTAGAAACAGAGCCTTGATCAGACGGTAAAAGAGTTGGGAAATGCCGTTCAAAGATCACACTCCGCGGAGAGTCCTTACTTCGCTGAGCAATTTGAAGTGTTATGCCAATATCACGACATAGCTTCCCTCTCATTTCCAAAAAAAGAGGGCCAGGTTATCCGGTCTGTCCTGCCACTTCTAGCTGGTCGATCTGCTAGGCCTCTGAATTGCTCCAACCTGCAAAGCCGAATCCCCGAATTCCTCCACAAAATTTCACTTTTCTCTGGGTCTGAGCGTCCATCATTGTCAACTTCCGCTATCAATGGAACCTTGTCTTTGGGTCTGCTTGAAAAGTTGAGATCCGTCGGCGAGACAAGTTTGGGGCAGATGAATGCATTAGAGATGGAGAAACAGAATCTCTCGAACGTTCTGGCCTTGACGTCTCAAGAAATTTCTATGGATCAGGTGAAAGTGTTGAGGCAGATACTCTCAGGTATCACTCTGGATCTTGTTCACATACACAAGGAGCTCCTTGATGAACGGTCCTTCAAGCATGTGGCGACTGTCTTGGATGCAGTTGGGAAGCAAGGCTTCTACCCTGGTTCAACATCGCTTGGTGTCAACATGGCCGACAGCTTACCGGCGGATCATTATTTCAGACCTTTTGCGGAAAGAGACCTTCCCAGCCTCATTTCCTCTCTTTCTATTCAGAATGGACCTGATAACATGAACGAAACCGGGTCTGCAATAGTCAAATTGGCTGTTATCCTGCTGCGGCTCTTCGTCCCCGACAAGCCCTTCGACCCCTCACTGAGTCTTGTGGTGCAAAGAAAACGGCATTCGCAGCGTGTCAAGGAGCTGACCACGAAATCTGAAGCTCTTGTATCCTTCGAAGTCGGTTTCACCGGCTATTCCACAAACTTGCGACATAGGATGGTCCAAAGTGAATTAGAAAATCTGGGTTCAGCACCGCCTCCATCTTCTGTTACCCGGCCCCAAGATTCAGAGATGGGTATCCTATATGGAGAATTTTCTAGCCTGGTGAAGTCAGTTTTGGACAGGCATCCAGAAGATATGCTACGGGACCCATCTTCGCCGGAATCTCAGCGGGTGATCAGTCTGCTCCGTGACAACATTCACCAACTTAGCCAACGGCTGGGAGGTAATTACAGGTCATATGATGACATTACAATCCCAGTCGTCCGGTTCCTACAGATGTTAGATCTTGGACTTTCAATGACCTCCAGCAAATCTCAGAGTTCCCGTACATCCCGGCTACTGGACAAGATCAGCGAGCGTACACCCCTCATTGGTGGCCGCATTCACCCCCTCATCTCGAGTACTTGTGGACAATCAGAAGCAAGTCCAAAACGAGCTATCGAAATGTGGCTTCATGAGCTGTCCTCCGTCCGGGTTGCACAGAATGCGGATCAGAGTATCCTGTCCACTGAAGCCGCTCGCAACACTCTTCGCAGACTCTTCGAGCAATTCCATACTCTATGGAAAGCTAAGCTGCGAGAGGACCAAGAAGAAGAAGCCCAAAAGTCTGAGCTCTACCATTACAAAGGGTCCTGGGAGGATAGCGAAAATGTCGACGAGAACGAGTTGCGACAGCTTTTCCCCACGTATGATGAGGAGACCAATGAAGATGACCAACAACCAACTCGAATCGATCCGAAGGCTGTCGCTATCCGACTCGCATCCCTTCATTCCAAGCTCTTCCGGTCTGAAGATCCCGGCAATGTCCTATCCGCTTACGTCAAAGAGTCTGCTTTGCTACTCGGCTCCATTTGGTCAGACAGTGGATATTCGGTCTCACACATCCATCCCAAGGAACATGTGTCTGGAATCCTCCTATTACTGGAAGATGCCGTTCGCAAGGAGAATGGTTCAGGAATCAAATACAACTTCTATACGGATTGCAACCTAGATGAAGCCAAGAAGCTGGTGTCCCTGACCCAGTCTACTCAAAACCGGTTCATCGAGATTCAGAAATCCTGGCCTGATCATGCGGTACTTGGTGATGTTATCTTGTGCTGTGATGAGATCTACCAGTTCAAGCATACCGAGCCCGTTGCAAAATTCCTTACTAAGGTCGAAAAACTTCATGCGCTTGTGTATGAATGGCAACTCGTTGCAAGCAGGGAATACTCCGCAGCCTCTATCTTCGATCAGATCACAAGTCTCATCATCGGTTGGAGACGCCTTGAATTGTCTACTTGGGCCAAACTCTTGGATCTCGAAAAACAAAGGTGTGAAGAAGAGGTGGCTTCCTGGTGGTTCGTGGCCTATGAGGCGATCATCGCAGCGCCCATTCAGTTGGCTGAGTCAGGAGAATCTCAGCTCGGGGAACATATACAAGGCGTTGTTGGCACATTGGAGAAGTTCTTCCAATCGACAACAATGGGTCAATTTACTGAGCGCCTGCAGCTCATCAAAAACTTCCGGTCCTTGTTGTTGCTCTACGTCAACGAACTTCCCTCACTGAGCCGATTAGCTTCCGCTTTGGACAATTTCATTCGCCATTACAAGCAATTCGAACCCCCTGTCCAAAAGTTCCTGGGTGAGAAGAGATCGCAACTCGAGAAGGACATCAAAGAACAGATCCAGTTGGCTAGTTGGAAAGACACCAATATTGTTGCCCTCAGAGAAAGTGCGCGAAGATCTCACTACAAGCTGTTCAAGTTGGTCCGGAAGTACCGTGAAGTTTTGTCACAGCCTGTCCAGCCCATTCTGGACCAAGACATGCCCGATGACAAGGAAGAACCGCATCCCACAAATGAAGGATTGATCCTGCCATCAGCGAGCAACCCAGAAGCGCTTGCTACATGCCAAAAAGCGCAAAGTATCTGGGTGAACCGGCCTCCGCGGTTCAGGGATCCAGATGGCACAGGTCGCAACATGATGAATATGTACATGTCGCTCTCCACCGAGTTTGATGTTTCAAACGATCTCGAAGGCTTTGTGAAGTACTTCATCGAATCCATCACCGAGTTCAAATCGCAGACGCCGAAGGTCTTGACTGAAGAGAACAAGGATGATGTGCAGCATCTCAAGGTTCAAAAGAAACGATTCTATGCGGACGTCCTACGACAGCTTTTCGAAATGGGTATCAAGCGCAGTGCCAGCACCAACTTGTTGGAATCTCAGGCAACCATTGCCCAAGTTCTTGCTACCAGTCCCAGTCTCGAGGTCGATGGAGTGATGTCAAACATGGCTATAAGCTCCGACCTTTATTTCCATCGCTTCCTTGACCTTCTTCCGAATGTCCGTCAAGCAGCCCTCAATTATTCCGAGGAATTGAGCAACGTGGAAGTTTCAAGAAGCTCTGGAACTGTCGAGCACCTGCTTTCAATGATTAGAAAACAGCGGACTGTCATTTCTCCGGCCCTCACCGACTTGGGATCGTTGCAGTCGACTCTCACCAAAATATCGAACCTCTGGTCTTCCAAACCTACATCGCTCTCCAAATCGCAACCAGAGTTTTCGAACGAGAGACGAGACATAACCAGGACTGTCGCATGGCTGGCACCTATTCTTGGACTGGCGTCTAAGATTGTGGATATTCATTCGAAGTTCTCGGGTATCGACTCGTCTTCGATCTCCAATGGGTTACAGTCTTGGAAGGACCGGTTTAATGGCTTGCGAGCATCCCTTGGCCAGCTTCCAGAACTTCCTGCGGGAATCGTCTCCCAGCTACATAAGTCTACTTTGGATCAAGTTTCCTCATCCTTCAATCAGCTCAAGGATGAGATCAAAGCATGGACTGAAAGTCGGCCTGATCTATCCTTCGCTTTGGACCAGCTGGCTCCTTGGGCTCGTGTGGACATCAATTCAATGGAATTGACCCATACTGATAACAGTCTCGCAGTAGCCGATTTCGATACCGCGTTACTGGGATCCATTGACAAGATCCTTATCAGTATCCAAAAGCTCAGGGAGGTCCCATCGCTAGTGGCGTGTGAAGGTTCGCTGGCGCGAAGCGACGAGTTCTTCACCCGGGCTGTGAAGGCTGTCCACCTTCCTGACATCACAGCCTCCCTTGAGTCCGTTTTGGACAAACTTCAAATTCTGGAAACTCGTCCAGACTCAGGGCTCCCTCTCGCAGTGGCCTTGGTGACAAGCTTGCTTCCTGTAATGAACAAATATCACCGAATTTGCCAGGACATTGTGGATCGCTTCCTGGTTGTACATCGGGAGACGTGCAAAACATCCTACATTCTGGCAAAGACCTTCAAGCAGATTGCATCCGAGGGTTACTGTAGCCCGGCGGAGGCCTCTACAGAAGGTGGACAGTCTGGCGAACTAGAGAGCGGAACTGGTCTCGGTGACGGTGAAGGAGCAGAAGATATAAGCAAAGATGTCGGTGATGATGAGGATCTGACTGAGCTTGCGCAAGAGCAAACGGAGCAACCAAAAGACGATATGGAAAACACCGAAGATGCTGTCAACATGGACCAAGAGGAAATGGAGGGCCAGGAAGGCGAGCGCAAAGAAGGTGACGAGAAGGACAACGATGAGGATGGGTCAGAAGACGACGAAGAGCAAGATATTGACGAAGAAGTGGGTAGTGTCGATGACCTTGATCCCTCGGCTGTTGATGAGAAAATGTGGGACGGTGGCCACGATGAACAGCAGAAAGAGACAGAGAACGAGCAAGGCAAGGGAGAGGAGCAGTCTGGAGAAAAGACCGCTGCACAGGACAACGACAAGGCCGACAAGAAGGATGAGGGTGAGGAAGGCGAAGATCAAGAAGACACGGAAGATGAGGAGGCCCCCGAGGACGAAGGCGAAGCGATTGGGCGAGAAGACATGGATGTCACGGATCCTCATGCCAAAGAAGAGGAGGCGCTCGACTTACCGGATGAGATGCAACTCGACGGCGACGGCGAGGATAACGACGAGGGCGAAAGCGACGATGGTCTTGATGATGGTCTCGATGATGATTTACCAGACGATGGTCCCGCTCCTGAAGACGGTCAGCCACTGGAGGATGGAGCCGAGCAGGACGATGGAGCCGATCAGCCCACCGAAGACCAGCAGATGGAAGACGGGTTGGAAGAGGCCACTGAGGAGCAAGAGATGCAGGAAGCTGAAGGGGAAGAGGAAGCCAACGCTCCTGGAGAAGACGAGCCTGAGGAACCTGAACAAGACAATATCCTGGCCCAGCAGGACGAGACCGAGCACACCGGTGATGAAGTGGCTCCCAGTGAGGCAGTCAGTGGTGGACTCGGTGCAGATCAAGACCAGAATAAGGACAAGGGTTCATCCGGCAACGCACAGCAGGAAGACGGCTCGACCGACCCGTCTGCCGACAAGAATCAGCAAACAGGTGCCGCTCAGGAAGGCGAAGAGAATGAGCGGCACAGAGATACAGGCGGTGGTGCGGACTCGAAGCCAGAAGACCCACAGCTACAGGCGTTTAAGAAGATGGGTGATATCCTCGAACAGTGGCATCGTCGACAGAAAGAAATCCTGAATGCATCCAAGCAGGATGAGGAGGAACCTGAAAAGCCTTTGCCTGAGGATACTGACATGGCCGATGCCGACTTTGAGCACCTCGCGGATCAAGACGATGTCGCAGACACGCAAGCCCTCGGTCAAGCCAGTGAAGAACAAGCCCAGGCGCTTGACCAGAACAAGGGGGTTGAATCCGATGTCAAACCCACTGAGAAGGATACTTTGCCCGATGTCTCCGAAGACCAGCAGGACCTTCCGGACAATCAGATGGAAGACGAAATGCAAGTTGATCGGCACGGTGTTCCTTCTGATGAACAAAAACCAGGCGCCCTCATTCCTGGTGGTTCTCGTGCCCACGAGCGCACTACGGATGCTCAGGCTCAGCACGAGGTGAATGAGGAGTTGGACGAGGTTGATGCGCAGCTGGCAGAGATCCATCTCTCCTCCACTCTCCCACCGCTCACACCACGGGACGAGGCTCAGCGACTCTGGTCACACTATGAATCTACCACCAACGATCTTTCGTTGTCCTTGACAGAGCAACTTCGTCTTATCCTAGCACCCACGCAGGCCACCAAGTTGCGCGGCGATTTCCGAACCGGCAAACGGCTCAATATCAAGCGCATCATTCCCTACATTGCTTCTCAATATAAGCGAGACAAGATCTGGATGAGGCGCTCCATCCCGTCTAAACGCAACTACCAAATCATGCTTGCGGTTGATGACAGCAAATCCATGTTGGAGAGCGGAAGTGGGCAGTTGGCTTTTGAGACCCTAGCTTTGGTTGCTAAGAGTCTTAGCATGCTAGAAGCTGGAGACTTGTGTGTCCTTGGATTCGGAAACGAGGAACATGTCAGAGTTGCTCATGAGTTTGGAAAGCCTTTCTCCTCGGAGGCTGGAATGCAGGCCTTCCAGCACTTCAGCTATCAGCAAACAGGTACCAATGTGCGCAAGCTGATCGCTGATTCCATTGCGTTGTTCCGAGAAGCTCGCTGGAAACAGTCTCCTGGTGGCGGCAATGCCGATCTTTGGCAATTGGAGCTCATCATATCGGATGGTATTTGCGAGGATCATGACACCATCCGGCGTCTCGTTCGTCAAGCTCAAGAAGAACGCATCATGATCGTTTTCATAATCGTGGATGCAGTGAAGGGAAGCTCTATCCTGGACCTTAGCCAAGCAAACTTCGAGCCCGACGGCAGTGGAGAGATGAAGTTGAAGATGAAGAGATACCTGGAAGGATTCCCGTTCCCTTACTATCTTGTTGTTAGGGACGTCCAGGAACTTCCAGCTGTTTTGGCTACGGCTTTGAAACAGTGGTTTGCGGAGGTTGTGGATGTATCGTCCTGAGTATACTGTTTTAGCATGGGTTGGTTTTAGAAAAAAGGGCGGCTATTTGCTTTTTTCATGTATATAATTCTGGAGTTGAATTTTCATAAAAGCGTGCATATAAATCGTGTTACATTTGATATCTTTGAAAAAGAGAATACTAAAGCAGGCGGCATTTGCCTGCTACAATTTCCATATTGTACATTTGTAGCTATCTATGGGGGCACGTAACCAAAATAACATTAATAATATCTACCACCCATACTTGGAGCCCGCCTCCTTTTTGTTCCTCCGTCCTGCAGCAAAACTTTCCTCTAGAGCCTCGCGCTGGTTGCTCGCGGCGTGGACCAGCTGTTGGAGAGTATGCTTTCCGGGGGCAATGGCACGCACAGGATTGTGCTGTGCTGCGGCGAGATCTGTCTCATGAGCCAACTCTTGGTTAGCGGCATACTCCGTGTCCGTGTTGAAATGAAGAACACGCGATTTAGACGGATCGCCATGGCGACCAAAGAGTTGTCGTCTTTGAGCGCGCGAAAGATTCAAGTCATCGGCAATGTTATCCAGAGTTTGCGCGGGACCCCCTGTCGACTGAGATGAGACTTCGCCCTCTTGAGGTTCTGGGTTCGGTCCAGCGGCGGGTTCCTCAGACGCTGCAGTATATACGACAGGCTCGTATGTTGAGCTCTGCGCTTGATGACCGGCCGCGCTGTTCGCTGAGGTTGAGTCCCCCGTTGACAGGGAAAACAGGCTAATCTTCGGCTTTGGCGCCGGCGCCGGCGCCGGCGCTGTGGTCTGTGTTGGAGTGGGCTGGGCTTTTGGTGGCTGTGAAGCCTCCGTTGTTGCGTCGCTGGGAGCAGAAGCACTCGGTGACGCATTGGCTACCTTCTTCTTCTTCTGCTGTGACGCGCGACCCACAGATAATGGTTTAAACATCATGGGGTTGCCCTTGAGCTTGACCCCGGCTTCTGGCTTTTTCGCGCCACCCCCTATATCGTCCTCGGATTCCTTCTCTGTGCGCAGGCTGCCGGCCTTGGGTATCGTTTCGTCTTCATCCGTTGCGGCGGTAGATGCCCCCGCGTCTGCGCTCATAGCCATCTCATTTCGCATTTCTGCATCAGCTGCACGGTCAAAACCCGGCGTGGCGCCGGTCTTCAAACTGAAGACCTTGCGCGCCGGTGCAGTCTTGTTCTTTTCAGCGGTGGCGGCAGTTCTCTTCGGGGCGGGGAGAAACGAGTTGAAGCCGGAGAATGCACCGCCGCCACCGATCTTCGGTTTCTTCCTCGCGGGTCCGTCGTCGCCATCTTGGTCGGCGGACGTCTCGGGCTTGATCTCCGGGAGAGCGACGCGGATCTTACGAGGGTTGCTGCGGTCGATGATAGTTTTGGGCGTTTTTGTGTCGGTCGTTGCTGGTTTGGGGGGCGCGGGCTGCGGGGCGTTGGTAGTTTCCGGTTCGGAGTCCGAGGCTTCGGAGTCCGAGTAGGCGACGAGAGCCATGTTGAAGGGAGGAGGGGGTGGGTAGTGAAGGTAGTGAGTGGGATGGCGAGGTTGATGGCGAGGTTTAAGTTGGGCGGTGGAGAAGGTCGTCGTCCGAGTATTATTACCAGATGGTATTGGTTGTACCGCACAGACCACTGCATGTTTTGCGCCAGCCTATCGCCAGCGTTGGGCTGCATTAGCTGGCTCGGCATACGACGATGCGATCTACTTCGGAGTACGGCCTCAAAGGTGCTGTTATTGCGCAAGCGGATTAAACTCCGTACATCTGAAGTCGATCTTCACATAGGCGGACTTAATATCGGAAATAATACAGAGACGCAGTCGTCCCTTAGTAGACGGAGTAACACCGCTTAACTCCGGGGCCAATTCTTACTTATTTAATGGCACAGTTTCCTTATAATGAACTGTACGGTGGTGTTCTCCAATATCCATTTCATAGATCAGAACGAAATTTACCTTATCTGTTCAACTATTGTCTTCTTCAGACACCGTTACAATGCCATCAATCAAAGACATGACAGTCCTCGTCATCGGCGGCTCCGCGGGTATCGGCTATGGAGTTGCAGAAAAGTGCCTTTCAGAGGGCGCTATAGTGCACATTGCATCCTCCAATCCCTCCAGGGTCAGCGCGAGCACCAAGTCACTGCAAGAAAAGTTTCCCAATGGCCGGGTCACCGGACACACCTGCGACCTCTCCCAGGATGACGTCGAGGCCCGGCTCGAAGGACTTCTGAAGTCCGTGGGACAACTGGACCACATCATCTTCACTTCAGGAGACGCCCTGACGCTCACTCCCATCGACAGTATCAGTCTCGAGACGATCCACAAAGCCGGCCACATCCGGTTTGTCGCTCCCCTGCTGTTGGCGAAACTCGCCCCGCGGTACCTCAAGGCGGGTTTCACATCCTCTCTAATCCTGACCACGGGTTCGGTTTCTCAGAAGCCCATCCCTGGGTGGTCAGTCGGTGCGGCATTCGCCTCTGGGTTGCACGGGATGGTGCGCGGTCTTGCTGTGGACCTCAAGCCGCTCCGCGTCAATTTGGTCAGTCCTGGGGCGGTGAAGACTCCTCTCTGGGACGGGATGGATGGAGTGGATCAGTTCGATAAGTTTACCCTCTTGGGGAAAATTGGGACTGTCGAGGAGGTGGCGGAGGCTTATGTATACTTGATGAAGGATACGAATGCGACAGGCAGCTGTGTGAGCACCAATTCTGGGGGAATATTGCTGTGATTACAAATTTATACTCTCTATCTTATATCTTATGAAATGAGGGTTTATTTTAACCAGCCACGGGCTTCAGCGTAAATCAGAACACCACAGGGTCCATGACGATGACATCATGTTCCTGATCAATCTGATAAGATAAGCATAGTGATCTGACTAATCCCTTCTTTTCCCTCACAACGCCTCACCTTCACTTTCCACCCAGATACAACCCACCATGCTCTAAACCCCCTACTCGACCACAAGTCCACATCTAGCCATGGACAAACTCGATCCTCCTCCAGAACCAACGCCCACAAAAGACAACCCGCCCGACAACCCCGCCGAACCAGACGAGTACACCGGCGCCCGCAAAAGCAAGTTTCGCTTCAAACGCTCCTCAAAGCACCGCTCGCGCTCCCACTCCACTCACGCCGACGATGGCTCCCACCGGCGTCGCCACAGCCACGGCCACCATCACCGCTCGAAACGCCGCAAACACCGGCGCTCTCCCTCCCCAGACCCGACGCTCCCACCCCCGCTCCCGGCGGAAGACGCCTTCCGCGAATCACTCTTCGACGCGCTCGGCGACGACGAAGGCGCCGCATACTGGGAGACCGTGTACGGGCAACCGATACACACCTACGCGGTACCGCACGTGGCGGGGCCGAACGGCGAGCTGGAGCAGATGTCCGACGAGGAGTATGCGGCGTACGTGCGGGCGCGCATGTGGGAGCGCACGCGCGAGGGCATGCTGGAGGCACAGGAGCAGCTGCGGGCGGAGCGGGCGCGTCAGCGGCGTCACGACGAGCGCCGCGAGGAGGACGTGCGTCGACGGCGGGACTTTGACCGCGACATGGAGGCTTGTCTTGCTCGGGGGCGCGAGCGGAGACGCGCCAAGGCGTGGAAGACGGTTTGGGAGGATTATGTGCGGTCGTGGGAGCGGGTTGATCAGGCTGTTGCTGCTGTCGCTGCTGGTGAAGGCGGGGAGGCGACGGCTGAGGCGAACCGGTTGCGGAATTTGCTGTTTTGGCCCGTGGAGTCGGGGAAGCGGCGGGATGTGTCGCGCGACGCGGTGAGGGATTTTATGCGGCATGCGCCGTCGGTGGTGTCGGTGGTGTCGGGGGATACGGCGGAATTGCTGGCTGTGTTGAAGGCGGAGCGCGTGCGGTGGCATCCGGATAAGATGCAGCAGCGATATGGCGCTCTGGGCATTGATGAGGTTGTGATGCGCAGCGTTACGGAGGTCTTTCAGATTATTGATCATATGTGGAGTGAAACTCGAGAGAAGCAGTCTTGATCAGAGGGGCATTGGACAGCGGTTTGTTTGGCGTTTCAGCGAGATACCCATTTACAATTTACATGATTCCGGCATTACTCTGCATAGGAGGTTATACATTCATATCAATTTGCCATCACGCTGGTATTCGTGAAGGTCTGAATTCGTCTCAAAAGAACACGGAAGTAAACCTGAAGATACACAGATGACACGGCTATGCAATGACGCGAACGTTGAATACAGGCTGGCTTGAAGATAAGACATATTTTTTTTGTTTGTTTCTGTTTCAAGGTGTTTTCTCATGTTGCTTAGAACCGCGAGTATCTCTGCTTGGTGCGGTACATGGTCCATCCGACATAGCCGCCGGCAATGGCGACGAAGAACAGGACGGTCTTGAACAGGAACCACCCCCAGCTTCCCTGTTGCTTGCGCGGCTTGACACGACCCCGCGTGTTGCTGCTAGAGCTGGGCCCGGATCCACGGTTAGAGGAGCTGCTACCGATGCTGTAGAGGTTCTGCGACTTGACAGAGATGATATCATGGTTGTCGCTGAGTTCACCGGTCTCCGCGGAGAAGCCGAGGTACGCGACAGAGGGGATGGCAATGTTGGTTTCGGGGGCGGTTAGCGAGAAGCAGTTGGTCCACTTGTCCTCCGACTTGTACTGCAAGTCAAGAGTCAAAGACTTGTCCTGGAAATATGTCAGACGCGCCTTGGTGGGGATCGAGGCGCCCCGAAGACCGCGGGCCTAGAAGTGGGTTAGTTGAATGTAGTGATGGTCGCAGTGAGGACTGTACGTACGGAGCAACCAGCCAGCTCGTTGGCCTTTCCGTCGTGCGCCTGGTCGTACGTGGTCTGTCCGTCGCCCATCATGGCCATAACGTAGGGGAAGGAGGTTCCGGGGCGGTTGTTCTTGTAGGTGTCGAAGAAGATACCCAAGCCCTCGAAGTTATCCGTCGAGCCGAAGACAGGACCCTGGGTGGCGCGTTGTTTGGTGAGCCACATGGCAAACCCATCGCCGTGCAGGTTGCCGTCGCCGTGGATTTTGAACTCGACCTCGATCTAGAGAGCGGTAAGCATGGCACTCGGACGTTGATGATCCACGGTGTGAACTGACTTCCCAATTCGTCGCGGTCAGAGGGACGCGCGAGAAGATCCATCCCTGCTGCGACGGTCGATCGGACGTGAGACGAATGTACCTGGTACAGTTCAGCGAACAGCCTCGGCATTGTTACTAGGGAGGGACGCACTTATCGGCACGGATTATTGTGTCACCGCCGAAATCAAACCAGCGGCTTTGGAAGTCGGAATCGAGGTATGGCTATGGGAGCTTGTCAGACGGCTGGGTAAGGACAAAGCGAGCTGTCTGCGACGGCAGACGATGTATGAGCGGGACCCACCGAAGCAAGACTATGAGTGCGGAGCTATGTTTGGTAGTCAATTAGCCCGATTCCTGTATAACGTCAAGTGGACATGCATACAGGAATACTCTTGATGTTATCGTCGCCCTCGTAGGCGTTCGCAGTGGGGACGCTTGCCAGCCCAGCAAGGCACAGGAGCGTGGAAAGTCGCGGGAGCATCATTGTGGGCGTAAACAGACGTAGGAGAAAGGATTGAGCAAATCGTGACGGCGAAGATCGTAGGAGAGGTATTATATCGAGTAAATGACAGACTGCAGCGAGTAACAATCACTGGTTCTTTTCACGGACAGATAATGTCGATGTCACCGGGACATGAACGAGCTCCGAGTATAGGTACCTAGGTAGGTCGAATTAAGCAGACCAGTCGGTGGGGAACCAGGGGTCGGGGAAAAGGTATGGGGTCAAAAATGAAAGAGTGAAGCAGAGAAAGGAAGAAAGAGAAGTAAGTGAAAAGTAAGGCGTTGGAGGGAGACTGTGAGAGGTTCGTTGGACTGATCAGTTGGTGACGATGGTGGAAAAGACACGGTAGTGCATTTAGACCCATAACACTGACTAAGCATGGCCTCCCCACACCCAGTATACAACCATACATGACCTCATGCGCTGCAGATGAAGCAGAATATTTATATGCCTCCTACGAAGACTGGTTAATACTGGTTTTTCTGGATTCATCTTCCGATATTAGACTATGATCGGTGGGTGTATCGCTATTTCGATCATCGTGCCATAGACAAACACATACATTCCTCTCCAAGAAGCATCTTTCCCGAAACAGACTAGTCCCGCGGTTGCAACTGTGGCGCATAAACCACACCAGCCACGTCCAGCTCAATACAGAACCTCCGAAGATCCTGCCAAACCTCGTCAGCATCAACCTCACGAGCTCACCTCACTCACACCCGCCCAACCCCCGTCCACACCTCCAACCACCCACACAATGGCTCTCTTCGGCTCCAGCTCCAGCTCCAACGCCCAGGCCTCCTCCCCGGCCGAGGTCAAGAATGCCATCATCCGTCAGCTGCAGCAAGAGGCCGCCATGGCCAACGCCCGGAACCTGATCGGAGTATGTCTCCTTCCTTCGACCCGCAACCGCAATAGTCCAAACACAATCAGCTAATTACGGTGTATGTATAGAAAGTCAACGAGCACTGCTTCGACGCCTGCGTGCCCGCACCCGGCTCCTCCATGTCCTCTAAAGAGGAAACCTGTCTGTCCCAGTGCATGGAGAAGTACATCTCGTTCTGGAATGCCGCGAGCCGCACGTACATTGCGCGCATCGCTAAGGAGTCCAAGAAGGCCGGCGCCCAGGACACTGTTGCCATGAACTCGCTGGCGACGGGGTCGTCTGATGCCGGTAGCTTGTAAACCTGTGCGCTGATAGAGGAATGATCTGTACGATGGTGATTAATTCATAGATGGTGGCTGGGGCGTCTTTCTGTTCGCGATTTATCCCTGTGTTTTGGCTTTGTTTGCGTCGAGTGATGCGGTGTCCCTCCGACGATACCTGTACCATATTTCCCTGTCCGGAGCACCATTGAGGATGCACGATTTTCGAAGACGACGCCGTTCTACGTGAGGGGAAAGAATGCAGCCAAGTGCCCAGTGTCATGGCCTACTATTTTTGCTATTAGGAGATTGGAAGAATATGTACATTATACAGGTGTCCTAAAATAAAATGAAAAACGAATGGAAGATCACCAAAAAATTGCTCACTAAATTTGCACCTACCAGCACTGAGGTGGTGATCCATGACAACATGGCCTGGGCACAGAAGTCATGAAAGCAGAAAAAGCACAAGGTCCACGCCAGATATAAACAGACACCGTCAACTACTCCGACGGCTGTCAGTATTGAGTCGGCCAGCGATTAGAAAACCCACCGAGGGGTATCGAGTATAGAAACGGATAGCAAGGTTCATATCCACTCGCTCCTGCTTCACAGATGTAGGAGCAGAGACCATGAGCGTATCGACTGATTGCCGTTGGTCTAGCCAGACAAACTCCATTTCTATGACGAGATGATCATTTCATCATAACTCATGTAATCAAGGAATCAGAAGTCTGGGAACAGGTGACCATGCCTGGGCGAATGTTAGTTCAAAGCAAAAGAAGGACCAAGGGGTTGCCGCATACATATCCTCACCGGGGAGGCCATAGGCCTCCGTCTCTTCAGGATACCGATCATACTGGCTGGCATCACCCTGTCCACCACGGATGGGTGGCACATAAGGAGCATCAATATCCTTCCGCGCCAAGCGATCCCAGGTCACCTCGGCGAACCAGGGATGGTTCTTGACGTCTTCCGACCCGCCATGCAGGTTACCCAGACGCTTGGTGAGATCGGCCGTGATCAATTGCGATAGAAGGTCCACAGCGTCTGGGTTGAGATAAGGAGGGTACTTTATCCGGCCGCGGAGAATGTTCTCATAGATCTTGACTGGGGAGCCACTGTCCCAGAACGGCGTGAAACCGCACAGCATTTCGAAGATCAAGATGCCCAGAGACCACCTAGAACGGTTAGTGCTGGTTTGAAGCACTCGGAGCAGTAGAGCAGCTTACCAATCGACCGATTTGTTATATCCTTTGGACGAAACGACTTCCGGGGCAAGGTAGTCAGGAGTTCCGCACAGAGTCCAGGTGATGTCAGGGACTTCCTTGGCGAACCCGAAGTCAGTGATTTTCAGGTGTCCATGCCGGTCGAGCAGTAGGTTCTCCGGCTTCAAGTCACGGTAAATGATTTGCTGCGAATGCAGATATTCCAGCGCGAGGGTCACTTCGGCCGCGTAGAATTTGGCAACGGGATTAGGGAATCGCTTTATGTCAACAGTCAGCGGGGCAGTTCTGCACAGACCATCTGAAAGACTTCCTTACCTGCGACTTCCGCAGGAGACTGAAGAGCTCGCCACCCTCGACGAAATCCATCACCATGTATAGATTGCGCGAGTCCTGCCAAGTACCCCACAAGGTGATCAGGAACGGGTGGCGTACACGGTTCAGCATTCGGCGCTCATCGTTCGTATGTTCGACCTGCTTCATCTTCACGACCTGGGCCTTTTTCAACACCTTGATCGCATAGAATCGATGGTTGTGTTTGGACTGGACGAGGTGAACTCGACCGAAGCTGCCCGTGCCTAGGGTCCGTTGGAGGGTGAAATCATCAAGCGAATACTTTCCCTTGGTGGTCCGGGTCTCGCTACGCTGCTGGGTTTGCTGTGCCCCGCCATGAGCGCCGGAGGAGGAACGTCCTGCTGCCCCCGGCTGTGGGGAGTGAATTATATTGTGAATGCTGGCCACATTGGACTGGTGCGACCCTTGGTGTTGCAGACCGGGACTAGAATGGCCGGACGGGGACGCTTGCGGGACAGCAGCGGCTTGCATGGAGGCGGCGGGTTGACCTTCGGTGGTGGGGTGGGAAGCTGCAGAGGGATTGGGATGGTCGGAGGCCGATTGCTGAGAGTGAGAAGAGTCCGGACCGTTGGAGGATTGGTGGGAGTGCTGTTGGGGGTGGTGGTGATGGTGATGGTGGTCGGCCACGTTTGGTGACGTCTGTGTCTGGGCCGCGGTGGGTGACGAACCGGCTCCAAGCTCCTTTGACAGGGTTTGCGAATCCTTTGTCCGCCGTTTCTTCAGGAGACCTCCGAGACTAGGCATCGAGGATGGTAGGCTCAACGAGTCGACTCAAGAGAACATCCACACGCTGAGAGGGAGAGAGAGAGAAGAGAGGAATTGAGAAGCTTAACCCCTCATCCGAACAGACGGGAGCAGCAGCCGGGGGGGCGGCGTCGTTCTTTTTGTGGATGGTTCCGGCGGCGGATACGACGGACCCTCTTGTGGCTAGAAAGGAAAAAGCTTTGCTAGTAGAAAGGGTTGATTGGGTGCGGGTTCTAACTCGGTAAAAACACCGTGGAGCGACAAGACCTTAAGAATACGTCGTAAAGAGACGTGAGAGGTCGCAGTGAAAGAGAGCAATTGGGTGGAGAGAGAAAGATTTCTTGATGGTGGCCGACAAAGAAAGCGGGGTTGGTTTCGGTATGGTCACGTCTGGTGTTGTTGCTCCCAGAGGGGGGTGCACCCTGCGGTGGATTCTGTTGTATGGTCATGGTATCGTTCGTTCTATCTGTTTTGTTCAGCCTTCACCTGTCCCTCCCCAGAGGTTCAATTGCATATAAGATGTATTCAACATGACCAGCTGTGTTCCCTATAGAAAGAATCCCGAGTCCAAACAAAGATCCTCCCAAAATAACCCTTTCATCAGTTCATTCATCGCCCGATCTCCTGTTTCAGGTGCGTCTCACGCTCACAATGTGCCTCTACAAAGTAACAAACACGACATCATCACCATCTCCGATCCCCGAGCATACCTCATCTACAATGGAGGCCGACAAAGCCAGTTTGATGAGCCCCAGAGCGATGAAGTCATCACTCGGCCGTCATGACTGGCACACTCGATCTGATTCGGAATGACTTTGCGGTGACCTCATCACGCCGGTGGATCGGTGGAACGCCCCGCCTCGGAGCTTCTCCAATAGTCTACTTACTAGTACTCCGTAGGTAGATAATCCTCCGTCTGCATAAGTAGGTAAGGTACTGGGTAAGTATGATCTGGCATAATTCATTCGTATCGTGATACACACATACTCCGTAGTCCAACCCAGGAGACTCCTAATCCAGAAGGAAGCCGACCAAGTTCCTAGATCCGGTAGTGCGCCATGTTCTTCTTGATCTCATCCACAATCTCCACCGCCTCCAGCGCATTTCGAGCCTCAAAATCATATCGCTTCTGCTCCGACGCATCGTTTCCGCGGAGCACCACAACCCGAAAGTTCTTCGGGTGGCGCCGACTCACCTTGCACCCGACCACGTCGTTGAAGCTGATCGACCGCGTCTTCGTGGCCGACCCGGCCTTCCCTTCATCGCCCGGCATGATATGCATATAGTCATTGTCGAACGTCAAGATCCGATGATTCGACGCCGTGAAGGACATGGACTGTTTGCGAAACACATGATACCGCCGGTAATATCCGCCAATGAGGTCCTGCTTCTGTGTAAGCGGGTGGAGCATGCGCGGCCCGCCCTTTTTACTCTTCTTGCTGGGTGCGCTGCTGGGGTTGTCAACTAGCAGTGGCGCATTCGGAGAGGAACTGCCCGGCGATCCGGTCAACGATTGAGGGCCGAATCTGCGCCGAACAAGGTCCAGCTCAGTGATGTTGCCCAGAGCCTCGACGGTCCGATCCAACGGCGCGATCGTATTCGATCCCATCACTTTGAGAAGGTAATTGCCCTTGTCCAATCCCCATCGCTTGCACACCGAGTCCAGAATTTCCGCAATGTAGCTATCCGTAGATGTGTTTAACGTGGTGACTTGGGTGGAGGCTTCCAAGTTGATGAACCGGATTTTGAGCGTCTTGGAGACACCTAGGCGAGGCGTAGCGTGGGAAGTGGGCACCGCCGGACGGTCAGCCGGTGTCAGGGTGTTATCGTTGAGTGCGGAGGAGAATGGCTGTCCCAAGATCGGGTTGAGTCGCGGGCCCTTATTTTGCGTATTGACTGGCGCGTTTGGAGCCGTGGGCGTGGGCGCTATATCCTCCTCGGAGGCTGGGGACTGGCTAAACATGGGGAAGAGCCGCTCGTTCTCTTCAAACTCCGAATCGGACGCTTCCACGAGAGCGAATTCATCGTATTGCTTGCCTCGCATGCGGCCTCGCGCGCCCGCAGCCCGGTTGTTGTTTGACGTGAAATCGGTAATGGGCAACGTCCGTCCCAGCGCCGGAAAGTCGTATTCAACCTCCCCATCCTCCACCATACGGAGCGTCCATCGGTTCACAGTCAGTTTATTCCGTTCAATAGATGGCGCCCGCCCTTCTTCCGAGTATTTCCACAGCGCGAGTCCGATCGCCTCGACTACTGTAACCGGCGCCGGTTGCTCTGCAAGTTTGGACTCCCGAGTCATCGGTAGATCCATCGGCTCCTCAGGGTCAGAGGAGAACGGAGCATATAGTTTTATGTTGAGCGCATCCGTCAAGCCTTTGCCAGACAGGACCGCAAACTTCTCAACGGGATTCGTAGGCTCCTTTTTGCGCGCGTTCAGCGCTTTGGAAAGCAGGCTGACGGGTTGTATCGTGCTAATCGGCCGGGGCGGGGGAAGGTCCTGCAATTCTGGCGCCGGCGTCTTAGGCTTCCTGGGCGAAGCAGTTTGAGACCCTGTTCCGTTTGGCAACTTGTGCATCAAGATTGGGGATGAGGAGTCTAAGCTTCCAGTGATGCCCACACCCTCGAGCAGCGACGCCGATCCAGCAGTCGCGTCGAATTCTGACGACAAGGCCGAATCCACCGACTCAGCACCCGAGTCTTCATCCTGTTCATTCAGCTCCTCCAGATCCCCATTCCTGCGACCCTGGTGACGCGCCAATTCGATCACCTGGTCCTGGTTAGAGAACTTAATCTGGGGCCTCCTAGACACAGACGACGGTAAATCAGCATCGGAAGACATGTCGCTGCTCGTGGTCGTAGTGGTATCCCTCCGTGGACGTTCATTCACTGAAACCGCTGTTCCCAGCGAACCCGTACGATAATGACCGCCCGTCCCTGGATGCGAAGGAGACGTGACCATGACCTGTGGCCCTTCTGGACGATCTGTCGAAGATCGGATCGGTGACGAGCCTGCTCGCGTGCGTATAGGCATTTTGGTGAATTTAATCTGATCGATGGGCCTCGGCGCGCTATCACCCTCGTCGTCGCTTTCGTCGCTCAGATCACTGCTGTCGTCTTCCTCGGCATCCCTCTGTTTCTGCTGTTCTTGCTGCTGGCGCTCCCTCCGGTGTCCCCTTTTCCCACTGCGTCCGTGGTGCCGTCGTCCAATCACATCCGTACTGCTCTTGCCGGTCACCATTCCCCCCTCGTCATCTTCGCCGTCATCGCCAGGTCCTGCTCGGGCAAGGTCACTTCCATCTCTGAGATTATAATACTCGGATGACACCGCAGTGGTGGTTGGGATCGGGGGCGAATGGGTGCGTCGGATGTGGGCCGCTGCGCTTTGGGCGTTGGGGTTCAGGGAGGCCGATGACCAGCCGGCGGCGCGAAACCCTGGGGTGTTAAGGACAGAGTTGTTCACGTTGATGAGCCGGTCGCCGATTCCATCTTTAATGGTCGACAAGTAGGAAGTCCGCAACTGCCATATTGTAAAACTAGGGTGTGGTCAGTTCCAAGGGTCCCTGTCCGCACGGTGGGGTTGGTGAGAGATGGAGATGCAGGCGCCCTGGCAACATACTCTTCATTGTGAAGGAGCGACATGGTTTGGGTAATGTCAGAGAGTGTAGGAGGGTGATGCGACGATATAGATAAAAGTACGGTGGTGATATCGAGGAGAAGAAAAGACTAAGATGTGAGGTCAAACGCTGTCTCAATGAGCATGAGACTGGACCCTGCGGTGCACTAGGTACATGCGCGCGGGTCGATCTGCAAAAGGGCGCGCAGAGAGACACTCTCCGAACAGGACCAGCCTGATAGAGAAGGGATAGAAGAAACGTTGTAGGAATGACGAGTATCAAACAAGCCGAGGGGGATGAAGGAGAGAGAAAGTGGAGAGAGGAGGGAGCGGAGAGATGATCGGATTTACGGCGAATTGAAGGCGGGCCATCCGTCCGCCGATCAGCCAAGACTGTCCAGTCTACCATAGCAACTATAGAGATTCATTGTTACGATCATGGAGTTCTAGCGTACACAACACATCACCAACAGTCACTCGCTGCTATGAAGAAATGTACAGCTTCCTTTACTAAAAGTACAAACATCATATCAATACCAAAGCCTCTCCCAAACACACACATTGCTTATCCAGACTTCGCCTTGGGTTTGCGACCCTTTTTCTTTGGCTTATCATCGGCGGGAGCATCGTCATCGTCCGCTTGTTTTGCTTTCTTGCCTTTTCCGCCCTTCTGGGTCTTTTTCGGCACGCGAACATACTTGTCCTTCTTCAGGTCTAGCTCCTCGCTCTCGTCGTTGTCTCTAGAGTCGTCCTCCAAAACCTCCTCGTCCGACTCGTCAATCGCCTCCTCAATATCAGGCTTCTCCTTCGGCATATTCTTCGGAGCCACCACACTGCTGGCTTTCATGAAAGGCATGGGGTGAGTCCGTTGGTTGTATATACGCGTGAAAGTGGCCTTCGTCTGTGTTTCCAGCTTGACGGTCGACTCGTCCATCGGCCCCAGGCCAAGTTCAAGTAATGCATCCCAATCTTCACGCGTAAGGAAATAGCTGTCCATAAAATCGATGACATCTTCGACACTATCCTTACCCTCTTCTTGCAACCGCCGCACCAGCTTCGTCCAGATGAGGGGGAAGTACTGTTGGCGAATCTCATCCCGATTTCCGGACGAACGAAGGCGCATGTGGCCCTGGATTTCCTTGATATAGCGCCCAAGTTTTCCTATGACACGTTAGCAACAAGTAACAACACAGTCCACGGAAGGATCATACCTTGTTTGCTGTTCTGGCCCAGCCAGGCAGAAAACGATGGCCTTTCCGTCATGTTTCCATATACGAAACTGGCAGGCCGCACAAAGCTGAAAATAGCATGGGTAGGCATCAAGCTCCATTGTTGTTGGGTTCCGTGAATCATCCTATCGACAAGATCACCATCACTGATGCTGGAAGCAGCATTGTCTGCGAGTTCAAGCAATTTTAGTTTCTGCTCTTTGCCTTGATAGCTGCCAGCCAATGTCGGCCTCGTCCTCAGGTAGTTTTCTTGTACCATCAGATGACTGAATTCATGATCATTGAAATAAAGTTCGATCTTATCGTTGAGGGTGGCCTTAGAACTAGGCGAGAACATCTGGGCATTCAAGATCTTGCCAGCGATGTCAAACGGCTTCAGGATCACATTCTTCTCCCAGGCCTTCGACATCTCCTTTCCTTGTTGATAGTCGAGTGTCTTCTGGTCCAGCTTTACGGTGGAAAGCATGTTGATCACTTGCCGAATATCAGCATGAGTGCCCTCAATGAGGCTATCAAGAACTGGCGGTGGGATCTTCATTCCTTCGCGGAAACAGATTGTGGATAGTCTGGCCCTGATTTGCTCCACTGTCGGGCGTCTGAACGGCAGGTCGTAAACAACTCCATCGAAAGGCTTCATTTTCGGGAGCTTTCGCTCGTTGCAAATCATGATAAGTGGGATATGGGTTTTCTTGGCGACAGCAGCCATGGCACCCACACCACCCCTGTCTCCAGCTGACATGCCATCGACCTCATCCATGATAAGCACGAGGTTTTTCTTTGTACCCTGTACCTTTTTCCCCTCTCCTGAGAAATAACCCTGGAGGGAGGTTGTGTCAAGAACGCCCAGAAGACCCGTTTCCACAAGCTTCTTGCTTCTTGTATCGCTGGCATTGGTCTCCACAACGTCGTACCCTTCTAGATTGGCGACGAGATGTGCTGCTGTAGTCTTTCCGATTCCAGGAGGACCATGGAGCATGACAGAGCGATAAAGACCCATACCGTCTGGGCCTGCTTTCTTAAAGTTCCAATGCGCACTTTTGTGCCAGTTTCGAAGCCATGACTGGAGTTTCTCAACAATACCCTTGTTGCCACAGATCATGTTCATCGAGGTGGGTGCGTATTTCGTCGTCCAAAGGCGATCATCAGTCTGTGAAGAAGCCTTCTCACCCTTACGACTGTCGAGGCCGTCTGTTCTCGCCTGGCGCTTTTCTTCCTTGTCCATCTCTGCTGCCATGGCTTTGACCTTTTCTTCCTCTGCCTTCTTTTTAGCCTCGTACTTGCCGGCCGCCTTACCGTCGCCACCATTTGCTGGAAGGCGTCGAATGAGTTCAAAAAGACCTTGTTCATTGATCGTCTTCAAATTGTTGTCTTTGATCGTCCTGAGCTTCGAAGGACCCGCATCATGTCCCAGAACCACGTAGCTCGTTTTGGAGCTAGGAGTGCCAACAACCCTGCCCCCATACTGTTTGACGAGAGACACTCCCTCATCGCGACCCAGAGTATCAAGCACGCCGGTAAACACAAAAGACAGCCCTGCAAGGCAGTTGTCAGCTCCGATTGGTAACTCGGCGCGTTCACCCGTGGGTTCAGTAGACCGCGCCGCCTGGGCGGCAAAATTGAATTTACCCTGCCCATCTTTCGGTGGAGGCGTTGGGGCACGGATCGTTGGAATGCTGTCGAAAATGTCTTGGATTTCTTTACTCTCGGGCTGGTCCTTCGGAGTCGCTTTTTGCTTCTTGGTCGAAGGGGCTGACGGAGTGCCTTTCGAACGCCCAGCGGCTTTCTTTGCAGGGCTTTTGGACGCATCGTCATCTTTATCGAGAGCCTCGGATTTGCGCTTCTTGGCCGGTTGGGATGTCGCTGACTTTGAGTTTCTCGAGGAAGGTTTAGGAATATCCTCCATGACGACGTCGTCATCTGAGTCGAGTTTCGATGTTGCCTTTTTGCGTCCTGACTTGCCAGAAGCTGCAGTAGCTGGCCTCACGGACAGTTCCTCCAGGTCGCTATCATCGCTGCGCTCCTCCTCGACATAATCGTCGTCACCTTTTCCAGGCTTTCGGAAGTCTGCCGCAAAGATATCGTCGTCTCCGCCTTTATCATCATCTAAAACAATCGCAGGCTTCTTTGTAGTCTCCCGAGATTGGCGCTTTTTCGCTGGCGAGGTGTCGTGCTTCGAGGGCTTAGATGATTTATCTTGAGCTGGTTGCGACTCTTTCGCAGGTGCGTTACTGGCGGCCTTAGGTGTTCTTCCTCTCTTTTTGCTAGACGCGAAGTAATCCGACGTGGTTGTCTCCTTCCCCTGTGATGCAGCGGGTTTTCTGAATGTGGTCAGCGATCGAAGTTGCCATGATCATTTAGAACACAATACGTACGGCTTGCTTGCAGGCTTAGATTTGGGAGTAGGTGCTTTCGTCACCGCAACTTCCTCTTCATCATCGTCGCTGTCATCCACTACCTTCCGGCTACCTAGAATCCTGTCAGTGGTCTAGCAAAGCCAACGTACAGGATAGAAAGCTTACGCTTCTTGCGAGAAGGTTCCTAGTCATCCAAAAGGAAACAACAGAGTCAGTATTCTGGTATCTTGGGAACAAAAAGACTTCCTATGGTAGCTTTGCGACTAGATACATACCTCTTTCTTTGCGGGTGTCTTCGCGGGCGAAGCCCCAGTACTAGAGCCTTGACTGGACTTGGCCCCGAAAAAGCTCCTAATATCGGTAGGCATGATGGTCGAGTCAATCAGAGCATGTCTCTTCCGTGCCCGAAGAGTGCTATCCAGGTGATATAGAAATTGGACAAGGCAATCTCACTAGGCTGCCTTCTTGAATCTGCTCACAGGCAGTCAGACACGACGCGTTGCCTGGAGCTTCCGCGGGCGACGTGATCTAATTTGATTACATAACCCTCACGCGCGGTGGCACGTGCACAAGCCCTTCTTCCCTTTTCGGGATATTGGACCTCGCAGATACGCCGATACAGCCCAATCTCAATTCTTCGTCGCTGAGTCGGGAACGAGAACGGCCGGCAACGAAGTCTCGCCATGGGTCCGCAAATGAAGATGTTTTCGAGACCTCAGTTCGGTCTCCTCCGGCCTACCTGTGAGCACCCATCGTCAATGAGAAAAAGTTTTCCGCCGACCTTCAACAACTGACAGTCCGATGCACGACAGGTCTATCCACGCCGTTCACAGTCCTCCCGCTATCGCGATGCTTCTCCACCACGTCGCCGTCCCTGGACTGGCTCACGCCCAAATTCATGGAGAAATCTAAGTCGCCCAAGGGTCGTCCCCACGTTCCGACAGGCGGTTCCTCCCGCGGAACGACAGTCGTCTGGGGTGATTATGGCTTGCGGATGAAGGACCATGACCGCCGACTCCCTGCTGCTTCGCTGAAGATTGCCGAGGAAACGATCAAGAGACGTCTACGAGGCATGAACTACACCTTGTACAAGCGGGTCAGTGCCAACATTGGTGTTTACACGAAGGGCAACGAGCAGCGTATGGGTAAGGGTAAGGGAAAATTCGATTACTGGACGGCGAAGGTCGCCGTAAGCCGCATCGTCTTCGAACTCAAGGGCGATATTCACGAGAAGATTGCTAGAGAGGCTTTCCGATTGGCTGGCCACAAACTGCCCGGTATGTTATTACTTATGCAGCACAGGAACGGTCAAACAACAGACGAGACTAATAGCGCAATTTTGATAACAGGCCTCTGGGAGTTTGTGAAGAAGGGCGATCCTCCCGTTGTCGGTCTGACAAAACTCGGCAACGGTGTGACTCTCGAAAGCCTCAAGCGACCACGCAGAAGCCCGGCTCTGGGCACCGAAAATCTGCCCACTCCCCCGAAATCATCCTCCTCCAGCCCGTCCGCCTCCCAATAGACACCATCCTCCCATTACCCTTCCCTATTATGTCATTTGCTGCTTCGTTCTGGCGACGTTTTAGGCCCCAACACCAGATCCGGGCCCATATCCCTGTAGTCTCCTGCTCCATGCTGCGTCACCATCTTGGTTTTCGGGGCTCAGGCCTTGTGTATACTACTATCAGCTTCTGGTTCTGTTTCTCTTTTATGTTTCTTTCACGCCTGTGTCTATATCTTCATATACGGAGTTGAATAGAAGGGACCATGACCGACGTACCTGTGCCCCCTAGTGAAGAGGAAGATGATCCTCCTGGCCCAAATTGCTTCGCCATTTCGGCGTCTTCGTCTCTGGCTTTTGCTGATGCACTGTCGGGGGTTATAGTATGCATCTCACTCTTGGTATGCAAGCCGTGTCCTGGTGCTGGGTTAATCTTGCCGAACCAACGAAAACACCATTCCATGATTGGTCAACATACCACCCATCTGCCCTGTCTGCTTTTCCGGCGGCTCGGTATACATTTTGATGGATTCATACCTTGAGAGGAGAGTCAGCGCACTGGTATTAAGCGTGAGCAGAGAGGCCTACTGGGTGCTTTCACCACCCGGCTCGATGTCCATCAGCCGTGTATCTGACATCCTATCGGAGTATATGAAACTGGTTTGGGAGAATATGGTTATTGTTTTAAAATTGATCTGTCAGGTTATTGGTGCCGGACAATTCAAGAGGAAGGTTCGCAAAGAACATGTTCATATGAAGAGGCGAGGTTGTTCGATGACGTAGTCCATTCCATACTAAAAGCGGAATATAGCTTTCTTAGCCGATGATGCGGCCACATCTAGAACAGCCCAAAGCCCTGAGCACTACCTTATCATTATTTTAGTAGAGGCTAAAAAAGAATGTTCACCTACAGGGATTGAACCGTGAAGATACAAATCATAGACCCCCAAATGATATTCCGCTGGTTGAATGCATGTAACCCACTCAGCCCCCAACGCTACCCTGTTTTATAGTACAATCATTAATCGTCGACTATTACCCCATAAACTAGAAGTCCATGCCCATCAAGTAACTGCGAAGGAGTTAGTGACCGATAGTATCTTGCGAGGGAGAGGAACAAACCTTTCGTAAATGCGCATGAACTTGGCCACAAACGCCTCCAGATGGAAAATGACTTTCTGCATGGAGCGTTAGATCTTTCTAATTTATCTATGTTTTGGTCCTGCAATACTTACGCTGCCTTGCTTGACCCGGTGTTCATAGAATGCAGACCATCTAATCACTTCGGGCTTCAAGTTGTCGTCGACGCGCTGAATGAGCTTGAATGTCAAGGTCTAGAAGCAGTTAGTACACCGCAGACCATTTTAGTACGTGGTCGCCTCACCTTGAGAATCGTAGTAGGCGGTATACAGTGCGTCAGGAGGTCATATAGCCGCGCGCGGCACTGTAGCAGTCTGGCTGGAGACCGTTCTGCTAGAATTTCATGGGCCATCATTTGGATAACAACCTCCCAGTCGGGCGGTGGGATTGGTGTGTTATCGGTCACTTTCTCACTGGTAGGCAAATCTGTTAGTGCCGCATGGGATGGTAGTCGACGGATCTTGACCTACTTCTGCGCGTAAATCGCTTCGAACATAAGCAGTGCACGCCGGAGGTTTCGGCCACTCTCCTGGGCAATCCTCTTGTTCAGCCCCGGTGCTACAGTCCACCCTTCTCTTTGGCCTGCGGTGCTGAGGACAGTGCAGATCTCATCCTCTGTAGGTGCGGCAACCCTGACCAGCAGGGTTCGGGAGCGGATAGGGGCGATGATGTTGGAGGTGCTATTGGCCAGGAGGATCAATCGGAGGTTAGGACTGTATTTCTCCATGGTGCGTCTCAGCGCGGCCTGGGCATCACGAGTGAGATGGTCGGCCTCGTTGATCACGACCACCTTGAACCGCTGCTTCGCCGCAAGATCAACCTGCTGGGTCTGTGCAATTTCCTTCAGAAGCTCCTGAACAACAACGCGATCATAGTTTCCGACATCAGAGGGCGTAATTTCGAGATGATAGACAGAGGACACAATATTGAACTCAAGCTTTCGGTTACTCGTTGTCTGGAAGACTCTCGCATCGATCTTGATCTTCTCGACTCCGGGCCCGTACAGCTCCTTTAGAGTCGCAACTGTGCGCGTCTTCTTGCCTGCGCCAGAGGGTCCGTACATGAGCAAATGAGGAAAGTCTCCGCTTTGTGCCTAGTCGTTTGAGGATCCGTCAGAATGGCTCCCTGCAGATATTGGTGAAAAGCGTCCTTACCAATGACCGAAGTCGTTCGGAGAGCTCATGGTGATATGAGAGCGCATCGAGTGAGCGTGGACGTAACTTGTCCACTAGTAAAGCCATCTTTATCGATGTTTTAGCAGTAAATATGGCGTTCCCTTTGAATTAAGAGCTTCTGGAGAGGTATCAACGAAAGTTCGGAATTACTGCGACGGAGCGAGACGCGTCGTGACACGCGAGTTTAATTGGTGGTCCGTGCACCGTGGCGCTGACTGTGCACAGGCGAGGGGTACACCAATTCGGCAACCTGCTGTACCTCTTGAGATTACCCCAAAGAGAACTTTCCAAGAGACAGCTGATAGATATGGAGTTGAATTGCATCTAAGACAATGTGGAATTTCCACGAGAAGTGGGTCCGATTTAGCACACAGGGACATATAACGCTATGTACATGAGGTACCCCGAGAGATATAATACAGAAAATCGCCTCAACGCCAGTGTCTATTCCATATGGTACATGAGTGGTGTTTCAGTTTTGGACAGGGAAAATATGCTTTCCCAGTAAACCAAGATTTCCCTGTATTTTAGGGACCCGTGCCCTACACGAAGTCCGGTCAGCGCGTCTGCCTTGAGGAAAAGTACTCTGGCTGCAGATTTATATGCACCATTCTAGGCCGGGCGGCCTAGAAGGAGGCCCAAGCACATCTGACAAGAGGCATGGAGGGGCAGTAGCTGGAAAGTCCTATCACCCTATCAAGACGCTATAGGCTTAAGGACGCCATTGTCGTCATATCGTGCTTCTGCAGGGAATTAGCAATAGGTCAATATTTCAATAACGTAAGATAACAACGTACTGAAGAAGGTATATGATAGCGTGATCGTATCAATTCCTTTCATCGCAGGATCCTTAGCAAAGTCAGGGTCGATAAAGAAGAACACCGGCATATCCACTGATTCTCCTGCATTGAGTTTCTGCTCTTCAAAGCAGAAGCACTGGATCTTGCTAAAGTAGGGAGCCACCTGGCCGGGTGTCACACTGTATGTCGCAACTCCGATGATATCCGCTGGGCCCTTATTCGTCGCGGTGTAGAAAGCCAGCGCAGTCTCTCCTGGCAGCACTCGCACCTCTCTCTGTTGTGGAACAAATTTCCACGGCAGAACATCCGACACAGAGCCATTGAACGTGATCCGAAGGCGACGAGAGTCTGTAACGGGAGTCACTCGCGAAGAGGTATCGTTATCGCCTCCCCGGTGAGTGAGGACGGGTTGGCCGTTCCAGCCGGTCTGCTGACAGATCTATGGGAACAAGGCTAGGTCAGATTTGTTGGAAAAAGCAAGGCTCATTTTTCTGGGGCCCGTCCTTACCATCTTATATAGAGGGACCGACCCATATGCGAGGGCGACCGTTCCCAGAATAAGACTTGCTGTGTAGTACCTGTTGTGTATTAGAAGTGTTCACTATCTGGTTGAACGAGAAGCATACATCGTGGATGCATTGCGCTTTTGCGACTGAGGCGTATTAAACGGCGCGGAAGCGTTTTGTCGTAGGCATGAATTGCGAGTGAAGTATCGTTTCCCCATATCCGAACATCTTGATTGCATGCGTGCGGCAGACCGACACGCGGTCCCGGATGACGGGACTCCCCACGAAGAGGCCAGGTGACTGAACATGGTGATATCGGTGCTGTTTGAACCGGGGTTATGCGGAGTTGTAGCTTTGCAACCGCTCCGGGAGAAGGATTTCTGACACGTGATCCTATCTTGGCATCAATTCTTATCGATAAGAAACATACGGAGTACAACATCTACGGATCTTGGCACAGCGATGTTCTTAGAGTGGCACTATGCATATTTACTTTGCACTCAGAACTATTTGCAAGGAATACAGGTGTATTGTAAACGATTAATATTAGGCCCCAATTTGGGATATCGCAACTGCGAAACAGGCGGCGACCATATTCAGTAAAATACATACGAACGATGATGCAGAAATGGATGCTGCCAAAGCATCACAGCAAAAGCCTCAAGGACTAATAACACACTAATGAATGATACAGAGATCTTGGCTATTTCAAGACGCTCGCTCCAATCCGACCAAAGACGCCTCGTACCATGCTTGGGCGCTCCTGAAGGCAAGTAAACAAAATGGCGGCACTCATAGCGAAGGTGATCCGTTCGCGGTATTGGTACTAGACACACAAAAGATGTTAGGGACGGTCACGTAGGCCTAGATCACGGATTGTCATCCATACCTTCTTATCATAATACCTGGGTAGTACTGTTGCGGCAGCCCGGGGTGCCACGAAGAGCGCGACCTCTTGCCGCTTCCGTGCGCTTTCGACGAGTATGCTCCACCCACACATGAAACATCCTGCCCCGACACAAAGTCCAGAATCCCACATCAAAGGAGTAACGGCTTCCTTATTAAAGACCTTAGGACCAATCCTTGTCCGTGCAAGACAGACGCCATAGTAGAATAGGCTAACGAACGAAGCGAGGAACGCGGACGACCGCGAGGCATCCGACATGGCACGGCTGAGGGATTCTAGCGATTTCATTCCGCGCAGACGGAAGGCAATCTGGAGAGGCATATAGGTTGCACAGGCGAAGATGAACGTCTTGGCGAAGCGGAACGCAGCATGTTTCTCACAGTTAGGGCCGCAGCCCATGTGCACCATCTCGCATGGGATGGGGATGGTTTTTTTAGGATCTCCCCACTTCAAAGGCCAGCCATATTCCTTGCACATGGACTGGAGCAGCGGGGCCTGGCCAGTATCTTTCCCGTAGACAAAGGTACCCCTCCTAGCACGGCGGAGCGCCTCGATTAAACGGATGTCGACCTTCGCTACCTCTCCAATCCACTTCTCGTAGGACCTAGGGAGTCTTTCAGGAAGGTAAAACCATGCCCACATCACGATTGCTGCGCTGGTAGCAAATATTCCAGCATCTGCAATCTTGGGAGCAACAGATTCTGCTTTCGTCCAACGGCCGCGGGATTTCCGCCATCCCCGCCATCGTACCCACAAAATGCAAGCTGTCAAGTCCACAGCACGGGTCAGGGTGAACAGCGTGAGATCCATTGTTCTACCGGCAAGCCGAGGCGGCTCGTGAGTCGTGGTAGTGCTGTCATAATGGTTGTCTGTAGCGGTATGTTCCGAATTACTACGTGAATCGGAGCGGACTCCCTGCGTCCTGATGGGCTTCCGGTTCAGGAGCGCAAAGCTGAGCCACGCGGAGGTGAAGGCGGCAACGAGTCGAACCAACCGCACAAACCCTCCAGATTTCCAGACACCTGACTTCAGGCCAAGCCTGGTAGCTAGCAACGCACAGAGCCGAAAAATAAAAACCGGGATGACCGTGGAACCGCCAACAATAGCGGCACAAAATGTTGGAAAACTGTCCAGACGGATTGCGGCTGTCAATGCACGCAACAGCTACCAAAGCAGAGTCAGCGCGACGGAAGAGTTTCGATATAAGTTGGACGAATATAGCCCAAAAGGGAAGGTGGACGAAGCGTCAGATTCAACGATTGCCTTACCTCACCACGTCTCTGCACAGGGTGCAAGCCACCCCTGCAGATACGCCGGACAGATGATATAATCTTAGGGGTGGTCGAGGACAGGTACCCGATTGCATAAGCCCGCAGAATACTGTAAGAAGAGCAACACAATGAGTAATTTCTCGGAGGTGATGCACGGCGGATTGTGTGACAGAGACAGAATCTTCGATCGTCGGGGACCAATCGTGCATGGATAACCATGTGGCACTTACGGCTTTAGTATCTGAACCTGGCTCTGTTGCTTGCGGGCCAAGTCGATAGAATTCATGATGTTGGTGGTCCCCGTCAACTCATGACCTTCTTGCTCCAACAGGGGGTGTTCCACCAATACGACCCCGTCTGGATTTGTGTTCAGAGATCCTTCTCCAGCGTTGCGGAGTCTGAAATCCTGGCGAAATTACTATACCGAGACCGTCCGTTGTGACCGATCTCAGCTACGGAGAGCTAATAGGGCACATCGCTCTCAGGCAAGAAGAACACCAAAGTCAAAGGACGTCAGCAAAAATAGCAATGACCCAAAACGCTGTTCCATGGGACTACAACTCCGGGATTAGAATGCAATGGCGGTTCGTGTGGTCGGCCGTGGGACGGATGGTGCAACACGAAAACCGACCTCGGTCCTGGAAAACACGGGGGGAGGGTTCGTGCAGGGTGGTTCAGGGGTAGGAGGCTAAACGGTAGGATGACGATCCCCGCCTGTCACCGACTTGGGGTACTTAATAATTGGAATGCCTGCCAGTCCTCCGTGGAAAGGGAGCTGTGGAAGACTCCAGTTCGGGGCCACTTGGGGTGGGGCCTGGGAGAGACCGCAAAAAAGGCAAATAGATTAACAGCTGAAGGCGACACCACCAGATTGGCAGTGAGATGAGAGGCACATCGGCGATCCAAACGGATGAGAATCGCTAGTGAGAATCTTCTTCTTCTGGTCGAGATGCGCCGGAGGAGAACAGAGTCGCGATTATGCAGCCTGGAAGGTTAGGTAGGTTTAGACCCGCGGTCGGAAGGGGATTTTGGGCCGAGAATGGCCGTACCGAAATCTTACCGCGAGACGGAGACGAACCGAAAAGGGTAGGCAATGCGAGTGGTGTGTTGGTATTTTTTGGTAATGCCGTTACGTCACGCGACCTGGAGATTTCCCATTTGCATGTGAAAGACCCGACGCTTCCTCTCCTCCACCACCATCTCCGATCATCATCTCCAGATTTCGTCGTCATTTGTTTCTGTCACCGTCGTTTCCGTGGGTTTCAGTGCGGGGGATTGTCTTGCTATTCTTATTTACCCTCTACCCCGTGTTTCTGTCCTGGCAGTCCTGTTTATCTTGCTACTTTCTTCCGACGAAACAACAGACATACCTCATCTCCGTACAAACCAGTCGTCACTATCGCTCCCACAGTTCGTTCGCCTTCTCAGCATTCTGATCTGCTCTTGGACAGTCAGCCTCTTTTGCGACGCTGAAGTTCCTCTTTTTCTATCCGCCCATATCTTGCCAACGGAGCATGCCCAACCTGTCGTGACTAGTACTGCTCTCGACCACCGAGTAGCAACCCACACGACTGTCGCTGTATCCATAACTGTCCAACGCCGCCGCCTTTCTTCTTCCAACGCCTCTCCATGACAACCCTCATCATGAATATGCAGAGTAGTGATACTCGAAATGGGCGGGACAGCCCGGCCCCCGGCCCTTTTGGCTGTACGTATCTCGAGTATCCTACGTCTCGCACTCTCTGACGCTGTTGATCCAGATTCTTTCCTCTCTCCTATGGATACCCCTTACGAGCCTGCACCGCAACCCCCTCCAGGACCGGCTCTGCTTGATGATAACGAATCAAATATGCTGGACAACTTTTTCACAACAATAAACTCAAATCCTTTTTCTACCGAATTCTGGTTGCCTGAACAGCACAATAAACCGCTTAGCTCTACATCACTTCCATGGTCTGATGAACTTCCTCCTACTTTCGAGGGTTCTACGACTTCACTTTCCCAGCCATCGATCCCCAGTCACAAGGCCGGGATGGGCTTCCCACCACATAATACAGGCCCAAATCAAGACATATTTGCTCCCATGTTCTACCAGAACGGGATGCATGGCCCCGATCTCAACTCGACATTTGGTCAACCTCCGTTTTCGGCCTTCTCACATGTGGACATCCAAGGTCATCCTGGCGCAGACATTCGCCCTCAAGCTTCTTCATCGTCCCAGCCACCGGACGCATCTCCACAAGCACGTCTCCCCGTCGCTTATCACACTCCGGAGATGATGTTTGACGTGCGACAACCTTTAGCCCCCGAACAACAAGCCACGGCTAAAGCGCGCCCGCTTCACTGGGGTTCTGATGTCAGCTTCATGGATCAGGGTTACGTGGCCCCACCCGATCAACCGAATGAAGAGGACCGGACGAAGGAGCTTCTTGGAAATCTCGAATGCCTTGAGCCCCAAAGTAGTGCGGCCAACACACGCGCACCTAGTCCTGAGCGGATGACGGGTGCACACCATTCCGTATGGACAGAATCGAATCCCAGTGATCTGCGGAGGGAGTATAGAGACGGGGCGGAAGACTTATCCCTGCCAAAGAAACGGCAGAAAATCTTGGTCAAGGAAGAAGAAGACGATTCAGATGGGGACAGTTCCAGGCCAAGGTCACGGCGATCTCGCGGTTCGAGCTACAACAAGTCCAGGCGCTTGTCCAATGACGGAATCCGGAAGTCGAGAATGTCACAGGGGCCAAAGCCTGCACGTGAGAACTTGACGGAAGAACAAAAGCGGAATAACCATATTCTTTCCGAGCAAAAGCGACGAAACCTTATCCGACAGGGCTTCGAGGATCTCTGCTCGCTTGTTCCTGGCTTGAAGGGTGGCGGCTTCAGCAAAAGTGCCATGCTTACACAGGCGGCGGACTGGTTGGAAGAGCTGTTACGTGGCAATGAGGTTCTGAAGGCGCAGCTATCTGAGCTTAAAACCGTAAATGGGTTGGTGATGCCACGATGACAGGCTTTCTGTCGCACCTTTTATGAGACCACGACCGCTCCGTTTTACGTCAATTTGGAGGTTACAAAAATACCAAGGGATTTTGCTGGCTGTTCTGAGTTGCAGAAATTAGCGAATATGTGTATGACAATGCATGGAAGGGGGTCAGGTGTTCTTTGCTTTCGCGTTTTGGGCGCTGTGGAATCTCGTCCAAGCCTGTCGCTTCAGGATGGGTTCAGTTGATTCAGATGTCGGACAGAACGTTTTATACCCATAGTGCCCTTGCTGGCCGAGGCAGGGCACGTTTCAGTCTTGTACAGGCGAGCAATTATGGATTGACATAGTAATAACACCCGAATGTTAGATTTGACATCTCACATCCTTTTCATGACCATGTCTCGCATTATTATTCGTGCATTGTCTAGTGGAAGTATAAACGTGTCCTAAATTGGTTTAGCGCTAATTGCATGTGACAGTCGGCATTATTGGCGACTCTGGAACCCTGGACAAACAACAACAACATCGACTGTCATTCCCAGTCAACTGAGACTCATATTTGGTGATTGATGACCCTCCACCACGATACCATCGCTATATATCAACGCTTCGTCTGATACCACAACTCGCTCCTATGCCTCCTAAACGAAAACGCTCAAACGATGGGGACGACCAGGACCGCGACACGCGAAGCAAGCGCTTCGCGTACCTGAAGCCCCAAGTCCGCCAAATATCGGAGCGAACTATCAAGTCAAAATGGACGACGCTGCCCGAACCTATCCAAGATAAGGTCCGCGACATGTTTAGAGCTCTCGAACGTCCTGTGATTGTACGACAGCAGAGTGAGCGCAAGCGCATCGAGGCTCAAGCCGCTGTCCAGGCTGTTGTGAAAAAGTGTGTAATTGAAACATTCAATCCACCCAAGAATACCACAAAAGATATTTGGACTCATTATGAATTATTGTCTTCAGTCTCGGCAAAAGACTGCCTAGGATGCCATTCCCACCGATCACGAAGGACTCGGCTTTCGAGTACGAAGCGGCGCTTAAGGAGCATGTGTGTACCCTACCTGTATAATGCTCTGACCGAAGCTGATTTGATTACTAGCGTGCTCTCGAAACGAATCTAGCCACAGTGTCGGATAGCATCGATCTTCTGAAAACTGAAATTGAAAAAGAAGAGGCTATGCTTGCGAAGGAAACAAAGCAGCTGCTTGAAATGGAGAAGAATGCGAAGAGAGCAGAGGCCGAGAGAAAGAGGCAGCTGAAAAATGTATACTATCTAATTCCCCTGTTGGATGTGACAAAGTGGTGCTAACTTTCCACAGGAACACCCCGTGCTCCGCCGTCTTAATGATACCCCCAACAACACAGATCAGGAGCAGGCTCACCTCCATGTTTCCATTGACAAGGATTCCCAGACAACGTTTGACGAGGTATGAACTCCCTATGTTTAACCAGTAGACTTCAGGCTAACGTGGTGTAGCTGGAGAATGATCCTGAAGTTCTCGTTCTATTGAAGCAGCTGAATGGCCATCTTCGATCGATGCAGAACAACACAGCTCCGCTTACTGGACTGAAAGATGCCATTACACGGTCTGATGCAGCTTTAAGTCTGACCTCCCTTTCTGGGGATTGAGCTGGTCTTCTATTCAACCCGCCAACTACAAATCTGAAGGACGTTCCTCCGGCACGTCCTCACGGTGAACAACATGACTGACTCGAAAATGGCCAAAAGTTTGTCAGAAGAGCCAACCTTCAGGCTTCTGCACATGTAGCCAGCTCAGTGTTGGGTATACCGTCCTTTGATTATCCCATCCTGGGCGCTTTTGAGCTTCTCCCCCGGACCGCGTCGCCTCGATTTTGTCCATTAAAACACCCATTATACCTCCTTTCCCGGAGGGTCTTTGCGAGGATGGACTTACTTGCACGGCGGATAAAGCTTTGCGAAATCTGGGATCATCTGTACATAGATTCATGCACAAGTCAAACTGGGCGGCTTTTGAAAATCTCCACCTCACAGCCACCCGCAGGACAGCCACTCTGAACGTGCCTAGTAGGTTGTTCGCTGCATTTGAATGAGCGTATACAGCACAATTGAACAGCGTGCTAGCATCCTTTCCCAGTGCAAATTGTTCTATCAGTTCCCACCCGGGCGCTCTTGGATGAAGCTCGAGACATCATGGACGGTGCCGCCGACTAGCATTAGAAGTTGACCTTCTGATACCTTGGCCTGATATTCATCCCACTCCATGACTGGTAGCTTGCTCAGTGGCGGGCCCCAATCAAGCGACTGGCTTTTGTGTTTAGTTTCTTCAATACCTGCTGCAGACGAGTTTTGTCAATCTCATTCTGCCTATTCAGACTGTACGCGAGCCCGCGGCATCCGTAGAGCGAGATAAACCATTTCGTCAGATCTGGCTGATGCCATTCGATAGTCGGACAGAAATTCATGGTGAAAGTTATGATAACCCTCCCAATGGTGATAATGGCCGTAAGGAAGTGGTCACTGGAAGAGCGTCGGTTATCATACGGCTGTTCGCTGAGGTAGTGGGCGAGCGAGTTCACGCAGAAAGTCGCCTAGTTAATGAAGGACGAACGCAGAATGCCGGCATATAGGAATCCTCCCTACCAGACATTCCAACCTAGGCCGGCTATCATAGCTGGGAATGAAATTGCTGAACTATTCCCAAGAATATTGACCTCTCCAGGAGACATATTCAACTCAAGTAAGAGCTATTATAAGAATCACGCTCCGATGACTCAGTGAGTAGTTGGTGAGCCTCATCTCTCACACTATCCATACCCGTATATTGGCTCCGCTAACACTTCTTGATTATTTCCCCACAAAAAACATCATCGATATTTGGAAATGTGCCTGGTTCAGGCTTAGAAGGGATTCGTGAGGGTAATCGCGGGCCGCTCGGTAACCTAACGTATTTAGGCCGAACTATGTCTCTTGGAATCATTCCTTCGCAAGATATATTTTTCAACTCCAGCTTCTATAGTACCCATCTCGGTCAGTCAAATAATTAGTTTCTTCGTAATCACACAACTGTATCTCATACCCTCCTTGCTTGGAACACTCTGCAAGGCCAGACAATATTATTGCCATAGTACTCGTAAGTTTGCTCTACTATCTGCTGCGACATTGTACGTATGAAGATCGAGGTAGTCAAAGTATCTAGACTTAAATGAACATGGACAAAGTTACCGTATAGCTGATTGGTAATTACAGTCCATAGCACACGATGCGTGCTCCTTTCTTTTCAACCAAAATAAAAGGGTTCACGATGAGTGATCCGTCACAAGAGCATCCATAGCGTCTAAGCACGAGGGCTTTCATCTGGACGAAGCGCAATACGTTGTACACAAAGGCCTAAACTCTAAAAGTCGCCACCTCGGATAGGTCAAACGCTGCAGCTGCAGCCACACGAAACGCGAGAAGTAAGAAATCAACAGCCTTCTGTCAAGATCATGTTCGCATTGGCATGTCGAGGAAGGAATTCCCTGTAGAGGTAGCGCAATGCCGGCCGAGGTTCGAATGCAGGCACATGGCTGGGGTAGCTCTGCTCAATCCGGGATGGTTGCCTTTCGGAAATGCGGAGACAATCGGGAAAAGTTGGACCCGGCGCGTCTTCTTCCCAAACTCAGCGGGGAAGCCCCAGAGAGTTCATTGAGAAACTCACTCTGGTACCTTTCTCTTCACGCCTCCTTCCTCATTCCCTCTTGTCGCCGAGCTCCTGTCCATGTCGACCGATTGCCGTACTCTTCGCCCTTGTGTACCTGCTGCGACTGCGACGACCTCCGCGACCTCTCGACCTTTGCGCAACACCGGTTGATGACTCAAAAAAAGCACCGCGCATACGGCTTCCGTGCCCGATCACGAACGATTCAGGAACGGGAACAGAGACAAATTTAGATTCGTCATGGCCGACAAGGAAGTGAATGGCAAGGAGTCTGTCTCCAAGGAATCCCAGCACACCTCGCCAACAACGAAACCCGAAAACCCGACTGCGGGGTCCCATTCCAGTCCCAAGAAGCGTCGCAAGGTTAATCATGGTAAGCAAACATTCGGCGCATGCGTCTGACAAGAATTATGGTCGCGCGCCTTGTCAGTCCTTTCCTTGCGACCTGTTTGAGTTATGTTGCTGATGCATTTGCCACGCTTACAGCATGCGTCTACTGTCGACGATCGGTAAGCTGTGCTTGTCCTTTGAAACTCCTTAGCCACACACCTGCTCTCGGTCTCGGTCTGCCCTTCACAGCAGAGACTCTTTGCTCGTAATTGTCCAGAGCAAAAACCACCGACATAATACGATCCGAATTGATTTGCTGACTGAAGGCTGCTTGCGCACGTGGTACAGCATATGACTTGCGACTCGGTACGACCCCTCTGAACTTTTCCTCTAGAGACTATCGACGATTGTGAAACCGTTCACCAGCCGCCTTTCATGAGGCTAATTGCTAACTCCATGTCTCTGCTTGCTCAGGAACGACCTTGTACGCGATGTATAAAGCGCAACATTGGCCATCTTTGCCACGATGAGCCCCGCGAACCTTCCAAACGGTCCAGGAATGAACCCGATCACTCTGCAGCTGAGGAAGAACCCCGTCCAAACAATGAATATCCGAATTCGCTACAAGGAATGCCCCGAGCTGTCGATGTTCAAGATGCTGCTGGTCAGCAAATTGTTCCTGATGGTCTCCCGTCTGTCAGCTCGGTGCAGCCCGGGAATATTGCATCCTCCACAGGTCAAGGTGTTGCAAATCCCTCTCAGAGTACGTGGAACTGAGTTAGCAGTCTTCTTGGTCTCGCGCTAATGCAATCCTACAGTTTTGGGCTACAATGATTGGGTCGGAGGTCAGAGTCAATTTCAAGACATGCACACCTTCCATCCCTCATACATGTTCAATGCGCACGAAGTGACGAACGAATATAACCTTCTGGGTGACTTCTTGAGTAATAGTTTGCTGGATGATGGAGCTATGTTCCAAAATGACGACATTCACGGTATCTACTCCGATCCTACCCTGATCAATTCCATGGCTACGCTTGGTGGAGGACCCAGCACATCGCTTCTTCAGCAATCACAGCCTCCCCCACTGTCACAAAATCAACAGGCCCAAGGGGAACCAATGCAAGGTCCAAACACCACAGTGATCAATGACAAAGCGAGGGAGACATATTATATGACCGCTGCCGACCCGTCTGGATCGGATCCTCCAGAGGAGCGGATGAACAAACTCCTCAAGGCGAAGTACGATGCTGGCCTTCTGCGCCCATTCAACTATGTGAAAGGATATGCTCGATTGAATACCTATATGGAGAAAAACTTGCAACAGGCTTCTCGACAGAAGATATTACGCCAGCTCGACAAGTTTCGCCCCAAGTTCCGAGAAAGAATGCAAAGTTTGACCGATATCGAGCTCATTCTCGTCGAGATGTGGTTCGAGCGGAGCCTGATGGAGTATGACCGGGTCTTTGCCAGCATGGCTATCCCGGCCTGCTGTTGGAGACGTACTGGTGAAATTTTCCGAGGCAACAAAGAAATGGCAGAGCTGATTGGGGTTCCAATCGAGAGCTTGAGAGATGTAAGCAAGTCCCTAACACGACCCGTGTACGCCTTGCCAGCGTGGAACACAGATTAATACCTACCAGGGAAAATTGGCGCTCCACGAGATCATCGTGGAAGATCAGCTTGTGAGCTATTGGGAGAAGTTCGGCGCCATTGCGTTCGATAACACGCAGAAAGCTATGCTTACAAGCTGCACCCTGAAAAATCCCAATTCGAATTCACCTGATGATGGCATTCCTTGCTGCTTCTCGTTTACTATACGAAGAGATAACCACAACATGTAAGTTGCCGTGTCCAATCCATATATACTAGTTCTGACCAGTATCTTTGCAGTCCCTCGCTCATTGTGGGAAATTTCTTGCCTTCCCAACGGAAGTCCAACTGATTTTACTATTGTTGTCTTTTCTGCTTTTAACGGCACATCGAGTTACTGGTTTGAACCACGCTATTCTCGTACATATACCTTCTCACGCTGGCTTCTGGAAGCCTAAAATCGCAATTGCCTTCCCCTCTTGGATGTTGCACATAATTCGACTCGTGTACCATAAGCTGCTTGTACTGTCAGAGTATTGAAGGAGTGCAAACGTTTATGCCTACCTTAGGTAGTAATCAGTCAGTGTTGCTGTGTTTGCAAGACTCGATGAATGCGGACTAGCCCGGTCAGGTGGATGAGCATCATGTTTCTTGTGACACTGTTGCACTGAGACACCACCATTCAAATCAAACATTGCGCCGGACTAGCGAGTTCTGACATCCTTCTTTTCCTTCCGAAGTAGCCCTATCCTCCGAGAATAGAACAATCGAACGAGGTTGATCCCAATGTCTTCAGACAATCTCCACACCAGACTCGAGGCCCTACTAGGTGAGCCATCCAATTCCTCGCACATTCAAAGCTCGACGGGTGTGATTCATGAATATTGTTGCTAAGAACAACTTGCAGCCTTCGTGAGGAAGCTTCGTGGGGAACTTCTCAGTGTCACTCCCCCTACCCCACGCTTGCGTCGCGAAACGGTCCAAGCAGTCGTGGAATATACTAGTCACATCCCATTCTTCATACCTTCACTCCCAGTGCCCTATCGTCATCAGTTTGACGATGAAGGGGTGAACTTGTGGAATACTTCTGCGCGGTTGTCACTGTCACAGGGCGATCCCGCTTTGTTGAAACAGCTTTCCAACGGTATGCTATCTCTGGTGGATTCCTTTTACGTGTTGCATGCTAAACACATGGTACAGTGAAGGTCCTTGCGTTTGGAATGCTCGAGGCAGCCCGACGGACAGAAGCGTCAGGTAAGAATTGTACTCCAGACCAAGACACCTGGGTCTCACATTTGCAGAAATGTTCAAGGTCATTGAGGTGGCATTGAGTACTGCCGAAGACTGTATAGGTGTGCAGAGGCCCTGCGACTCATGAAGATGGCTCTGACTCTGTCTTAGAGAACGGAAATCTCAACACGAGCCAACAGATCATTGAAATTGTCGCCATGAACTTAGATGCACTCAAGTCAAGCGCGTACCTGGATCATGGTCGAATGCAGTCCCTGGAGATACAATACTACATGATCCGGATACACCTGGTAAGCCCTGTCCACCAGGAAGATTGCAAGCCTGACAGCCTGGTGTAGGCCTGGTATCAAGGAAGACCAGATATTGCGGACCATCTGTATTCTCAGCTTCCGAGAACCACACAGAAAGGTGACCAGTTCACTATCATGGAAATGACTTACAAAATTGGGGATCTGGCATTGTCTTCTGATCAATATGATACCGCCGTGAAATGGTCTGAAAGAGCTCTGAGGGCATGCGAAGCCTGGGCAGACAACGGACAGAAACAAACCCAGCCCTCGGATCAAAAACTGCTTATCCTCCATCAATACGGTAGGGAACCGCTTTTGACCGGGCCATGCCATTCTATTAATATCTCCTAGCTAGGGCGACCCTCAACTGCAATGAAGCGAGCTCTGGGGAGTCGACCCAAACAGTTTTGGGCGCTCTCGAGGTGAGTTTGCCTCCCTTTTCCCAACTCTTTCTAATTAGTTAAGGAATATTCGACTGCATTCCCTGTTATGGTTCTTCGGCTGGAAGCCCTTTGTAATGGAAAGGACCCAGACTGGAAAGAGTATATCCAAGGTTAGAGTGTCTTATGCGCCCTTTGACAGCGCAAATTCACCAATTCAGTACTACATTCCGCTATTGGAACGATGGATCTCGCGAGCAGTACTGTGAACGTGTATGTGGCCGCTCTCTACCATTATCTGTTATGCTTACAGGGTAGAAAGGGTGTTGCACTACATTCAAAAGCTCAGACACTTCAGGTAGGGCTCAAACACTTTCGTAAGAGCCAAGCTAATGAGTATCAGTCCACGCGCTCTTCTTGAAGGAATGAACAAGCTTCTGATCGAGAGGCTCCTACCTTCGTGCAACAAAGAGTTGACCGAAGCAGCCGTCGTTAGCTTCATTTGGTCTTTGACAGTCTCCGAGGATTGTCCAACTAGTGTTCTGGACATACTCGACGAGAGCATGAAAGTCCTAGACAGTGCGGAAATCGGCACAATCAGTGAAACTGCCACAGAAGCTTGTCTTCTTGTATGGTCACAGCTAGAACTTCTGGAATTCATGAGCTAACCACGTATACAGGCTATCTGGAAACATGTCGACAGAGAAATCTCGAGGAAAAACTATCTCGTTGCAGGAAATTGGTGTCATTTTGTCCTTGGACACGGGATTTTCCTACTGACGTCGGACACTAAGGAGAAATTCATGAGGTCTGTATTCCACAAGGATACAAATTCATACGTTAACCTGGACCAGAAAACTGATTGTCTGTGCATTGAAATCTGGAGAAACGTCCAGGGTATACGCAGCATTCGACAGGCTTCCGGATGGCGCGAAGAACAGTCCTTCGATTTTATACTTGATGTATAAACTAGCCACACAAGACAATCAGTCTTCTAAAGGTACTACCTAGATCTACGTCCTATGCATTGAAGAACTAATTGTTATGGTAGGGACTCTGTATCTGAATACACTGTTCAACCAAGTTGAAGGAGGCTGCTCTTACCTCGTGGCTTGCACCTTTGCTGCACTCAAACACGGCGATATTCGACTGGCAGCAAAATGCCTGGGGATGACCACCAAAAAGTACTACGACTGCCGTTCGGAGGGCTGTGAAGTAGCGAAGTTGTTGCAGTATGCAGTCATTCGTTAAATGTTGTACATTAAGCTGATGATCGCCAGATACCTGCTATGTTTCCTCACAGAGAGGTTAGACTCGCTTCAAGGGGGTGAATCTCTCTTAACCCAGACCTTGTCAATCCTTGAGACCGGTAAGTCCCAACTAATATCAGCTTTCACTTCTGAAGCCAACAGCTTTAGTGGAAGTAGACTGTGCCGAACAGAAGACGATCCTCTCCTGTCTTGACGCTAGCTTCACTGCCGACAAAGCTCATTCGATTGCTCTGAAAGCGCTGAAATCATCTCAGGTGGACTTGACCGTCCGGTTTCTGGATCTGTCTATCCAGGTGACTACCTACTTGGCGCCCATACGCGAGGCCGTATCCTGACGCAACTAGTTCACTGAAACGATGCAAGAAGATGAAGGCCAAGAAGCCCAGTATGGTCTATGCAAAAGGTATATCACGTACGACGCTCTCCGAGCTACCGCAATTATAGCATCTGCCCGCAAGGAGAGAGACCAGTCCAAGCAGGTCCAAACCCCTGTTCCCAGATGACTTTCATCTCTGACCTTCAATATAACAGCAACACCTGTATACAAGAGCACTTCATTCCACCCACCGCTTCCGCGCAAATTTCCAGAACCTACAAAACCACTCCACCGCCGAAATAGAGGAAGCATGGGTCCATAAGTACCGCATAATCCTCTCCCTCGGCTTCGAGGCTGCCATATTCCTGCACCACTGGGAGTCATCTGCACAGATAGTCCAAGAATCAGCCGCCGCCATAAACGCGAAGCTAGCCGCTGTATTCCTCGATTGTGTGCTCCGCTCCGGCGCACCAGAAAGCCAAACCGCAGGTATTGTCAAGGCGAGTACCACATTTTCCCCCCTGACAGACCGTTCTCGTTTTTAATAGCAAAGGTTGCAGGCCATACTCCGCACTCTTCACGCAAACGCAGACCCTGCAACGACAGACCCACTCCTCCCTCGCTACCTACACATCCTCTTCCATCTTGCCATCACTGCTCCGGACGATATCCTGGCTGAATTAGTCCTCGACCAGGCACTATCACTTGCGCGAGGCGGCAAAGACTCCTTGTCGACTCGGTACCCTGACGAGGAGATCCACTGGCTAGCGAGCGTGACGTTTAATCGCGCGGTGGACTTTTACCTCATGTCAGCGGACGGAGATTGTCACCGATGGGCGCAGAAAGCAATTGAGTTGGCGGATTGCATTGAAGATGAGGTTAGTCGTGGAATGTTGGGGAGGCTGCTGAGGGAGAAGTATATCAAGTTGATGTGAGTGGGGCTTATAATGTTCGACTTATCGTATGTCCTGTCCTTGTGGTCCCTGTCTCCCTCGCTTCTAGACTTGCCGCAACACGCTGTCATTTGAGCAACTGTCAACAGTGGTGAAGTGGGGTCGGGTTTTTTGAATCTGTCGAGCATGATATAGCCTTATAATGGACTGCTCAATACACACTCTTCAGTTGTCCCTCGCGAGAACCCATGTACGTGGATAGAATCTCGAATATCAATGCACGCCCGGAATTAGAGATTGATTTATAGAATATCTATCTAGCTGCCTGCGCAATGCAGGTGCAAAGTTGGGTATCATTTGGAGATTAGGATGTTCAACACACTAAGCATCATATAAGAAATGAGAGACAACGAGGTGGTGGCAGATACTTGCAATGAATAGGGCACAAATTAGCAAAGCTCCGATAAATCCACCAAGAACAAATCTGGGCAACAAAATTGGACTGCAAAGCAATGCATTATGCAAGTGCGCCGATTCTTAGGATAAGCAGCCAACGCCGAGTAAGCCATGGACGCCTGTGATGCTAAACAATACGAGATGCAAATCTTGTGTATCCCTTTCGATCATTCCATAAGACCCTGGTCATCGCTCGGGTAACATGAGGAGAATTAGAACAAGATAGAGTTAGCTACCTTATCCTTGTGCTGTGACATCAACTGACGACCGTCTGGGAGGCCTTGAAAATTTCTTTTGTCTTAAGTTTGGGGTCGACGGAGTTCGATGCTTAACAAGACGGATAGTCTCGTCAGGTTCAGGAGGAACTGGGATGACCCTGTTGTCGTTTTCTTTCCCGCTGCTATCAGTCTCGTCCACATCGCCGTTCTCAAGCTCGCATGTGTCATTTCGAGAATTCAGAGCGCGTAGGGTCAGACCTAGTTCTCTTTCCAGTTCTTTCTGAGCACTCAGGTGCTCGGTAGATCCATTAAGCTTCTTCCGGTAGGCCCTCAGCGTGCGACAAACTTGCTCGGTGGACATATCTAGACTGCCGAATTCACTTTTGCCGGCGTTCTTGCGGTGAGACCGGAAATCCAGAGATGATCGCCGGACGTTATTCGCAAGATTGCTACCGCGCTTGACCGGCGTGTGGTTTGAGCCGGCAGGGGAGGAAGTCTGACGGAATCGTGCGAGACGCGAGCTGGAGAGAGGGGAGTGGCGCGTAGAGGATTGGGGAGGCGTTGACGGTGCTGGACTGCCGTTCTTCGTCGATGAGGACCTAAGCGAAAACTTGGAAAATTTGCGCACCAAAGGTGGCGATTGTTCGCGCATCGGCGTTGGCGTTCCTGTTGGAGTTTCTTGTCGTTGGAGCCCGACTAGTTCGTTCCGTGACAGGATTTTGCGCAATGGAGGGTGGGACAGGGGCGATTCTTTTGCTGACGCTTCCTCTTCTCTTGTGATGATCGGCATTGATTCCGGCGATTGCTGGGGCTGCACCAATATGTCCCATATCATCACAACCCCATCAATACCAGAGCTGACAAGGGTGCGGGTTGTCTTCCCTGGAGGTCCCCGTTTGGGCTCCAGCAGACACACGTCGCTGACTCCCTCTGTATGTCCAAACTCGCCAGTGAGGAGGACGCCCCGGTTCATATCATAAACACGAATAGACTTATCTGTGCCTGATACGCCGACCAGAAGCTTGGGACTCTGTCCAGGTTCCTCATTAGCCACGGTCAAAGCTCCCATGACTACCGTGTCGCTGGATTCAGAATCAACAGCCCGGAATGATTGGACATGGCGGCCAGAAGCAATATCATACTGCTGGATGCAACGGTCCACTGTCGATACCACGATGGTGTCTGAGTCCTCTGTAGATAGAGCCATTGAGACAGGTGAGGCTTTCACCGTTATTACCTTAGAGATCAAGTAGGCGACGACAGTTGAACCATTTTCTTCCCTGGTCACGCGATCTCTGATAATGATCGTTCGATCAGCAGAGCATGAGATCAATCTTTCTCCGTCGTTCACAAACAATAGCTGTCCCACGGCGCCAACATGATCATCCATCGTCTGTATCAATTGGAGATTTTCTCCGCTCCATTGGAAGAGCTGGACCATGCGGTCACGGCCGCAGCTGGCGACTACGCATGTCTCTTCTGTGGAATGCAAGGCGATGTCGGTTATCTCACCTCCATGTGCTCGAACGACACCCACGCACTCCAATGATTGTCCTTGCAAAACTCTATCCTTGCTATTAGTATGGATACAGGATATTTGAATTGGTACCAGTGACATACCGCAATACACCAAATTTATCGCCAGATAGTAAGAGGTCCGTACCCTCGGAGGCACGTAACACCTTCAGCTCGTTCGAATGCTCGCTGTCGTTTCCAGCGATCTGCTCTAGGGTTACACTTTTCGAATCCTGGCATTTGCCATCTATATTCCAAAAGTTCACAATGCCCTTGCACGACCACGTGAAGAAGTCGGCGTTCCACGGGTTAGGCTCTTGTAGTGTGCGGATACCAAGGACAGAGTCCCGATGAGCCGACATCGTAGTTTCAGCAGCAGAGTCAAGCCCATCAGGGCTGTTTAAGACATCCATTCGATAGATATGGATAGCTTTTGTGGTGTCCAGAGTCACTAGGTGGGACGTCAACGAGCCCATGCAAGTAATTGCAGGGCCCTTACACTTGCGCTCTGGAGAGAGTAACCGTGCGGTTTCCACGGGGGAAGCCCTGGAAGACGGCCGTAGTTCTTCCACTGAGACTCTCTGCATCCGTTGTCCTCGGCCACCTATCCAAATGCAAGATTGATCGGAGTCGACCGTCAAGGAAGTGATGCTGAAGCCCACATGCTTGACAGGAAACAATTTTTGAGACGATCCTTTGTCGTCTAGAAGACATAAGGCCCCCGTGTCTGTCCCGAGAACAGCCTCCTGCTCCGAGATACTGGCAACGCAGGTGAACGTATTCTCAGCCAGAGCCCCCAGCAAGCAATTCCTCCCCGAAAGAGCCCTGGGCGCAATTGTTGTGGTGCTGGGAGCTAATTCACCGTTTGCGCGGGACTTGGTAGGTGATCCTGAGTTGGCTTCCGGAAGTCGCCAGACCTTGACGTGTCGCACACCTGCACTAAATCACATTTAGCCGAGTTTCGCACCGCATATGGCCACGTTAAATACGTACGTGATCAAGGATTGTCCCATCCAGCACATATCACGAATGAAGGAAGTGCATTTGTTGGTCGAATGCAGCTTTGCTGCGCCATTTTTGAGGTTGACAGTCCATACAAAGAGGAAACCATCATTTACATCTCCAAGTGTAGCCAGATATTGCGAGTTCGAGCTAAAGGATAAGCTGCGGACCCCGAAGCTATGTTCGTTAAGGATAGAAAGAGGGACGTCTGGGGGCGCATCTCTGGCGGTGGAGAAGATGAGGACTCGAGGGTTGTATCCAGTCTAGCAAGGTTAGTGAGGCCCGGGGTTTCAGCGGGTAATTACGACTTGCCTCTCCCACGGCAAGAAGTCGTCCATTTGGACTAATCGCCACGCTGGTTACAGCCTTGACTCTCTCCCTCGACGACCACGCACGAGCTGCGGCAGCATCTGTCATTTCGGTAGATGGGGTGCCATTGTAATTCGCGCTGTTTGCGCCGGGCTTTATGCCGGAAAACGACCTCTTTCGCGTATCTGGAGTGGTCGGAGGGGTGGACTGGTTGTAGAATGATGTAACTGGGTTTACACTAGGGACGGAGGGGCGCGCTCTGAAGAATCGTTGGTTTACATCATCGTTGTCATCCAACTCTGCCAGCACAGCAGCTGAGCCTGCACAGAGAGCAAAGGACCGACTCTGGTCGTGACTGGAGAAGCCATTGGGAGTTGTTGTAGTTGTGCCAATGACGGTTCGGAGGGACAGAGTCGATTGGTACTGGGGGGCTCGATTGGGGGTACGCGGTGGAGGTCTGATGGCCGGGGAGTTGGACGGTGTGATTCGTAGGGAAGAGCCGGGGCCAGCCGATTTAGATTTCACATTTAGAGAATTGTACGCCATTGCCAGCAGAAAGTGGGATGGTTCGCGGTGTTGCACTATCTCCGAAAGGCGATGCGGCGTCCGACCGCATTGGTCGCGTCTTGGGTCGCAATTGGGTGGGGAGCTCGATGACTCACGGTTGGCTCCATCTGACAGCACTGGAATAGGGAGGGTGTGTCTCATTTCGTTTGCGTATGTTCCGAAGATGAAGC